CTACCACTGCCACTACCACTGCCACTACCACTGCCACTACCACTGCCACTACCACTGCCACTACCACTACCACTGCCACTGCCGCTGCTGGTGATGCCGGCAGAGGCGGCGGAAGCGGCAGCGAGCTGCTGCTCGCGCGCGTGAGCCTGCAGCGCGAGCTTGCGCAGCGTCGTCACGTCTGACTCGGTCGACGAGCGCAGGAGCCGTGAAGCCTGGCGGCCGCCGTTGGCGCTGCCGCGCTGGCGCGAGCGCCCCGGCGTCCGGAGACGCTGGTCCATTTGCGCTTCGCGCTGCGTGCGCCCCGGAGACGCGACGACGCGTTTGCCGTTGCTGCCACACTCCTCCTTCTCCGATGCGCTGCTTTGAGGCGCGCTGTGCGCGCGAGGATTCATAATCCGCGCGGGCTGTGGGCGGTGATGCTGATGCCCACGCTGATGCTGAAGCTGCTGATTATGGGGTAGACGCGGATGCGGGGAGGACAGGGGGGACGAGGATGAGTTGCTCGTCTCCTCGTCCAGCGTGATGCTGCTGAGCTTGCGCGTCATGAGCGTGTCAGTCACCGTCACGCCGCTGGGTGGTGATGTTGACGTGGCATTGTCGTTGCCGCGACTACGGCTGCCGACGCGCTCGCTACCTGGACGCTGCTGTCGAGAGTGTGACATGCTGACGATGAGACCGTGTTGAATCTACGTCGTCGAGGGATGCTGAAAGCGAGAGAGATAGTGATTTACGCTACCGACGGACTTAGTTGCTTGCGACAGGCAAGGGGGACCGAGCGGAGCGACGAGGAGTGAGCCCAGGGAGTATTGGCTGCTGTTGGTTACAGATGGCTGGATTGTTGAACATGTAATCTGTTGCTGTTTTTGATTACGTTTTCCCCTCTTTTTAAACAGTACCATACCAGATGCCGCGTTTGTGTTCGAATGGCCAGGGAAGAAATTTACAGTCGCATGATGAACGAGCGAGCGTGACGAAGTTGTTCAATGCGGTAGACGTCAGGGCGTCGGTTTTGCACCGTGCGAACGATCAACCTCCAACGATGTTACTCGCGCGCAAATGCACAAGGGAAAGTTTTCAACGAGCGGGGCCTGGGTATTGAATCAGATCGGATAGATGGTAGTGCTCGGTGCCGACAGATCTCTGAGCGATGAACTCTGACGTTTCTGTCAGCGGACAGGCTGGTACAGTGTCAGACGTTGTGCTGTCCTGCCAAACACCAATGAACAAACCGAGCGCACCCTTGCTCAAACACAGCAACTGCGTGCGCGCCTGATGACGCTGCCGTTCTAGGATGCGCGTACTGGGAGTGCGTGGCCCTGGAATAAGGGCCAGGCCCTTTGTTTGGCTAGGCCGAAGCAGTTCTTGCGTATGCAGATCGAAGCGGCCTGTTGCTTTATGAAGAGCGTGCCGTCCAAGCGATGATGGCGGTGGTGAACAGGTGTATGCTGAGAGAGAGGTCTTTGATGGATGTATGGATAAAGAAAGCTCTCAGCAGATCGTGCTGCGTGCCTATTCAACCCACACCAAGATATAAAAGACGTTCAGAGAACGGAGTGTTTGACTGCTACGATGAGTCTTATGCCTCGACACAACGGTGGGCGATGAGCCTGCCTCTTGAATGGAAGAGGCGATGCCAGTGCTTGGGATATCGTTTTAGATGCTTTTTGGCTGGTGTTGGTGCTGGTGCTGGTGCTAAAGATGCGAGCCTGCTTTCATACTTTTGTTCTTCTCGGTGCGGTCAGCAGGCCAGGGACGGGCCGAGTAGGGGCAGGATGATCGCGGCGGTTGCTGCGGTGACGATGGTGCGTGCGACGCCTCTACTCTAGCAATCGTCACTTGTTCCCTTCTTGCTCCGGCGGCGCAGAGGCGATTCGTTTCGCGCGAATGCCTGGGGTCCGTGCGTGCCACCGAGTGCACGACGACGACGACGACGATGGAGAGAGAGCGGGTGGAGGGCCCAAGGGCACAGACGGTGCGACGGCGCGATCGAACCCCAACCACGACACACAACGCTGTCTAAGGACGAAAGAAGGAAAAAGGCAAGACTGGCAGAGGCGACCACCAGCTAGGTAGCTAGCTCTCGAGACCGAGGCGCGAAGGAAAAGGGCGCGCGAGTGCCGAGTATCCAACACACGTACATACACACACCACACACAGCGTCACAATCCAAGTATGAGTGTAACCTGCCTGACACGCAGCACGGGCCATCCATCGCCCAGTCATCAAAAGCCAACAGCGTTTTGGTTGTTTGGCTCAAGTCAGCCAGACCAGAGATGGGTCTTCCTTCGAGCTGATGGTATCGTCGCCCACCAACCAGCCGTCGGAGTTGGGACACGAACGTACCTGGCACTGCCGCCCTCTCCCATCTCCACCACTCGAAACGAAAGAATTAAAAAAAGAAAGAATCTCCAAGCCAGGTCGCTTTTTTCCTCGGGGATAGTCAATGTGATTTGCGTGCAGGTGGATGAGAACCAATGGAAACAAAGAGGGAGGCGGGGCGCCGCAGCACCCATGCCAGGGCCTAGACCCTTTCCCATATCGTTGTGCTCCATGGCAGCACTAGTCTCATGCGCAGTCGCTGCACCAGGCCAGAGGGGGTTCTGCGGTGGAAGTCCTCTCATATAATGAACTAATGACAAAGTGCCATGCTGACAGGCGGGAAGGTGCATTCACAATGGCTGAACAAGCGGGTCGGGGCCTGGATCTCAGCCATTTCGACGCTACATAATCTGCGACGGGTCACAACTCTCCCGAGCGGATTCCCAAAATGGGGCTCGAGCCATGTCAGTTCGGGGCTGCGCTTCTTTCTTGCTGCGGCAGGAGTCACAAGCGAGGACTGTGGGGGTGCAGCAGGCTGCTAGGCTGCACCCCTGATGCACTAGATGGACTGCGCAAGGCTTTTGCCCCCCCTTGTCGCCGTGACCGTGCGAAAGACTTGAAGACTGCGGGTCACGCGGTCCAGTGTGCAAATGGGCTAGCAGCACAGTAGCACTGTGTCAATAACACAGTAGGGCTCCATTCTTTTGTCCATACATTTGCATATGCATAGTTCAAACTGATTGATCTGTACCAGCCTACCAGCCCCAGGCGGCAGACGCCCCCACACTCACGGATAGGCCATCGACGTGCAGCAACCAATGAGATCAATCAAAGGCCAAAGGAGAGCCGCAGAAAAGAGTTTGCACATTGCAGCCATGCACACTACACGAGAGCACACACAACACACACAACGACGCATGCATGCATGTACGTACACACGTACCAACAAAACGCACAAGCACAATCCGTCCTCAATCAAACAAGCACAACCCAGCTGATCTCTGCTATGGAGAACTCGGAGATGACAAGATTGATGAGAACTGGATTCTCACCCCCTTTTCTAAACTATCCTCCACTTGACCCACCCACACTCTGGCCCGCTGACTACGACCAGCCACCGACTGCCTGGCGCAACTGTATATGTGCGCGGGTCACACTCGACGCGTCTTTGCGCGTGCGCGACGGAACGCAGCCTTCCCAATCGAATAGACGCAGTCGCAACTCGCACTGGACGCATGGTATCCAAATGCACAAATCCAAAGCCTGTCCTCTCCCCAGTGTGTCACCACGCGAGAACGGTCCATAGGTATGTACCAGGGGGAGGTGAGCTCAGAGTATCGAATCGATTACAAGGAACGCTGGACGGGGCACTACATACATACATGCATACATACATGAATGCATGCACTTTGACCAAGGATTGACAGACTTTTGGCGTGTAAATACGCAGACGGGAGATGCAAGGGACGGCCGGACTCGTTCCCTCTGCGGCCCGAAATGGAGTGAGCGAAAGCGAAAGCAAAAGCAAAAGTGAGAGAGAAAAACAAGTGGAAACGGCGAAACGAATGACAGATGTGCCGCATGAGTGTCGGTAGAAAGCAGGTGCGGAGCCGAACGGTGTACAGTATGGCAGCCGGTACCGCAGCATCGGTCGCCTGCCGTGTAATTGTGGGTGCGGGCGCGTATGCAAGCATGTGAAAAGAGTCTTCGTCGTCGGCGCCACACGCCAGCGGAGAACGCAGGGACCGTGCACGCGCTCACGTGCGCATATGCGCAGGCTTGAACACCGGCGCCTTGAAGCTCAGCACGCTCGGTGGGCGGCGGAGGTACTCAGGCCTGTCGCCAGCAGCAGACGACGAGACGGAGTGTGCGCTTCCTTTGCGCGCGAGCGTGCCCACCGCCGCAGCAGCCGAACATGTAGCTTTCCCCACTTTGGTCGGTGAGCCGCTAACGCTGCCGCTGCCATCACCATCAATTGGCGGCCGCCGCCGCGGCAGCGCGCTCCCCTTTGCCTCGGCGCTTGCTGCAAGCTGCGCGACGCGCCCGGTCGGCGTTAGCGCCGCGCCCCCGGCGCTCGTGGTTGAGAGGCGCTTGCCCGCTTTTGGCGTTGTGTTCGTCGAGGCGCAAGAGTCGCTGTCGTTGCCGCCAGCGCCGGTAAGCTCGCGTAGCGTCGCCTGCCGGCTCTCGAGCGCGGCGATCTTGTTGCGCACCGACGGCACGACGAGCGCTGCGCCGCGCAGGTTGTGTGTGCTGCTGCTGTGCGGGAGGCCCGCGCCTCCGTCGCCGTGCTCTGAGCTGGCAGCCGAAGGCGACGTCGACGAAGCACTCGATCCGCGCATGTTGGCCATGCTCACTGTGCCCCGGAGCTTCGCAATAGGCTTCTGCGGGGTGGTCCAAATATTTGTGCGCGAGGTGACATCGACCTTCTGCGGCGAGGCGAACGCCCTCAGCGAGTGCTCTCGCTCCTGGCCTCCCGTCTGTGCCTTGCTGGCGGATGCGCCGAGACCCCTTGTCGCTTGCTGGCCATCATGGACAACCTCGATCGCGTGCGCGCACGAAGAGTCTGTGTCCGGCGTCTTCACGATGCTGCTCGCAGGCGATGAGGAAGCAACAGAGGCAGAGTCCAGTGGTCCGAGCGAAGACCCCGGCGAGGAACTAGCCTGGCTGTCCGGTGTAGACGACCCCGTACTGGCAGACTCAGCGCTAGCCTTGCGTCCTTGTCTGTTGTTGCGCCCCGACGGCTTTTTGTGTTTGAGCTGAGGCGTCTTCTTGTGCGCGTTGGACGACGACTGACTGTGTGTGCCATCTTGCTGTCCGATTGCAACTGCGAGGTCCTTGCGGGTATTTGTCTGCTCCGGGTGGACTTTAGCTCTGAGTGCTTCCATCGAACTTCGAGTCTTGACAGGAGCATCGGCTGTGGCAAAGGTGAAGCTCTTCTTCTGCTTCAATTCCACTTTTGCAGGCGAAGCGGCTTCCAGCATGGCGATCCGACTGCGAAGATTAGGACCAGACTGTGTGCGCGACATCCGAGCAGCGGCGGCTGTGGGGGACACCCGCTGCGCTGGCGACGCTCGCTTTGGCGAGGCGATCTTAACAGGCGGCAAGACGGAGGAAGGCTTCTGCGCAGCCGTGGCCGTAGCTGTGTGAAGCGCTGCCTTTGTCTTTGGGGAAGTGCGAGAAGCGGGCTTTGTCGGCAGTACCGACTGCAGTACTCGAGGGGCTTCTTTCTGCAAGTTCTCCGGCTGCATGTACGCAATCGGAGCCTCTGTCTGAGGCAGGGGGAGTGTTGGTGCTTCTGCGACCGGCTGTCGTTGCTCGAGCTCGGCGGGTGGCGCCTCAAGGATTGCGACAGGTTTGATCGTTCCAGCCGTCGTCTCTCCCACGTCCTCTTCACGATCCTCTTCCTCTTCATCTCCGTAATCCTCCTTCGCTGCATGTAGACTAAGACCGAATGCAGGAGCGACCTGATCTTCGAGGCGAGCCGAGCCAAGCACAATGTCGACCTCGTCGATCGAATCGTCATTCAGCTGCACTTCCATTTCGTCATCTTCGTCCGAGTCCATATCGTCAATGTCGACAGCTTTCTGCGAGGCCAGGATGTCTGGCAGGTCGTGCGGGTGGATATACGGAAGGCATGCTGGATTGAGCGGCCCAGTCGAAGCAGAGCTGATGCTGGCGTTCTTTGACATGGCAGATTCGTACGACATGGTCGAGGTTTGTGAGGGCGTCGGGGTTGGCTCGTTGAGTGCCTCATCGTCGATCGCGATCCCGAGTCCTGTTGGCTCTGCATCGTCGGTTGGCATGGTGCCAATGCGGCGTGCCGTAGCGCTTCGAATTGCATGCTGGATGAAGTCAAGTGACTTTTGGTGCTGGAGACGGCGTGCGCGGGACACTTCGTCATCAGGCTCTGCAGAGCTGCCGAGCGTCTCAATGGACGCAGGCGGAAGAATGGAAGGTGCAGCAGCGGCCTTGACGGGGCTCTTGAGGACTTCCATGGAGCGCACGCGGTCAATGAGAGGCGCCTCAGCGGCTGGGGTCTGCTGCCAGCCCTGCTGGGCGGTTGTGACTTTGCCAGGCGGAGGGTCGAGGGAGACAAAGTTGATCACACGGAGTGGCAGCTCAACAGAGACGGTGGACGACATGGAGCTGCTAAGCGAGACCTTGATGGAGTAAAGCACTTCGACGTGGCGCCCCCGGACGATCGAGAGCGCATCGTGCGGAATGGCCATCGAGTGTGAAAAGTCGACCGAGCCACCAGGGCTGACACCCGTCCACCATCCGCGCGCCGTGACGGTGCCGTTTGCGCCGCGCTGCCCCATCTCGAGCGTCTCTTCCGTCAACTTCTTGCGGCTTGTCGACGTGACGCATGCATCGGGGTCGATGTCGCGTCCACCTTGGCCGAGATTTAGATCCTCTCGCGGGCGGAAGAGCGTGAGCGTTCGAAGAAGGGCGAGTGTGACGCTCTTGATCTACGGTGTGGCTAACACATCAGCAACCTCGATAGTACACGCTCGACCTCACGCAGCGTACTCACCTTTTTGCTCGTCTCGTTCTGAACACCAACGCGCACGTAGACGCGCTGTCCGGCGACCCAATTGCTGCGATGCAGCGAGGCTGTGAGGTGCACCTTGCCCTGGCCGCCCATGAAGAGACCCTTGCTGACCGACGCCTGGATCGGCTTTGGCGCACTGGAAAGTGCCACAGCTGGGTTGAGGTAAGGGAAGAGGTCTATGTGGCGATAGAAGTGCGCAATTGAGCGATTCGCGTCGTTGCCGCTCTTCAGCTTGACGGAGCTATCGATAGTGACGTCTTCATCAGCTTCATGTTCATCATGTACAAGATTAACCACAATACTCACCCGATAGCAATATACCGAACGCATGCATGTTTGCCACGGTACGTGCCCTTGGCCCCTTTGCCGACAGGGATGTCGAGGGAAAAGGGAATGAAATGTTCTCCTTCCTTGGCTGTGAAGTAGCCCTCTTCGTCTGCCGCCGACGAATAGATCGGATGCTTCTGCCCGCCACGCTCGGGCGCCGAGAAAATTGGCGAGCCATGCAGGATGAAGCTCTCTGACGCGTCGGCGGTGACGATGGCCGCTTGGTGGTAGAAAATGTACCGGATGTCGTCCCCAATCAGCTCTTCAAAGCCGACAACGCGAACTTTGGGCTGCATGAGTTTGACGGCGCCTTCCTTGTCGGTATCCTTGCGGATCTTGAGCACCATTCTTCCGCGCAGCTGGCCACCCTCGACGATTAGGTCGCTCTCGAGCAGCATGTCGAGCTCAACGCGAGCCTTGCCAGAGCGCCCGTGTTCGAGAATGGCCTGAGAGGTAGCTACCGCGGCGAGTGAGTCGGAGCTCGAGTGTGGCTCAACGGGGTCGTTGAGCTTCTTGCTTGTGTTTCCGAGCACGCGACTGAGCTCGCGGGAGCGGCGAGCAGGGTGAGCGCTCGCGCTGAGCAAGGTCCCCTGTCGATCGAGGGAGGATGCAGAGCTAAGTGCTGACAGCGACGTCGAGGAGCGCAGCATGCTTTGGCCTGCACTGCTCCCGCTGTTGACCATCGCCATCGCCGCGGTTCCAGCACGGTCTGCGAGTGCGCTATTGTTCGTGCCTATGCTGCTAGCCGAGTCAAGCGGGCCAAGATCTGTCGAGACTTGCGAATTGCGTCGACTACTGATAACGTCTTGCTCCTCCATCCTCTTGACTTCGTCAGGCATGATTCGCTCGCCCGTCTCAAAGCCCCCGCCATGACGATCGAGGCTGATCATGGTTTCTCCGCGTTCAGCTTGCTCGAGGCCTCGCATGCCGCGCATGCTGCGCATGGGGACAATGGCATCGATGCCTTCCGCAGCGGAGGTGCCCGAGCTCACCGTAGCCATCATGGCCGTTGTTGATGCTGCTGCTTTCTTGTGCACGCCATCGTACAAGCTGGAGAATGTCGAGCCATTGCGTGAGCGAGAGAGAGTATAGGGCGCGCCATTAGCAGCTGTAGCATCGATGGCGGCGCCTGCTGTGTCTGCACGATTCGACGCGTTCAAGGAAAAGGACGGGCCTATCATCATCTGTGCGCGCGGGTTCATGGCCGACTGACTGTGGCGCAGACGTGAAAAGTGCTGCTCCTGCACGGCTGGAGGGAGGAAGTTCATCTCTTCGCCATTGTGTGAGTACAGCCCACCGACGCGGAAGTGCTGCTGCAGCTGGGCGGTGGTGAGCACTGGAGCTGCCTCTGCAGCTGGGTTAGGCTGCATTTGCGTAAAGGAGCGTTGCATCGCCATCGTGGGGCCGGCCGGAGCGACTTGCGTCTGTGTGCGCTGCATCATTCTTTCCGGCCGCAATGCATGTGCCTGCAACTGAGGCGCAGTCTGCGGGCGGCGACCAGCGGCGCCGAAGTTTGGCTGCGAGGCGTGCTTGCGGATTACGTTCGGCCGGCGGGTGATGTTCGCTGGGCGGCCGCTACTCTTGCTGGTGCGACTATCGCTTGTCAGCGAGCCGGGCGTGTCCATGGCAGAATCTAAGCTCTCAGACGACATGGCTGCGACAGCTTGCGACAGCTTGAGTCGGTCAGGCTGCTGGGGAACGAAGTCTGTCGACGCTGAGGAGGCCGTCATGGCGCTTACACTGCCGTCGTCGACGCCATCTATACTGCAGACCGTCGATGGCGTGAAAGACGAAGGCGTTGAGTCGACATGGCCAGCAGCATGGCCCAAGATACCCGGCGCCCCACTGGCGATCCGTACGTTTCGCGCAGGAAGGTGGCCGCCAGAGCGCGGCGCCTTTCGCGCTGTACCTCCTCTTTTATCGACGGTCATGCTTGATGATGCACAGCTTCATTCGTGCTGGGACCAGCGTTCGAAGGGTGAGCAAGCCTAAAGGTGCATAGAGAGGATATTGTGGTGGCATATCACGAGCAAAGACGAAGGAGGATGGCCTCTTGAGTCAGTCCTGTGAAAACAGAGCAAAGCACACTCAGATGTTGAAGAGGCCACCTTTCGTCCCATTGCCGCAGGTCTCCTATTCAATGATCGTGGAACCATTTGAATGTCAATGAGTCGGAGGGGCACATCATGCACTAAGTGCTGCGCACTACGCAAGACTGCATGGCTCGGCGGCTGGTGGGATCTGTTCGGAGAAGGTCGAGCCAAGTTGCGCCTCGCAGCGCCCCTCAACCGTTGGAGAGGCTGGCACCGTCTCATTTTCTCCGGCTTGCATGACCAGGCACGACCACTACACACCCCCTACACGACCTCACGAGCCAGCTGGGTTGCCGTTGATGCGTTGCCGTGGCATCAGCCGGCACTCGCAATACGCAAGCGCAAGGGCATTCGCATATTGCTGAAGGCTTTGTGCTGGTGCTGTGCGCATCTGTGCCGGAGTTGCCGACTGTTGAGCTGAGTCGGGTTGTGATATTTGAGATGATAACGTGCGGCCTCTTCGCTCAGATGCCCTCGTCAATCTTCAGTCCTTGTGTGGTGTTTCGGGAGACTGGGCACGGCGATGAGCAACGATCGAGGTGTCGACCGTTGGATCCAAGATGCTGCGGTTGGTTGCGGTTGCAGTTTGGGAATCAAATTGGAGTCTTCGTCCAGGGCTTGTGTGAGATAAAGGAGTGCGTGCCAGTGCGTGAGTCCGGCTGCGCGGTGTGCGGGCGTTGTGTCCGTTCACAGGGTGAGTTCCATTTCTTTATTTCTGTATTTCTTTCTTACTTTTTATTCTTGGCCGTGTCTCTTTCACGAAAACAATCCGCTATCTCCACACTTAATCAAGTCATCGTTGCGACAGGAGAACGCGCGACGGAGACACAAACAATCCAATTATGAGGGACTACTTTTTGATATGACGTCGAAGGCAATGGACTAGTAGAAGACACAAATGATAACATGAACCAGTGAGCCAACTCTGGTCAGGACTATGTTGCCTTCTCAGGGCTTACTATGGTCGACAGTGAACTATAAACTATGAATGAAGGTGTAGAAGACGACGGTGATGCAGGTGCTATTTAACCCCATGTTCATCTTGCTGAGGAGAACTGGCAAAGCCGCATGCTCATCGCGTCCATCGACTGCTAGGCAAAACAACGTCTATGCACCACACCCATCACCTACTACATGGGAAGGAGCTGGTTGATGGGTTGCTCCGAGAAGAGAACAAGAAAGATGGGTCTGCTGACGGACGCGGCGAACCAATCGATCCTATTCGTACCTTCACGTGGTCGTCATCCGGCAGTTATGGCAAGCGCCAAGCGGAGACGCGATACGCAGATTGTGACTCTTTGAATGCTGACCGTACACTTGTACTCTGACTACGCCCTCGGTACAGGTAGTCAGTCAGTCAGCGGGTGGGCACCAATCCACAGGAGGCAAAAATAGTGATCGTGGGGCCGATGGAAATCCAACGAGCCGAGATTAGTGGCTGACGCCACACCGCCCATGGACCTCGCCTTTCGACGGCAGGGATTGTATACTTTGTGGAAATTGGGCTGCTTTTAAACTTTATCACAACCTATAATGGGCTCGCATCGATTATGGCTCTGTGAACAAGCCGTTCCCATTGATCGAAGCCGAGATGTTTTGCTTTGGAGCTGAACTTTTGACGCCTACGCTCGTGCGCTCTTGAGTCAGCGCGGCGTCCTATCAAGATGCTCCAGCGTCCAGAGGCGATTGCCAGCTGGCCACTGGGCCTGCAAGGGAGGCAAGCCAAGTTGGAGTGGCAGGTGATCAATGACTGGATGTGAAAAGTGGGGCGCGGGGGATACCCTAACGCCGGCGTCTGTTTGTGGTATGAACCGGGCTGGGTGCTGCTGCAACCATAGCTGCACAAATAGAGAGGTGACGGGCTGCATGGCTCGTGCGCGCCTCGCGATACAGAATGAACGATAAAGACTGATGCAGTGACTCTTCCGGAAACAGCGGCGTTTGTGTGGGGTGGGGGGAGTGAGAAGGAGATGGTGGGCAAGTACCCTCACTCCCATTCTCTTCCTCTCCTGCCATCCTGCGCCAGCCAGCAGGTTCACCTCCAGCATCGGCACTCCACTCCACTGCACCCCACTCGCTTTTACTGGCCTCACTAATTGGGTTTTACTTAGCAAGGTTTCCAATTCGAAGTCGATAGACAGCCACGCTGTGCCTTCGTATTCCTTTTTGAGTCCACTCCGCCTGCTCCCCTTTCCCGGGTCATCTCCCACTTCGCCACCACCGCATATATAGCCAGCCTTCCGTCAGCCCACTCTTCTCCGCTTCCCCATCCCATTGCATCCATTGCACATCTTTCTTCGCGTGCCGATCGATTCATTAGCATCACCTTCTACGACAATGTCAGCCCCTCAGGTCAACCTCACTTTCCCCAACGGCGGCAAGAGCTCCTTCTCAGGCGGCCTTTTCATCAACAACGAGTTCGTTCCCGCGCAGTCCGGCAAGACGCTCGCCGTCATCAACCCTGCTACTGGCAAGGAGATCGCGCAGGTCGCCGAAGCCGACGCAAAGGATATTGATATCGCAGTCAAGGCGGCACGGGAGGCGTACAACAATGTTTGGGGCGAGAAGGTCCCAGGCCACAAGCGTGGTCGTCTCCTTCTTAAGCTCGCCGACTTGGTCGAGCAGCACATCGACGAGCTCGCCGCTATCGAATCGCTGGACAATGGAAAGCCTGTTTCGATTGCAAAGGGGTTTGACTTCACTGAGGTGATTGCCAAGTAAGTTCTGAGCAATTTTTGTATTCAAACGAGTTGTGGCTGAATCTGGCGTTCGTGCTTGACGCATCAAGCCTGCGATACTACGCTGGCTGGGCAGACAAGAATCACGGCAAGGTCATCGAGGTCGACAGCAGCAAGCTCACATATACTCGCCACGAGCCTGTCGGCGTCTGCGGTCAAATCATTCCCTGGAACTTCCCGGCACTCATGTTCGCCTGGAAGATTGCACCCGCCCTCGCAACTGGAAACACTATTGTACTAAAAGTCGCCGAGCAAACTCCGCTTTCGGGCCTCCGCATGTGTCAGCTGATCAAGGAGGCTGGCTTCCCAACCGGTGTCGTCAACGTCGTTGCAGGTTTCGGCCCGACTGCCGGCGCCGCAATCGCTGCGCACATGGACATTGACAAGGTGGCCTTTACTGGCTCTACGCTTGTCGGCCGCAACATTATGAAGGCTGCAGCCAGCACGAACCTCAAGAAGGTCACACTCGAACTCGGTGGCAAATCTCCGAACATCATACTCAAAGACGCAGACCTCGAACAGGCAGTCTCATGGGCCGCCTTCGGCTTCTCATTCAACACTGGCCAATGCTGCTGCGCCGGCACCCGCGTGTACGTCGAGGAGGCAATCTACGAAAAGTTCATGGAGAAGCTGCTCGTAAAGGTCAAGTCGATCAAGACCGGCGATGGCTTCCAGGGAGACACTTTCCAAGGTCCGCAAGTCTCGCAGCTGCAATTCGACCGTGTCATGGGTTACATCCAACAAGGCAAGGCCGACGGCGCCAAGGTTCTCACTGGCGGCGAGCGCCACGGCACGGAGGGCTACTTTGTGCAACCGACCGTCTTTACCGACGTCAACCCGGACAGCAAGATTTCACGCGAGGAGATCTTCGGACCGGTCGTCGTCGTCCACAAGTTCAAAGATCAGCAGGACCTAATCCGCATCGCGAACGACTCGATCTATGGCCTGGCCGCGGCAGTCTTCTCGCGCGACGTTTCGCGCGCGCTCGAGACGGCGCACGCGCTCAAGGCCGGCACCGTCTGGGTCAACTGTTACAACCAGATCAACCCGCAGGTACCGTTTGGCGGCTACAAGGCAAGCGGCATCGGCCGCGAGCTTGGCGAGTACGCATTGAGCAACTACACCAACGTTAAGGCCGTCCATGTCAATTTGAACATCCCCGCGCCTTTGTAAGAAAAGGGTACAAGCAGGATTGGTCAAAGCATGCTTTCGCTTTTGGAAGTTTGCGAGATATGCGTGAGCTTGGTGGCTTTCCTCATGTATCCCTGTCTCACAGTGCACATATCCCCGGCTCCGCCTTCACCATGAACTTGTTAGTGACGATATGCGAATGGAATCTAACTCGGAACAAAACCCAATCTTCGCGAGTGAAATGACTGCCATTTCCGTAAAGCACGAACGTAGTTCTGCTGGTCATCGCGTGTAAAGAGCGGCTGAGGTCGTGCTCAATCATATGCTTTGCCGTTAACTGCAACAACTGCCCAGAGCGGAGCCAAACGAGAGTCGGGACGACACAGGCAGCCAGCTCAGCTTAACCTGGCCGAGAAGCATGGCGATCACGAAGGGTTGGTATATCGGGCCGAGCGTTGCTGTATGCTACATTTCAAAAGGAAATATTTTACAAATATTAAGCCAACAGAGGCCGCTACTACAAGCGGAGAGGAGCCCCAAAATCTGCAGTGATCATATCGTTGAGGATGCCCACACAGTGCGAAAAGGCCTTCCACCACTGCTGCGCGGGGCTGACCTGTGCCGCTGCAGCTGCGGATGGGGGCTGTGACTGCGACGACTCGAAGACATGCTCGTGCTCGCCCAGTGGCCACGAGTTGCGCAGGAGCTGCTGCCACCACCGCAAGAGCGCCTCCACTTTTGCGAGATCAGGCGAGACGCCCGTGTCGGGTCGCACGCAGTGGTGCAAGAACTCGAGCACGCGCGCTACGTCCCCTTCGCGCGGGCCATAAGCTCTGAATGCACGGAACCATGCGGCGATGAACGCACGCACGTTTTCTGTGCTCGACGCGCCCTTGAGCGTAGACTGGCCCTCGCCCATCTGCGCGCGTTTGACCGCGGCGAGTGCAGACGCAGGGTCGGTCAGCCCGATGCGCTGCGTCTCGGCAGCACGCTTCTCTGCTCTCGTCATGTCTGAAGTCTTGCTCGCTGGCTTGGCGCGTGCTTTTTTGGACTTTTGCACAGCGGCAGTCTGCTCGCGGATGAGCTCCCTTTGCAGATGTGCCGGCAGCGCTCGATAGTACTCCGCATCGACGCCGAGCTCTCGCAGATCTGTGTCTTTGAGCATGTCAGGGTTCATGATCCACAGCGTGACCTGGTCAATCACGGGTTGATTCTTCTTGAGCGGAGAAACCAGCTTGTGCTTTGGCAGGGTCTTGTTAGGGCTCGCAGCTGCTGGCTTCTTCCGAGGAGACTTGGTCGCAACGCGCAGCGGAAGCATAGGTGGACGAGGCCCGAGGTTATTCCGACTAACTTCCGCCAGTTCACGCAGAATTTCTTTGCGCAGGCTTTCGGGTAGCTCATCCAGGGTTGCTGAATCGATCTGAGATGCAGTTAGCGTCACGTCACTTCGCACTGGGGGCTGATCGCGTCTGCGTTCCGCGTCGCTTGCTTTATCAGCTGCTTTTTTGTCCATCGCGGCTTTCAGCTGCGCCCGCATCGTTTCAGGCATCTCGGCAAGTACATCTTGGTCCATTTGCGTGGGCACCATATACTGCGCGTCCACGGGCGCTCGCGATTGGGGTTCCATGCGATCATATTCGACCTCGAGTTGCGCAAGCTCTTCTTCAGCTCCTGGCGCCGGAGAGAGTGATCGGCGCTGAAATGACACCAGCGAGGGCCCCGGGAGGAGGGGTGTTTCGGCTTCATCCCATGCACCTTCGTCGAAACGCACCGTTTTGGGTGCTTGGGCGGCGCCGTCGCTGGTGTTGCTTTTGCTTGGCAGCTTTTCGCCTTGCAGCACAGGCCATGTCGCATCCCTCTTATCGGAGCCGAACATGAGCAATGACTGCCCGTCCTTGGGGACGAGAGGCAGGTGGGCACCGGGAGTCGTGGAAGTGAGATCCTGCAGACTGATGCCGATTCCTCTGAGCTCGCGGGGATCGGCATTGAGAGCTTTAATCAACGACCACGCGGTACGCTTGATCTGCGCGGGGTCGTGCGTCGAGCTAGAAAGTTTGGCACTCTTATTGTATGTTTGGCAGACGCCATGACCCAGGAATTTCGGCGCTTCTACTGGCGCGTCCTTCGCCCTGACCATAACGGCGACTTGCACTTTGCGCCCGGCGAGCTTGGCTTTTTCCATGCGGCCGGCGACTTCCGCAGCGAGATTCTGCACAAATGTCTCCGCCTCGCCCTGATCTTGGAAGCGCATGGCGTAATTGACAGCGGCACCGATACTGCGCCTGACGCGCGCACCTTCTAGCTTGTCTCGCTCTTTTCCGTGCAGCTTGTTCCAGTACTGCGCCCCCTTCTCGCGCCCGAAAACGCGACGAAAGTCGGACTCCTTAGCTTTGAACAGCAACTCTGAGATGGTGACACAGCCAAATTCCTTCTTGCACGCCTCGCGAGCGCTCCATCCGATACCGTGGAGGTCGTCGATATCGAGATCCGCCAAGAATGTCGGCACATCCTTGTCGAGCAAGTGGAAAGAGCCGCCGGGCTTGGCTTTGCGAGTCGCCAGCCTTGCCAAAAGGACATTCGATCCGATGCCGATGCTAGCTTCCGTGCGCGTCTTGCTGCGAATCTCGTCACGCAGCGCCTCGGCGAGCTGCCTCTCCCCCGTCCAAGAGTCTCCCTGACTACTGACATAGTGCCTGTACTTTTCGAGTAGTTGCGCCTCTTGGCGAACGTTTCCGTTTCGCAGCTCTTCGAGAAGGAAGCTGACATCGATCAGCGCCTCGTCAACGCTGACTGCTTCGATGGCGTCTGAGTGCGCCAGGAGGATGGTGTAGAGCTGGATGCTGATATTGTTGTATGCATCAAATTCGTATGGGATAGAGTGCACCTCTGCGCACTTCGTGTGAGCTTGTCCTAAGCTCATACCATTGCGGATGCCGAACGAGCGCGCGACGTAATTGCATGATGCGATCTCAGACGTGCTTGTCCTTTGGACAGGGACCGTTCTCTGATCACCGTCGGTACTGTACATCTGCCCTTGCCGATGACAGACGACGACCGGCTTAGCGTTTAGCTCTGGACGATCACGTAAACCAACGCTGACGAAGAAGCTGTCGAACTGATGAGAGCACAGACGGAGGAACGAATAATCGGCGTGAACAAGGTGAGCTCCTGTCTCGGCTCCCACCCGCAATAGCTTACATCGATGTGCATGATGACCCTTTTGACACCCTTGGGGAGCTCAGGACTTCCCATTACCCTACCAGATTCGCGGAGCGCGTCTTCGACCATATCTTTCATCTGCATCTTCCAACTGCTGAGGTGGTGCAACCTGCTCTTTTCAAAATACCCGCTCAGGAAGTCCCCGCTGGATGCAGTGTTGCGCTCACGCCACGAAGGCGACGCGAGCAGGCGTGCGGCGTGCCCATTGGATGGATGTGAGGTGTAAGGCGCGTTATCGACCACGAGACGCGCAGCCGCAACAGGCAAAGAGGGGTTTGTGCCGATGACTGTGTAAGGCTGCGTGGTGCCTACTGGGGTTTGAGCAGCTGCAGATATCATAATCCCCACTTTGGACGAGCTCTCCGCACCTCTCGCCCAGATGTCGAGCAGCTTTTTCTGAGCGGTGCTCTTTCCCCATGGCGACGTATTGTTCTTGTCCGCAAGCGCGGTTGGGGGCAGGAACGGGTCCGCCTTACCCTTCTCAGGTGTAACAGGAGCTTCCAGTCGGTTTCCATCTTGTGAAGCCAGCTCTTTATGCGCTCTTAACGAAGTCACATTTATCCGCGTCAACTTGCTACTCCACTGGCTACCTTGGTTCTTAGCAGCTTCCTTGCTCTGCACTTTCATCTTGTTCCAGCGCTCCAATTCAGGTCCATTCTCCGCCTCGACTCGATAGCGCCTCCAATCCATTCGTCTGCCTTCTCTGATTGAGTCGAGAATCCATGATTCATTGACGACCTTGTAGTCTTTGAACTCGATGCGTTTCTTCGGTGTCAACGACGAAGCGATGATGTGCGTCACGGTGCCCTTGGTGTCGAGATAGGCCATGAAATCACCGCCATGCAGAACAATGAGACGGCGCAGCTCTAAATAGGGTGGCTGAGTAAGGCCGTTAATGTAGATACAGCAACCTTTGAATACTTGGGGATGCTCCTTGTCAATCTCAGCGATATCAGCTAACGGCTTCGAGCTGCTCTCTTCTGCATCTTTGACCGCCAGTGACCCCAGGGCTCGCTGCTGATATTTCAGGAGCATGCGTTCTTCTTGCAGTAAAGCACTTTCCTGAACCTTGAGCTTTTGTCGTTTATGACGCATGTATGTCGCAAAGTCCCCAAAGGCGACAGCTTCGTACGCTTCCGAGTCGAGGTAGGCATCTTGGCGATCAGCTTTGGCGCCTACAGATCCTGTGATTTGGTCATCATACTGCCGTGCATGTCCGTTGCCACCTGACGCAAGGCCAAATGACGATTGGGAAACAGCCGAAGGAGACGAGCTTCCGTCGTGCTCCACTGCGTCTGGAGCTCGCCGCGAGGACTTCGCCTCTGATGGCTCGGGTGTGAATAGCCTGTCCATATTCGCGTCCACATCCATCATGTTGTGGAAATCATCGCTATTAGTACCTTGAAGGGCAGCGGCCTCTTCATGTCGACCGATGGCATGGTCAAATAGCGGATCATCGCCCAAGCACGAAGCATTGGAAGTGACAGGCTCTCGTTCGCCCGACGGTGAAGGCGACTCGGCCCGCCGCCGTTTCTCAGCCCGGCGAGAATCGCTTCCCTCTGGCATTTCAACCGAGTGCTTGCAAAGGGGGGTCTCTTCACATCCTACTGGTCTTCATTAATTGCCTCGCACCCTTCTTGGCCACCGTTTACGAAACCTGCTGATCCGCGTGGTGTGATCTTCGGGCCGGGAGAATGCATAAAGCTCCAACAGCCATGGTGCCAACTCGGCAAGCCCTTTCAGCAAAAGAGTCATCGACCGGCTCACAGCATTTGTGATGCTACCCTCGCCCATCAAGAGCATACTTCGATGGAGTGCAATAGGATAGGTGATTTCGAAGGCTGCAATCAAAATGAAATAACGAACAACCGCTGAGCTCCACAGCTGTCTCTCGGCCGCCAGCGCGCCAGCTCTCGTTTTCGTCGGCGAGAACGTGCTTCTCGGGTCACGGTTTGGCGATTGTACCATTGAACCACTGCAGGCCGCTGAGCAATCTTCGTAAAAGATGGGATGATCACGCCCGAAGACAAGGAAACAACAACTGTCTCGAACATTTTGCAGGCAATCCCCGCTCTTTTTTTGTCAGCGTCGTCGACACGTCTTGACAAGCATTTGCAATCGGTAGTGTCATTGAACCTTGCAACAACTTGGCGATGATCTTGACGGGGGGATAGGTGGCTTTCTTTCATTATCCTCTAGTCATCCAACGAACGTCCATGTTTGGGTTGAGCACCTCGTGAGAATCCGAAAAAGGCTACTGCTTGATATTGTTCCTGCCCGCTAAGCCCTGAGCACAACGTCCGATATCGCTCGAGGTCCGCCTAGTCACTCCGTCGAGCCGACCGACTCTGAGCCAACTTGACCAGCTTCAGTCAGCCTCTTGATCGGTTCTCCATTCTCAGTATCCAAATTCCAACCTCAGTCAGAAGCGACCTCGCCAGAGCAAGTTTGGTAGAGATGGAAGGCGGAATTAGCAACACGACTCCATCAGCGAGTGCGGCTGCGCCCAGCGCGACGTCCTCGGGGTCTAAAGAGGACATACCCAGGATCGGTACGTGACTGTAATAGCGGACGCTGGACTACGGTACTGAAACCTGATTGACGAGACCACTTCTTGGATGGGCCACTTCTCTGATGATATTAGGTGGTTCCTTCTGGACATTTCTGGGAATCGTAATCGGCGCTGCTGTTTTTTTGACCGTGGTCGCGGGCATAGGCTTTCTAATGTAAGTCGCTTCAGACATAGTGCGAGAGCTCGTAAATCTTCATTTGTGCTCTGCCCACTCTCTCCCTACATCTGACTTTTTTATGGGCCTATTGTTCCAAAGACTCCGCCACAACCGTCGCAGGCGCATCACACGTCGAGCAGGACGCGGCGACAACCTCTTTGCGTCTCACCCGACGCCCTTCGTGCCCGGCCAGCGGCGGTTTGCACTCCTGCGCGACTCTGCCGGTCCAGACCTAAATGAAAATGATCCTTTCGTCGCGACGAGTCCGCGCGTAAGCGGGACGTTCGGCGGCTACGGAAGAGGGGCTGAGAGCCACGGTAGCAGCGGGTACGACTACGACGACGTAGCTGCGGATGGAGGCCCTACACATGAGACGGACGCTGCTTTTGGAGGGTATAGTCGCTATGCGGGCTACGATGATGCGTACAACAGTTACGATGTACATGGGCTTCCCAGTGGCGCCGGTGAAGCGCATGCTGGTCAAGGAGGGCAACACACAATCTCACATACGGCGCAAAGCTCAATGGTTACTGCAACGAATACCATCGCTGATGAGCCGAAAATGCCTGAGCCACGAGTCCCGGGGACGTAAGCTATTCGTTATTAGTGCGATGGTAGAGAATGGCTCCGTTGCATTTGGATCAGTCACGCCCTCTTCCTGTTCGCCTCAATGCATTCTGGAGATGCTGTGCCCACTGTACAAATAGCACTACTTCATGCTCCTGTATTCCTTTCCACTTGTTTCCCTCGCAACGTGCAACTACATCAAACCATGGCCAATCACCGATGACGACATTTTGCACAAGCCACGATTGTGGCGCGTTCAACACGTTCGTTTACAGTCAAGCAACCTCGCGCGTGTGGCTTGGCGATTCATCACTGCACATTGGCGATGTTCCATCCATCAACAAGCAAAAACGCATACACGCTGGCGCGCCCTGACCTGTCAGTTGAATCTCCCCCTGCACATCCTATTGACTGGAGGCGCACCATGGTCGGCTTCAGACTGCGCGCGGTCTCCTTGGCTGCTTCGCTTCTTGCCTTCTGCGAGCGCGAAGCAGAGACTCGTATGTCTGCAGAGTGACAAAATCGATCGCTGTGAGAACTTTCACCCAGAACGCCAGAGCTTATTACATCTGCATTGTGGACGGGCTTGAAGTCATCGCTCTCGGTGAGTAGCGAAGGCGGCAAGGTCGGGTGCTTCCCACGTTAGGCCACTTCGAGATGCAAGGGAAGAAATCAGAGTAGATGCAAGCTGGTCCGGCTGACTGACTTGCCGCAAGCAAGTAGGGGGCCGGGCTCTCTTGCGATGAGCTCTGCTTCGATCGGGTAGAATGCACCGTTTGCAATTGCGGTTCCAGATTCGGCTCCATGCCTCGAGGGCAACGCATGTAGATCAAGAGGCCAGTTCTGGAAGTAGCTTGGTTCATGTTTGAAAGTTCTCTCATCATGGCTTTTAGCCCTGCGCTTACTGGCGTTGTTGCGGTTGCTCGGCCCTCGCTGTTTCGCACCCTCTCCTTGATCATCTGCCCCATAGAGGCGTATTCTCGCCTAAATGACTATCGAAGCGGACGACCCATGAGCTCTTGTGCGCCGCTCCTCCAGCGCTACGGATCCAGCCTTGCTCCTGCTGCTATCCGGCTCCAAGGCAAGGAATTGCTCCGCCATGCCAATCGCGCTGGTATCCTCGACGTCGTTCTCGTTACCTTGCTTCAACACTGCTGGTATGCCTTTTAGTCCTGCTCCGTCGCATGCACTCTTTGCACGGGCATCGACGTCACCATCACCATCATTAGGCAGATTTATGTCCATCCCTTCGCCCGTGCTGAAGGCGAACCGCGCAGTCTGGCCCCTCCAGACGCGATCCATGATGGGCTGCTGCTGCGAAGGGCTGCCAGAGAGCACCGGCATGGCCTCTTCGTGTTTGGGCTTGTCTGCTTTCAAAGAAGTGATAATGATGGATGCTGGGCTGAAGCCTTCCGATTCCTGCGTCGCCTCGTCCTCCCCGTCCTTGCTGTCTTCTCTTACAGGCTCGATCGATGCATCATCGGTTGCTGCATTGAATTCAATGTGTAGCGGGAGATCGTCTTCGATTTGCGGAAGGCCGCACAGGGAACCTTCTGACTTCAGTGGGCTGTCCTTTTCTTCTACAGCAGATCCCATGGGTTGAAAAGTCGTTCCCACCGGACAAATGTTCGATACCGGAGTGCATTCGCCTTTGCTGCCGTCGTCGGTGTTTCCTGTGCCATTGTAGTCGCCCTTGCCGGAAGACCGAGTGCTGCCATCGATCGCTTCGTTGCTTTTGCGCTGAAGTTGAACCCACGAGTAGAGCTCTTCTTCGTTTCTTGGTATAAATGGCGGTAGGCCACGAGCAGCGTTTCCAGCCTCGCACTCATCTTCCGACTCCCAATCGATGCTGTCCATCAGCTCGAAAAGTTCCGGCTTGTCTTGCAAGAAAGCCAGCTGGTCTTCGACAGTGCTGAACAGGGTCCACGCACCCCCAACGAACATGGGTGCAAACGGCACGGGTCGATGTGCATATATCGAGTTGTCATGACCCTTCATAATGCTCTCGAGGCTGACGCTCGTAACGGGTAGCCGACGAATACGGCCGGGTAGCACTTCGCGTCGCATGGGTGCCTCTAGGTGGGCTGGGTGCGCGTTGGCGGACTGATGTTGGCGGAGCGACTCGGCTGCACGCTTGGCAACGTTGGAAAGGTAGACGCGCGAGGAAGGGAGAAAGCCTCCAGGAAATACCATGCCTGCTCCTACTGGGTGAGCCCAACTAGGCAGAGAGGGGAAGGCACGGAGCCGCATATTGTTGCTGCCACCCGCGACGCCTTCGCCCAGCCGCGGCCCGCTGGTTGCGATCAGGAATTCGGGAAAGGAGATGACACCGTCTTTCATCGCTTCCAAGAGCAGCTTCTCTGTCTCGGACCCCGGCGCAGCTGGGATAGCCATGCTAAGGTGGGGAAAGACATTTGCAAGGCTGGTCAAGGCTCGAAGGTACGCCTCCCAGATGTCGTCTGTTGCTTGTTCGTCTCCGAATTGCGGTTTGCGGGGCGTAACGCGATGATCGGGATATCCTGCATCCTCGGCCGTGTCCGAAACCGCAGAATCATCGCCTCCGAGATAGGCGGTGAGATTGGGCCTGCCTCCTGCTAGGGCGATGCGAGTGGCGTGTGCGCGGAATGACTGTGCGATCTCATCTACAGCTCTTGTGTCTGGCACAGGCGAAGGCGAACGCAGTCGTCGACGCCGAACGCGCCGTATGTTGACCTGCAAGAGCTTGTCGACCTTGGCAGCAAAATTGGCTGATATGTCTGCCAATGTATGCGCACCGTCACCATTGGTTAGGATGGTGTCGCCGGCGCTCTCGTGCTCCTCGTCCGCTTCACCCAGACACTGCTTTGCCCCAAATACCTGGACGATGGCCTCCCGCTGTCGGTCGTAGGGCGCCTTGCGATCCCTCTTTCGCTTAAGCCCCGACATGCTCGCGGTGCGCACTCATACGCTGATGACCGGCTATCCGGTCGATCTGGGCGGGTGTACTGCACATCTTACTTCTGCTCGCATCATGCAGGCAGCGGCTGGTCACTGCATAGCATCCCGTCTCCATGTGGCTCACGATCTCCAGAAACCAACAGTGATGTATTTCTTTTAGCATGCTGGGCAGAAAGAATGAAATGCGCGGCAACCACGATGGCGCGACGCGTGGAAAGTCTCATTTTGTTGAACGGGAGACTCACAAAAGGCAAACAAGCGACCGCATCGATTGACAGACTCCTCACTTTTTCACGACTGCGACCTTTTTCAAGGTTGCTGCATGCCATGCAGTCGAAGTGCATTGCCAGCACTGCGCACTCTCCCTTGCAGAAGCAGGTTTGAAATCATGAGCGTCACCGCCGGCCTCGACTACCTGGAAGATGGCTTCAGCGCGTCGTCGGTGACAATGCTGCGCCTACGCCAGATCCTCTTCGAAAACGGCATCGTCCTTCCATCCACGGCACGCAAGGCTGACCTGGTCGACGCATTCGGCGTACACATCGTCCCACAGCGCGAGAAACTTCGCAGGCGCAAGCTAAAAGATGGCAGCGCTAAAGCCGATGGGACAGGCATACAGGACATGCGGGACGGCGCCGATGGCGTGCACACCATCGCTGCTTCGCCTGCTGCGTACTCCAAAAGGCGGCAAACAGTGAACGAGGGCGGCAGTGAAAGCGAAAGTGGCACAACAGAGAGCAGGATTAGCATGGACAGGCCTAGGGGAAGGAAGGGTTCGCGCGTCGCCAGTGCGGCCAAAGACATTGATCACCCAGCCTCTTCGCCTTCGAGAAAGTCCCCAACACGATCTCGGTCGTCATCGCCCCGCAAGCGAGAGAAGCCGAACGAACCGAAGTCGATTTTAAGCAACATCAGTGATCGAGAAGACTCTGGAAGCGACAAGAAGAAAATGAAGAGCCAGAGCGTCAAGCGGCGGACCAGCGTCACTTTTAATCCGGATATCAAATATCATGATGATGACGGCGACATTAGCAACTTTTCCACCGCGAATCCCTTCCAGAGCGGCAGTCCAGCGCCAGGGTCGGGAACGATGCCTCGAAAGGTGAGCGGGCTTTTACCACGCTACGAAGTCTTCAGAATTAGTCAACTGACCTACGTGATACGCACATGCTTAACAAAAGTCTGCTCCCGCGCGCGTGCGTGCGGGTGGGACACCCGCGCATTCGCCACGTGCTGCAGCTCCTGGTATTGAAACGAGCTCGTCTTCGTCGTCTGCTTCTGCGGTCAAGGCACTGCCAGTTCTGCGCAACTTTATGGATCCCCTCATCGCGGCGAGCACCCCGCCGCGCGCTGTCGGCCAGGTCGTACGTCGCATTGTGTCGGCCGGCAGCGCTGTGGCGGGGAGCGTCACTGGGCGGGTGAGCCCGGCGGAAGCAAGCGAAGAAGAGACAGGCGAGGAAGATGACGAGGGTGGAGATGAATATCAGGACGAAGAGGACGATGCAGCTGGCGGTGGCGCAGAAGACTCGATGGCGACAACTGTGGACTCGAGCTTCGACGTCAATACCGATCCTAGTCCATCCATCCACGCACTCCGCGAGAAGCGCAAGCGACAGGGCGGAAGGTCAAGCTTGTCGCATGAGACCACCAACCTCTGGAAAGGTGACTCACCCATGAATAGCAAGAGCCGGAGAGGCGGCCATAGTGTCTTTAGCCACGCGGGTAAAAACACACGCGGAGCAGCAGCAGCAAGAGCTGAGGAACGATGGGCAAGATTGCAGCGCCTCGGCCTCTGCTTCATTGCGTTGTACAGCCTCTTCGTCTTTTACGTCGCAACGCTCGAGACGCGTACCATTGGCTTCTGCGATACAGGAAGCAATACCAACAGCGCACTGGCTTCACAGCAGGCGTTGCGCCAGGCAGCCCAAGCAGCTGCACATGGCACAGGGGGTGGCCTCAACCAGGAAGGAGATGACCAGCTTCTCAACGTTACGCTCTCTTCCTTTGTACCAGATCGCTGGCTCCCACAGACGTGTACCCCATGTCCGGCCCACGCTGATTGCCGAGACGGAGCGTTTGTGCGCTGCAGCACCTCCGACTTTCTCCTCTCCGCATCGCTCACCAGCAAGGTACCCGTGTTACGCTCGTTCGCGCCGTTAAGCTGGCTCGCGCCTACTTGCATGCCGGACACGCACAAGCTCGTCCTAGCGCTGGAGCTCGGTTCAGAGCTGGAGCGCGTCCTCGCTGATTGGCACGGCCAAGTCCTGTGCGGGTATCAGTCGCCACATGAAGCCATCGCGGATGGAAAGCTGTCCGCCGCCAAGGACCGCGAAGAGGCGGGTGCGCTGCCGGCCGTCCTGCTGAAGGCTGATCTGCACGCGCGCATGGACCGCGACATGGTGGATGATGAGTACTTTGAGCAGCTGTGGACCATGGCGCTGGGCGAGTACGAGAAGAGCAGCGAGGTGAAGCGCTTGCGGCCCACCTTCAACAGTACGGCAAGGGGAGCTGTCGGAGCGGTGCTGGGCGAGGAGTCCAGCGTCTCCGTGCTGGTCGACAATGATGAGCAGGATCTGCTGTACGCACCGCGCGCCATCATGTCGCTCAGCTGCTCTGTGAGTCTGCGCGTGCATTCCTTCCTGCGGCGCTTTCGCCTGTTCGGCCTGCTGCTTGTTGCGCTGCTCGGCCTGTTGGACTGGACGCGGCGGCACTGGGCTCAGCGCGCGAGCGAGTCGAAGCGAATCGCTGAGCTGGTGCAGATCGCGCTCGAGCACCTGCAGGAGCAGGAGTACAACCATGCGGTACATCCGGTGCTGCACCCGGAGCCATTCTTGGCGACGGCGCAGCTGCGCGACCACGTGCTCGCTAGCGAGCACTCGACCAAGGCGCGCAAACGCCTCTGGGCCAAGGTCAGCAGGGTCGTCGAGGAGAACGCCAACGTCCGCACGCGTCAGGCACAGCGGCGTGGCGAGTGGGCGCGGGTATGGGAGTGGATCGGAGGTGGCGCCGGCACTTGTGCCCAGAGGAGCGGCGCGGCGAGCCCGGTACCGATACCAAGCGTAGCAGCATCAGCGGCAGCGGTGCCGGAGATGGCAGAAAAGAAGAGTGGATGAATTCGGCATGGAAGGAGAGCGCAGAAGGGATTGGGGGGAGAGGGTGCTGGGCAGCCCGCGAGCACGACCCCCCCCTGGGCTGGCTCGGCTTTTGCCAGAATGCTCGTCTTATTCTGCTACGTCTGTATTGTACCTATCACACAAGCGACAATGATACCCACGAACGTACTCACTCCTTCTGTGCCACTAATTTGCATGCGAGTCAACTGCTGAACGAAGCAGGGTAGACACGATGAGGAACACTAGGTAGGGAGACACAGATCATTGTGCATTCATTGAGCGCAGGGTCGAATGCGGCCATCTAGTAGCTTGTCTTGTGGAACAGGGGGGTAGGTGCTGAACAAATGCGATTATGAACACGTAGCTGCTGCCAGGTGGTAACGCCGAAAGGAAAGACATCCAAGGGCGAAAGTGCACATAAAGAATACGCGTGTTCAAAAGAGAGAGAAAGGCAAGACCCCAGATGGGGAAAGAGTCCTGGTCGTCGTCGTCCTTGTCGGTGCGCCGGGTTTGGTCTAAAGTCTCATTAGATAATCTGGCGTGCGCGAGAATGGCGCGCGCCATGAGATGATTATTTTGTTCATCAAATTTGAAACGTCTCGCATTGTCCGTTGATGCCAGCGTTTTGTAGTGAGCGATGTTTAGTGCAATCCATGAAGCAGATGGACAAGCGATGCGTACACAACATTAGTTGTCAGGTCAGATGAACGGAGAGCCGGGGCAACAGCTGCTGCTGTTGCTGCCGCTCACGAAAGGAGCACGCCGGCAGCAGCGCTGAGGAGGGAGATGACGAGGGCGCCGACGCCGAGCGCGGGTGAAGCGACGCCTGCGCCCGCGTGGCCTCCCCTGCTGGCGCCGCTGATCGATCCGAGGGTGGGGTTGCTTCCGACGTTGCTGCCTGCTGCGCTCGGGGAGCTGACGCCTGATGCGTAGTAGATGCTCGTGCCAGTGGCCGCCCGCGCCGGCTGGCGCGTGTACTGCCCCGGGATGCCGGTGGTGTCACCACCGGCGCCAACGCTTTGGGCGGAGGGTGACGCGGTGGCCATCACGAGGTCGCCGGTGGTCGCAGCAGTCTGGGCGGAGCTGCCCTTGAGGCTGGCGAAGCCGACGCTTGGCGGGTTGGCGCGGTAGACGGAGAAGACGTTCTTGAGGAAGGCATCGCCAATAATGTATGGGGGCGCGGAGTTACCCGTGTCGATGCCAAAGACGGAGCCGAGACAGTAACTGCCAGCGTTGTCGACGGCGCCTGCGGAGAAGTCCAGTGGGTTGACTGAGTAGTGCTGCCCGCCAAAGGTGAAGGTGAGCTTGATGGTCGAGCTGCAAGGGTACGCGTAGTAGCCCTGGCCCAACTCCGAGACCGGCTGAGCGCCCTCGATGGACGTGTAGAGCGACGAGGCGATTTGCATCGGCACAGCAATCAGCGTTGTGCCCGTGTCGATCGCGGCGATCTTGTTCGGATATATGGGCGAGCCGTTGAGCGCGATAGAGTCGAGCAGAATGGCCCAGTAGCCGAACGGCTGAATCTGAGTGGGGATGCCGACGTAGTTGATCGAGCCCGAGTACTGGTTCGAGTCGATCTCACCAAGTGTGAAGACACCGCCGGGCGACTGCTGCGTCGCGGTCGTCACCTGCTGATTCCGCGCAAGCTGGAACGTGAATGCGTTCGTAGGCAACTTGTTCTGCTTGGCCAGCACCTGCCAGAACGGCGTGACGCCGGCGGCGCTGAGCTCTTGGAAGCCCATGCCCATGAGGCCAGAGGCGGGCGCATCGATCGTGTTGTCCGCTAGATCGGTCGCCACGCCGAAACTCTGCGAGGCGACGGAATATCCGGCAAGGGAGATCGTGTCGGCGGCCATGTGGCCCTGCACGGCACCTTGGCCGTAAGTCACCGTGAATGGCTGGGAAGAGCTTTGGTATGAGCTGGAGGTGCCCTCGTTGAACTTGGCCAGGCCGTTGCAGTTGGTTGACGTGCACTCGCTCGCGGCGACCCTGAGGGCACAGAACAAAGGAAGCAAGTGTTTCACGTTAGCCAGGGTGCCTCTGTGAACATCCGGAGTCATCTCTCTCGGTAGCATCACTCACCAAAGATCAGCGCTACCGGTATCTAGGACAATGGCAAGGTTCTGTGCTGGCGTGCCAAACGAGACCTGAGCAAAGTAGTAGCTGCGCGAGGGTGCGTTGCAGAAGCCAGGCCGGAGCACGTCAGGACGTTGGGTCTATTCAAACTCCTGGTCGCAACTCACGTGTCCGGGCCGACATCGGTGAGACCGACAATCTGCCTCTTCTGGGAACGGCTATAGGTGGCGTTGGCGTCGAACGCATGGCTCCATTTGTTGATGATGTAGTCCTTTTGGCTCTTGGCGTGGGCAAAGACCTGTTCCGGGGTGCGACCGGCACGTTTGTTGAGTGCCTGGTGCTTGTCGTACTTGTAGAGCGGAAAGGAGATGGAGCGCTTGCTGATGTTGCCGCTGCTGTTGCTGCTGCCAGTGCTGTCTCGCTTGGCGAGGGGGCCCGCTGCTGGCAGCTCTGCTGCAGGGTGTACGACTGCCGCTGATGCACAGCCGATGGCAGAGAGCGCGGCGAGCGTGAGAGCAGAAGTGTGCATGGTGAGCGAACTGGGTGAAGCTGCTCAGCAGCCCGCTAATGCGGTTCTAGTGCTTTTGCAGTGGAGCAGGTTCTGGTTGTGATGCTCCGGCTGGAGATGGGTAGAGGTATATAAAATGCCCGGCGACGATTGAGATTGGGTTGAGAATGGGGGGATGCTGCTGAGCGTGATGTTGTTAGATTCGGAGTGGGCCGACCATTAGGCACAGAGAGAGCGGGAGAGCAAGATGATAAATTGACGATGCGATGATGATGATCAGGAGGATGACGGAATATGTGCCGTGCTGTGCCTAATAGTGTGTGAGTGCGGTTGTTGATCACACTTCTTCCATGCCCTGGCGGCACTGCTGACTCAACTTCACCACATGCAGAAGGGGCAGTGCCGCAACAGCAGACTCTTGTGCTCCGACATATTCCATTCACAGTGGCCGCGTCCGGGCACCCCAAGAGTCAGTTGAGCGGCTGGGCACTGTGCCACACCGTCCTTGCTCAATGGTGTGCTGGGGCTGACGTTCATCATCGGGCTGTGGGCCACTCTTAGCGTGGCACCTTTTGTGCACGTTGGAGCACTGAGTTGTGCGGTGTCGACTGAATGTGCCCTTCAGTCGAGCAGTGCACATGTGAGAGCTAGTTTCGGGTCTTTACATGTGTGCATTCTACGCTCTCTGATGTACTGCAGACTCGATCAGCATCCTCGCTTTCGCAGTGATCCAGTGCGCTGTGGAGTTCATCCTCCTCCATCCTTTTCGTCTGCTTTATTGATCACAGGCATCGCATCCTTGCCTCATGCTTGTCGCTTGACGTTCATCCCATTCTCCGCGTTGCCACCGGCGATAACTAAAATACATGCATGCACTCTCACAGCCCTACCCGTCCGGAACCAGAAAGCCAACCATCGTGCTGTCGATCATTGCCTCGATGTTGACCCACGAGTGCGTGAGCATGAACAGGCGCGTCCCATCCCTTCCCGCGACGCGCATCAGCTCCTTGACACCGCCCGGGTGATACCGCAGGTAGGGCGTGATGTTGTACACTTTGCCATGGAAAGCGGACCACGCGTCCTCGGCGTTAGCGTGCGCCTTGAGCTCTGTGGGTGTGATCTTACGCAACTGCGTGATTCCGCCCTGCATTGGTGTTGTGTCAAAAGGAAGAAGGGGGAGAAGAAGCAGAGGCCCGGCAGGGTGAGAATCAACACCATGGAAGACATTGTGGAAGCATTTTCTTGCGCGTCCTCACTCTCAAGTCACTGCTGCTCTTCAGCCGCGCCCAGTCAAGCGGCCCGTATCCCGGCTCAAGAACGACCTTCTTCCTTCCGCTACCGGGCGCAATGCCTGTCCCGCTTCTGACAACGAGGCCGCTGCTCGCTGACGCCTGCGTTGGAGGTGCCCGCAGCGATGCCGCCAACGATGAATGCACAGGAAGAGATGCGCCGGATGCGCCGCCAACGCCTGCTGGCGCTGAGTTTGCGGTCGTTCGAGGCGGCGGCATGAGACCGCCACCGCCTACCCCTGCAGGTACCGCCAGCCCTCCTTCTAGGGTGCTCCGCGTTGCGGGCGCCTTTGGGGCCGTTGATGTTCCTGCCGGAGTGTCTATTGATGGCGTGGCTGATGCCTGTGAGGATGGCACACCTAAGACCTCGCGTAGCGATGCCAATCTAGTCGACGAAGGTGAAGCGAATGGTGGCGGTGATGATGATGATGACGCGGCCGCCGCTCCGTTGATATCCTGATCGAGCTGGGCAGGCGATGAATTCCACCCAGGTTTGGAGACAGTAACACTCGGTCCCGATGCGAGTTCTGGTGCGAGTGCCGGCGCTCGGCTACTGGAAGCGGACAAAGAGTTCACATTTCCCGCGAGACTCCGCTGCGGCCCATTAAGCGCAGGGAAAGCTGGCGGCTCGTCATCGATCTCATCTGGTACGGCGCGAACTAGAGGGTCATGATTCTCGCTTCTTGTTTTGCTTGAAGTAAGGCCTTCCAGGGGGAGGCCTGCTTTGGCTGTCGACGTGTGTTTACGGCCCATGCGGCTGCTCCCAGCGAGTGATTCGCCATTTGTCTCACTTGCATCTATGCGCAGCTCAGGAAGGCAGTCGACCGCATCTTCGAAGTGATCGTCGTCGTCATCCTCCGCTGCGTCTCGGGCGAATGAGCCTTCTCTATCCATCTTCTCCGAATTCCGAGCGCTCTAAGACGCCAAATTTGCTGCTTGAGGTGGCGCCAGGCGCTGTATGCGCTGCCCCCGGAGTCAAATGTAGTATGGGACGTCTAATGGTGACTCTTGGTGAGAGCGTTCGAAGCCGGTTGCTCGCGGTCTGCCACGCGCCAGATGTAGGGTTTATGTCTCAGCGGAAACTACGCTCAAAGCCTCATCATTCCGACCTTTTTGAAAGGCTTCAGACTTCCAGGAGGTCGAATTAGCGCCAGGCATCAAATATCAAGCCAGAAGTTTCAAGCTGAATGTTGCACCCAGTTTCAATTGATGGCGCGTACTGCCTGTTCACTCACTGTTCTGCCTGTTACTCTCAAAAGGCACTAATTAAATGCGCTGGTGCCCGCCGTCGGAAAGCATTTACATAAGATATTGGGCGCTCGCCTCTCGGTCTTTGTGAGCAGTGTGACTATGAGAGTTTGATGGACGTGCTTAGTCTATAAGACGGAATAGGGTCTGGCGACCAGACTGCAGTGGTGTGAGGGAGCCGTTTGGCGCTGGGCACTCGAACCCTCTTCCGTTGCCTGCCGACGCAGAAGCCACAGAAAAGTGATCGGACAAATGATTCGTTCGGTAGCAAGGCCGGCCATATAACTCACTCGGCCGCACATTAACAGCAAAAGAGTGCCGGGGGAGGGGGGATGCGGTCAGGTTGCAGATTCATTTGCCGAGGTCAGAGAGCCTTGTGAGCGGTTGTCTCTTCCCAACCACAGCATGACGCTGAGAAGTGCTGCGATGACACGGGACGGGAACCGGAAGAGCGAAGAAACCATTCCTTTAAATGAAGCCCCGCGATGCCACACCCCTGAGCTACAGCTGCGACGACTGTCCCACGTACCTGATACTGTATCATCTGGACGCATATATACTCAAACTCGATACTTTTGATCGTTTGCGTCGCACCGCCGTTCCCCTGTCTCCGTCCACGCTCTCGCCTTGCGTTTTGAGCTGCTGTTGCGGTGTGACTGAAACCACGTTCTTTATTTCGGCGAGATGTTCTCCATTACGGTCGCGCTCGGCGTCGGCGCCTTGCTCGCCCCTAGGGTCCTGGCAGATGTATGGAACTTGAGCACTACATACCAAGGCAGCGAGTTTATGGCCAATTTTGACTACTGGGGCGACACGAACGCCACTGCCAAGGATCCCAGCAATGGTCTCGTCAAGTATGTTGGTAAATCGGCAGCACAGTCGTCCAACGTGACTTATGTAGACAGCAAGGGCCTCTTCCACCTGCAGGTGGACACGACGGAAGTGTAATTAGAAGGTCGTCCAAGCGTTCGCATGTCTTCAAAGCAGACCCTTGAGGACGGTATTTTCGTCATATGAGCCGATCCACAGGTGGCCAAGAACAACCATGGCGCGGTACTGATGCCAGCCCCTTTCTTCTTCAGCGATGTCACGCATGTTCCCACTGGATGCTCGGTCTGTGAGTCGAAACCCCATCGCGCGCAGTTTTCCGTCGGCGTTGACACACTGCCACCTCTCACAGGGCCCGCATTCTGGTTGGTCAACCCGGACACCGCCAGTTATCCAAAGGGCGGCGAATTTGACATTCTAGAGAATGCGAATGACCAATTCCACGGAAACCTTGTCTGTGCACACCGGCGGCGATTGCGTTCTGACGACTTCGAAACAGCAACAGAGCGGTATCACATCCTACGCGAACTGTACAGTCGACTATTCGACCGGTAACAACGGTTGCAGAGTCGAAATGAATCAGGCCACTATCACCGGGAGCAGCGCAGTTGTACCAACATGGGGCACCGAATTGAATCAAGCCGGCGGCGGTGTTTTTGCTACTGAGCGGTCGATGGGGTCAGCAGGCCACGGTGTGTGCGTCTGGTACTGGCCGCAGTCCAGCGTGCCCACCGATCTGAAAGTCGGCAGCCAGTCTGTCGATCCGTCAACGTGGGGCACGCCCGCGGTGGACATGCCGATCGCTAACATATGCCATTCGAATTTCGGGCAGCAGAGCTTGGTGCTGGATATCACGCCGTGCGGCGACTGGGCAGGAAGTACGTACAACCAGAGCGGCTGCAACCTTCAGTACACCGCTTGCTCTTACCAGGTGGGGTACAACGGCTCCAGCTACAACCAATCGTACTGGGGGATCAACGACGTGCGAGTCTTTGGCACAGGAGGTAATGCCAATGCTGCCATCTCGCCCAACACGGCCACGGAAAGTGCAAGCGCCGCAGCCCACCTTCACGTCGGGGTCGGCGCACTTGGCGCCGTTCTCTGTGCGGGATTCGTCGTCTCTTGGCTTATCTAGATAGTCTGTCGCATAACCAAATGTAAATGTCTCCATCGTTCCGAAGTGCACTGACTTATTGGCGCCTCCTTTTTGGTGCACGGGCACTTGATCGCATCCGTTTCTACCCATGTATCTTACATCAGCATGTCATTCCTCAGGCCGATTCCTTTTATCGAAGTGCCCACCTGAGTGAATGGTAGAACCGTCAGGTTTCAATTCCTCATTTGGGCGATCGTCATGTGCCAACTCACATCTTGACCACAAAGAGCTCGTCGGGCAAGCCATGCTGCACCTGACAATCCGCAATATCAAGGCCTGCCTCCCGAAAGACCCGTTCATATGCGTTCGTAGAGCGCGTAATTGAATGGTCCTCGTTGTCCCATATGCTCCGTTCCGAGCCATCTTCATTCTCCCCGCATACGTTCTCCTTAACGAAGATCATCCCTCCCGTCCGCTCCGACTCTGCCCATTCAGGCTGCGTGCTGCCATTTGGTACTTTTGCAGAGTCCTTGGCCGGCTTCAGCGACTGCTTGCAGCGCTTGAGAAAGGAGAGCAGGTCCGAGTCCGATAAGTGTTGCAGGCACCATTGTATCCAAACAACGTCATACTCGACCTCGTCGAGGACAGCACCTGCCTCCCCTGATGACCGGTCCTCTCCTACGTCTCCAGCAATTGAAACTGTAGGGGTAATTGCAGGTTCGATGCCAGCTACTAAAGCGGACTCATTTGGCGTCTGCGGTCCATCGGGATGCGCTTTTCGCTTGCCAGTCGCCTTGGCAGACGGTGGAGCGTACGGGTTCCGAGGGTCAAATAGTTGCAGGGTCGCCTCATGAAAGTGTACGACCTTACACGCATTAAAAGGCTGCTGTTCCGGGTGCAGCTTCATCGGTTTCCAGGTCGACGAACGCTTCTTTGCTTCGAGGAGAAACTGAAAGGACAAGAAGCGCAGACTGTCATCAGCACTCGCGCGATCTGCACGGACACTATTTTTTCGCACCTTCACAACAGGCTCGACAAGGTGGACTTCGTCAACAAGCGGAAGCAAGACCGTTTCCGTGACTCTGCCAACTCCGGCACCACAGTCAAGTGCACGCGTTACAGCCCGACCCTTGCTCGACTCTCCGCCCCTCCAGCGGACCTTCTCTTCCATCCATGCGGCCGGATCCGCGCTAGCAGGCGCAATGTTGCCAAGTCGTTTGAGATGCTTGAGTAGGAATTGCCGTGATCCTAGCGAGTCAACGCGCGGGAGGGTGCCGAGACCATAGCCGCCAAGTACTCCATCAACCGTCGCTGGCACACCTTGCCAGTACTCTACACCCTTCGCGATGTTGGGCACGGGGTGCACGACTCGAACAACTTGTTGCGACGCCGACATGACAGCCGCTGAGCCCTGTGCACGTTGAAATCGGTGCTCCATGCGCGTGAGATGTCCAGGTATGTACTGCAGACCACTCGATCAATGTGCAAGCCGGGAAGCGCGCAGAAGAGCCGAAGGGGACAGGTGATGAAAACGGATGGTGTCGCACACGAGAATCAAGGCAGCTCACCCTCTGCTCTTGGTCAGTTCCCCAAGGCCACTTTCAACTTTTGTTTACGTAATATACACTGCATCGTATCAAAAAACGTCGGCGTAGTTTCCCAAGCAAAACAACCAGATTCTCAAGTGGCCGATCGACAACCTGCCTGACATTTGCTATATGATCATCTCTCACTCTCAGGCTTTCAACTCTTCACCTGTGTTTCAGCACACAATCCGTGATCCATCTTGAGTCAGTGCCTTATGCAAACCTTCCCTGTATGGACCGTTCCCCGGTCACTAAGTGTGTACGATGGCCCACAGTCTCGCTGCTATGTCAATTTATCACATGGAGACTGGTGCCCGAGCGCGGTTATATTGTACTGGTGGCTCTTCTATACGTTGAACAGCAATCGGTAGCGTGGCGAGGCACGTCTTGACAGTCTCGTAGGCGGCTTTCCAAAATGAAAGTGTCATGATTCACGCATGTTATATGTATTTTTGTAAGGTGGGGGTATTGGAATGTGCTACAAGGGCTTGTAACTACACGGAGTTGCGAACCCAAAGGGGCAGCGAATGGTGCGGCTACGAGCAAAGGATGGCAGAGCAAGCTATGATATATGATTTGGAAATACGTTAGGTCAACGAAGAAGCAAAGATTTAGATACAGTTGTCGCTCTTGCAGACTTCCCTTGGAGTCATTGATGTACGAAGGGTCGTTTTGGTCAAGGTAGTGGGCGAGTCGCCTCCGAGGTAATCGGAGAAAGTGCGCAAGTGAGCTAGCCCTTGACGTGTTGTTGCTCAGCCGAAAGGGGAAGACGAACCTCTCCTTCAGGTTAAAATTCTTGAATGACAAGTTCAATGGGTGGAAGTGACGTGAGTAAGCTTACTGCTCATTGGCTTGGATGGGATAACAAGGATTCATGCTACCTGATAGGTGATAGCGTGGTCGAAGCCAGCACCTTGTCGCAAGTGACTAAGCAGTTGTACACAGAAGTGACTAAACCGTAGATCAGTTAAGGCGAGTTGTCGCTCGCTGCAGTACCAACGATCTGACGCATGTAGAACCCTCGACCTGACAACATCCTTGTAGTTTGACCCCGTCCATTTTATTCGCCATCACGTTTGGGTGGGCTGGAAAGCTTGGGCTCCGTGGGAGTCTTCGGGCCCTTGCGGGATTTGAGGTAAGGCTTGTTACTACAATGGAAGAAGTGATCTGACGAGTGCCTCTTGCATGTGCCGTGGTCACTGTGACCCAGAGGGGGAAGATGAGGCAGTTAGACCAGCCGAGGGTACAGTCATTCTTGCCGTAGTTCTTGCTGGTATGAACAGGACTGCCACTCCAGCGGGGGCCACCACCGTGACAGTGCCCAAAATAGAGTATCTTGGACCCACGACGAAGCTCAAAAGTCTCCTAGGGGGAAGTTAGACTTGCACCGAGCGAGCATGTGGTAAAGGCAAAGCGGCCAGAAACGACGGTGAACTTCACATTGATAGAGACACGGAGAAGAAACGCAGTTGGTGCGAAATGAAGGATGCTGAGAAGATGAAGCTGGGCGCGAAGGCGGAGAGGAGATGGCTGAAAAGGAATCAGTGCTGAGCGGAGGACACTGGAGAGCCCCTCGTATGCTCCCAGTTTCTTTATAAGCAAGTTAAACGGGTTGCTGCTGAGCTACTAAAAGTACTGCCCTATTGTCAGGATGTGCTCACAGTGTGCCCCCTGTCAGGACAGTAAAGATCTGGAAATGCAGCCGAACGCTTGCACAGGTCAAATGTAAAATCCAGAAATCCAAGTCTCATGATCAAAGGGTCGATTTTCCCCCGCGGGATATCCATGTAGGCAGGTTCTGCTCTGACTACACGAAGGACTGGATTTTGGGGTGGAGATCCGCGATCATTTCAGCCAAGAAGTTGCTTTATGCCATATACGTCCCGTCCCTGGTAGCTGCGGCCTGCGTTGAGATCATCAGGTGAGCCGAAATCGAAGTTTGATGTAGAAGCTTTCACACTTGGATGCTTGTTGCATGTTGGGGTGCTTCGAAGCTTGCATTGAATTGCCAAGCAGCAACTCAGAAGCGAACAGGAAACCAGCGATGGAAAGTGAAGAGACGATACAATGGAGGCATTGAGGAGATCTCGATTATTGTACTACTCTTGAAGGCTTGGCCTGTCTGTACCCTGCAATCTGCATGGATGAGCACCGGGCGGAAGCGGATCTATGTGGGCTCGGGGGAATCGCTGAAGAGGCGCTACTTAGACCCACTAATGCGTCAAGAGGCTTCGAAAAGCTTCTTTCCACGAGAATTCTCTAGTTCCCAAGGGGGTCCAAAGTCCATATGACAAAGGCTGTCCATGGTCCATTGGGGGACCGATGGAATTTGCTATTTGTTACAATCTAGCCACTGGTTACATACTGAATACTGGCCTCATAATAGCAATGACGGGTATTGATTGATGAAATAGCTTAGTAGTGGTTAGTGAATGGTAAAGAACGTCGACCGACCGAATGTTCGCCGCTGAGGCGCTGACCGTAGGCGGTAGGTGATCTGGGGGTCTAGGGGCGACTTCGGCATCTTGCAGAGCTGGACCAGGCGGGACCGCTATAAACTTATGATCATACAAGCAACACCCCGTCGATCAGTCACACGTTCGACGCTGCAGAGTTAGCAGCAAGAAAAAGCAATCGTGTGTATCATATACATGTGCTGTGGACTGGTGGGCCTCAAAAATCAAAAAAAGATGTGCCGAAAGGCGAAACTGATTAACGATCCGTTTCGACCGATGACACGGATCAGATGTGAAAGCGTTATATGTCTAATATTTTTGGACGCCTGCACGCTCTTAAAGGCACTAAACTTTATCTAGACCGATCTATGCTTGTAGGCTGTCCAGTGGCTGTTCCCATGGCTGCTCCTGACTGCTCTACGTAGTCAAAATAGTATGTAGGCAACGTTATTGATTATAAGTACCGCTGAGCAGCCCGGCGCGGATCTGGTGGATGAGTGGAGGTAGTTTTGGGGTCTGGTAGAATGTAGCGGACAGCAGTATACTGCAGTCTAGTATGTACACTTTCTGGGTTGCTCTGATAAAATGTGAATGCATCCTTAAAGTCCGTTGTTGGTTAGAAATGTTGCCTTCTGAGGATGGTCCTTGGGTGGCTGGACATGCCTGAAGATCGCATTCTTGAATCAATCAATGCACTTCTAAGCTGAGGCATTTTGGAACTTAGGGGTGTTGCCATATTTATCATCTGACACCTCTGGCATTTCACCTGATGTCGTAATTTCGGCAGTTTGTTCTGTGACGTACATATATATACTTTTACACAACATGCAGCTGCAGGGAATGGAAGACTGTGCGTCTGGCGAGATGCAGACACCGGGCCGACGAGCGGGGACCACCTGGCAGCCAACAGCTCTGGACGGGCTACGGCGCTGCGCAACTTGGCACAGTTTGAATTTTCCAAGATATAGATATTCGAATGTCAATCACTTGTACATGACGCCTCACGACCCAATGTACCCAAGTTTTATTTATTATGTACATTCGTACATGTTGCAATTCAGGTAGCTCTTTCGGACAGGTTCGGATCAATCATTCAAGTTCGACGGGGCGCAATAAAATATGTACTACCGTCGGTTTGGCGCAAGCCCTGTTCTGTCAGCTTGTGCAGCTTGTATTGTACAACCCTCCTTTATGTGCCTACGTGACTTGCGCTGCGCACACACATGTTTCAAGCTCCCACCGGTTGCATGCATGTCAATTAATCTTTCGATCACTATGGTTGATAGACAAGTCACTGTTCGTTGCTGTTGGGCTTATCTATCTGGGATGGAAGTGGAGGAAGTGCAGCTCATCACGTCAAAGCAGCAAATAGTACATCAGGAACGCTAAGTGGACCTGCAGCCTGGAAGTGAAAAGTGTTTATGTGAAGTGTGTATATCGAAGTTATGAAAGTGCAGGGCCTTTCGGCTATTGATGCTCGCTGAGACAGGCCGATAAGTACTTCGCACTAGATGTGCAGCGGTGGAGAGCCTCTCCAGCGAAAGCGAAAAGAAAGTTTAACGGACGGTCGACCGGCGAAAAGCGACGCCAACGAAGTCCGTGGTTGCTATCTTCCTTTATTTCCTCTTCTTTTCGTCCATGACTCTATATTTTGGGAATATCTCGGGAGTGTCTCAACCTGCATCAACACTTGTACATACATGACATACAAGAGTCACCACGGGCAAGCGCTCCAGTCTTCGTCCAGATCCTAGTCAGGTCCCGTTTGCCCATCAATATTCAACCTTGTCATTTGCACATTATGTTAGATTGTCACATGGCCAATATATATGCGGCAATGACGTGACGTGCCCCCACTATGCAATATGGATGCAGTCATGCACCCCAGATTGACCAAGTCACTAGGAGTTACGTTTTGATTTCAACAGCACTCATGTTACCGAACCGCGGGCTTCGAGCTTTGTCCACTTGAGATCAAGCACGCCGGCTTACGTAGAACGTGTAATGTGCTTTTCAAGCTTTCAACCTTCAATTATTTGCTACATGAAGAGTGGCTAGATGAATGAAAGTGGTTCACCATGGGGCTGTCGTGGGCTGCGAGCGTCGAGACGCGCGCATATCAGACGCATCTTTTGTTAAAGTATCTGGTGCTCTCGTTTGCAGCGTCTCTGATTTGATATCGTAACCCCCAGATGTTAACATGGGATCTTGTGTCACGAAAAAACGTCGGCCAAATCTTCCACCTACTTCCATTGATCTCGTCCATCATGCTGCTCGAACATCCCCTTCACTGGCAGCCTGAACGAGCTGACATATTAGAGCTCAGGTTCCGATATTTGAACGCCTTCAACATCCGCCGGCCTCTTCGCTAGAAATAACTTACCAAGGGGATTCCTAAAGGAAAGAATGAAGTTTGGAAAGCATGAAAAGAGAGCCATCTGACGGGTTATCCAAGATTCCATCCGCCCACCAATCAACTTCTCGATTTACCCAGTACCAAGCTTCAAACCTCGTCGCCTCTTCCTTAGTATATAACTTCTACCATCCATCATATGGGTCATCACTGTTGCCATTGTTGCCACTTTCACGGCAGTCGCCGCCGCTACCCCCTTGCTGAACCCTTTCGATAACTCTGGAAACTAGTTCAGCCAGTGTGCGTCTCATGTCCAGGAGCCTATCGCTCCGTGACCCCACGGCTCCGTAACTGCCTGGTGCGGCACAAAGATCCCCAGGTTGCCCTCCTTTGGCTCTGGTAACAAGGTGTCCTGCCAGTGAGCATGCGCCAATTTCATTCCCTTCTTCCAGGCTGGATGAGCATCGCTTCGTACGGCGGCTTGTCTTTCTCTGGATCGTCTTCTGACTTCTTTCTCGTAACTCTGCTCTTCAACAACCACCCATGCTCCATAACCCTTACAAAACCCACTTGGCAACGTGCAACACTTCCAACCCCCCTTGCATGGATCAATACCAGTAGACATAGACCAACTACGTGACTACACTTACCTCGGGCGTCTACGCCGGAAAGATCGTATGAGATTAAGAATCCGACTCCTTTTACCTGATCTACGTTGTGAGTTCAAATGCTCAAGTTCGCATAACAGACAGTTCGTTTCACTGACATGGACCTTGTCACTTTCAGCTTGTCACCCACCTTAACGATTTCCTTGCTTCGTGAGACAAGGTTTCCGGCTGCATCTTCGTCACTCTCTACCAGGTATGCATAGACAACATAGGATCCTAATTGAGAACAGGCAATAGGCATACTCACGCTCCTTTGGCAGTATTTGATTCCTCATCATTTCGGCGCTTTGCCCTGACGGACAGACTCCGTCTGGGCTTCCCCCTTTGACTCAGCAGTACTAAGTCAAGGGCCAGCTCAGGTGGGTTCTTTTCTCCAAGTGCCTTGATAACCCGGCCTTCACCAAGGTCGGCGGCCAGGATGGGCCTAACTACATCACTGACTCTCAGGGCTACTGCAAGTCTGCTTCCTGCTCGAAGGAGAGCCCTCATTCTAGGGCCGTGGTAACTCGGCCCTCCCAGATTCTGGCGTCCCTCACATGGCCCCCGAATTCGCACGCTCGTTCAAATGTTCTGACGCTCACTTAGAACTCCTCAAGCGCGCACAAGTGCATACTCTCACTGGTTTGGGGAAAATCGTGTCTGGTATCCGCATGTGTTTCCAGATTTCGGATTCTTTTTTTTGTAATTTGCATGTTTGATATTTATCCCGTTCCCTGCCTCGCGCATCCTGTTCTTCTTCGCGTCAGCTAGTCTGCTGGGTGCAACATTTCCGTCAGCAATGTAAGGTACGAAAGCAACAAGAACACTCTCGCCGCGCCGATCGAAGGAGAGCAAGCGAACCGAATTGGGTGGCGTCAAGTTGACAAAGCCTGACACTACTGATTCCCTGAAAGTTCTGTCGACCTGGGGTTTGATGCGCTCAGAACCATAGAGTGAGGCTTGGTGAGGCTGTATTCATCCTTTTGTATTTATCATTCATCCATCATCCTTACACGATGCCTGCCAACGAACGCTGAATACGGAGGGCGGATGAGCGTTGAATCCCACAAGAAATCGTTACATCCTAGAGCGTGTTTGCATGAGACAATATTGTATTGATTCCTGGTACTCCAATCCCGCTTCAAGGTCCGATGGCATTTGGGGTGAGCAGGACATCATTCACCCGATTCAGCCAAGCCCTGGACGGGCCTGCGCTGCTCACGACAACATTTGCATCCGAAATGAGCCACTGGCATCGCTTGCGCACGGCGTCTTTGGTGAGCGTGCGAATGTGTGCCGCAATTTGAGCTTGTACTAGCTGTGGTAATCGCTCGTCAGGCTGTTTATGATCGGATGTGGGTGAGGATGCAACCCAACGCCTGTTCTCGTCGTACAGGACAGAAAGCAGTAACACTGCTATTGAGCCGGAAAGATCCTTGCCACTTGCGTCGCTGATGACAATGTCACCCGTAGTTACCGCTGGGCGTTGTGCAACGCTCGCGTTTACGGTGTTCTGTCAATTAAACCAGGACGAGCATGGCTGTGAGACAAGTCCTCTTGGGGGCAGCTGGGAATACGCCGGTGTTCGGAACTTACCAAGACAGAGTGGAGTGCACGGTTGAAGAGAGGCAGGCTCTTTTTCCCGGCAGGCAATCCAAGTCTTAGCACAGTATCCACATCGCCCAGCTTCCTCTCTTGTTGATCGCTCCCAGCTTCGCCCTCATCCGCCCCTCGCAAATCGCATTGAATCAACATCCTTTTCCCCGCCGTCCGCTCCTTTGCAGCAATATCTGGCGCGCATCGTTTAATGACTATGCAGGTCCCCTGTATCCGTGCGACATCTTCATCGCACTGCAGCTGCTGCTCATGTTTGCGTGCGGCAGTTGGTGCAAACCATGCGCGCCCCCCCGCATTGCCTGAAGTCTGTTCGCGCTGAACGATTTCGTCGACGAGCAGTTCGATATGGCCACGCTCCGCTTCTAGTAGCGCAGCATGGTTGCGCTCATCCCACCAGGCGGTCGGTGTGAGGCCACGCGCCCAATTCTCGTGATCGTCTCCTGCCCCTTGCATGTACACGAACATTGGGGACGAGGGCGAGCCGTGCGCGTACGCCATACCGCCTTGTGTGAGGCGCGAGACGGAGAGGCACACTACAGGATGGTAAGGGATACTTTTGTAATCCAGGTCGGGAGTCGTGGCGCGTTGCGGTGTGATGAAGATCGGCTTGAGCGGTTTGTCCAGTCTTGGTATGTCAAGATCAGAGTCAAGCAACGCCGCAGCCCAGCCTTCGATTCGGCTGGCGATCTGGTCGTGTTCACTCCGTGAGACAACATCCGAAGGAGTGGACAGATCCGCATGTTCATCCCAAGGAGACCCGTGAGTTGATGATACCTCAGATGAAAATGAGCCGCCCCACCTCAGGCGCGAAGCCATGTTCAGCACCGCACACCAAACGGGTATCGTTTTGGAAAGTGCGTCGGGTGTCGATTTACCACGGCGAGTAGAGTCAACGATGATGAACCCATCGTGGTGGGCTGCCAGGAGATCTATGATGTGCAGATTGCTACGCTTGAGCGAAAATGACCATTGCGAAGCGTGTCCGTCGGTCGACTTGAAGTACGAGCAGCCGGACGTCAAATCGGGAGGGGTGTACCAAGCACCGCATCGAAGATTCGCTACATTTTTGTAAAAAATATTCAGCACGGGATTTTGATAGCAGCATTGCGAGAATGTATGCAAAAGGCTGCTCACCTATGAGTGCCAGACGAGGATACTTCTTAGCGATCTGGCGCACGAAGAGGGAGTCCTGCCAAAAAGAAATGCACTCTCTTGGTCAGGCCAGCTCTTGCTTCGAGAATGAAGACCTGCGCAGACCTTGGACGCACTTGGTGAATGCTGTGAAGCCTATTTCGCTGATCACGGCTGATCTTGCGGATCTCCTGTGCTGCTAACCTGTCCAGCTTTTTGCGATCAAACGCTGCGCCAAGTTGCAAGTCATTCAGCTCATCTTCTAGAGGCATGTTGCTGGCAAAAGGCACCGAACATTCGCCCATTTCATGTTCGCCCCCTCGACTCTTCGGGTCTGTGTGATGCTGAGCACGCTTTCGTGCGCCTTCAACATCATTCATGGTATCAGATAGCCGTCGTGGTCGAGCATTCGAACCTTTCCATGAGAGCCGATGCCCGATGTTTTTAAATGGATTAAGTGGTGTTGCACACACTCATTCGGTGCAACTCGCTGGTGCCTGTGCTGTGCTTTGGCCTGTGTGACTGACAGTAACGTGACTGCCCTCCGATCGGACTTCCGCGCACCAGCGCATCCTCAGTCCTCCCTGAGCCAACACCATCGCCATTCGCTTTCACTGTATGCAGCACGCTCCGCATGTACGCAGGCCGTCAGAGTCTCTCGAGTTTTGGTTCTCTACTCTTAATACCCAATCTTGCTCTGCGCTTGCACTCACGGCTCGGGTCTGAGAGCGCTGTGTAATCGTACATTCCCCGCTTCCAACCCTCAATCTCTCCGATTGATTAGCGAAATAAGCAGCATGTTGCATCTCTCCCCGATCGCGGGTTTACCCTTGATGCGAATAGCGCGTCCAAGCATCGCTCCGTCCGGTGAGTGTTCGTCCTTTTCACTTTCTAGGGAACCATTCCAATGGTTCCTGGGGCCTGAGGTTATGACGGGCACTTGCAGCTCACCGCATCCCCCCCGCAGCATCTACTCTCCTCTCCCGCCGCCGATTACACGCAACTGAATCGCAACGAGCCTCCGCACCGCATTTCGACACTTTCAATCTAGTTGCGCGGCTCGAAGCGTCGGGCATGCCAAAGCAACAAGCGGATGTGCTAGCAGCCTCTCTGACCGACGTCATCAATGAGAGCATTGATAATCTTGCGAAAGGCTTGGTTAGCAGAGAAGAGGGTGAGAAATGGCGATATACGCAAAAAGTGAGTTTTGTAATCGGCCATATCTTTGGAAAGGTTGTTTCTGCTCCGCACTCCATGCTTTCATTTGCTCATACAACCTGAGCCTGCTTTACATTCCACTGCTCCCTTCGCTCGCAGGTCGATTTTGCGCGGTTAAAATCCGAGATGCAGCTGCTCGAGCACAACGACTTTGCATTGATGAAGACCGAGAATGAGCGGCTCATGGCCGATATCGAGCGTCTGAAGCAGCGCTTGCGCGAGGAGATCACACGCACGACTGCTGGTGTACGGCTTGACTTGAACTTGGAGAAAGGTGTGTTCGTGCATGCAGGCGAAAAGCAGCGCATCGGAATCTCACGACGGACTTTAATCTTAATTTCAGGGCGCATCCGAGACGAGTCCTCCGTTCATGCACTTAAAATAAAGGAAGTTGACACGCGCATTGAGTCCGAAATCGCTGGTCTACGCACAAGCATTCAGAGTGCCAAGTTTAACGTCCTACAGGTAGGTATCGATACCCTCAATGAAGCGTGGTCACCTTTTTCCGAAAGTGCGCACCTGCTGATCCAATGACGCGAATTTTCTGCCCCAGTACCTTGTCGGTGTGGCTACGGGTAGTGCTGCACTACTCCTTGCGTATTTGAGGATGTTCCGGTAGACCATCTTTTCTTCGGTTCGAATGATAGAAGGACTCGAGGCAGTTCCGATGATACGCTACATTGTTGTACTGTAAACGTCCTCCCACCCTCCTTTGCATTGTCCGCTTCACCAAACCCTTGTAGTGCGACCATTCTCACCCTTGACCGTAGAAGTAGTCCATGATACCTTTGGCACGGATGAATGCGATGTTCATCACCGGGTGTGTGGGTGTGAGAAAATTCTGCTCTCCACCGACGGCATAACGTTGCGCAAAATCTTCACGCCACGCAAGCGTCGCTGCATAACAGTGCGATCGCCAGGCGTCTGCGTCTGCTTCAGCCTTTGCACCGGCGCTTGAAGTGGAGCCCGGCGCTTCTTCGGGCGAGGCGCGTTTCCACACCTTTTGGAATGCTGCAAAACTTTGTTCACATGGCAGCAGTCGATGTTGAGCAAGGGAGAGGCCGGAGAGGTTGTAGCACGTGTGGTACGCATCGGGCCTTTTGCCGGGCTTGTCTCTCAAGCCGCCAGTCTCGACTTGAGCGACGAAGAGGATATACTCTTGCAAGGAAACACGATCGTAGAGATACGCATCGGGAGGTGTAGATGGAGGCGAGGGTGCGGCTTCGTCCTCGGTGCTCCAGGCATCGGAAGAATCATGGTCGCACGAGCTTGGAACACCTTCACTGCTAGCATCTTCGCTTGCTGCCTTCGCCTTTGGTGCCGAATTTGCCGTATTCCCTGTAGGGGCGCCAGCAGCAAGGGGTGTCGACACAGGTGCGGGCGGATACCGCTTCCCCTCAACGATCAAGGCTGCCTCCAGCACACCAAACATGCCTCCCCCGCCGAACCAGCCGTAGCAGCCGTCAACAAGCTTGTTTGTCCTCCCTCGGAAGGCACCGCCTTCGATCGCTAGACCCTGCTGCGATACGGCCCAGCGCAGGCAAGCGTCGAGATCGAGTTGCCGCCGTGAACGTGTGACACGAGATGGGCGTGGCAGACCCGCTCTCAGACGCCGAAGCATGAGATGGGATGCGAGCGCGCAGTGCGCGTATCCGCCGTGCGCTTCACCCATCGCAGGCACCAGCCATTGTCCATCCGCTTGGCGCAGCGAAGCAGCTTCTTTTGCACCGTCGAGCCATGCACCTGCAGCCAGCCCTCCTTCGTATGTCTGGCACGACGCGATGAATTCGTCCATGCCTTCGATGAGCTCTGGAGTGCAAATGCCCAACAGAAGGGAGATGCAGAGGACGCAGTAGGATGCCCGAACATCGACTTCGCCGCCGTGATGTACGACAAAGGATCCATCTGGTTGCTTCAAAGAGAGCAGCCATGTATACATCTTGAGTCTGTGCTCATCAGATGAAAGGCATTGTGTCAGCAGTATCGACACCTCTGCCGAACGAATTTAAGCGTACCTGTTGATTTCATCCCAGCCTGCCCCAGGCTCGGATGTCATTTCCTTGCCTGCTTGGGCACTGGCCGTCTTGGAAGTGAGTCCTGGTTTTCCCGCAATGGATAATGCACACACAGCGGCATATGACGCCATCAAATGCGCCACTTGCCCGACTCCGCCTCCAAACCCGCCGGTCTCGGCGTTCTGGAAGGAGAGTAAAGTCTCGACTGCTCGTCGCCGGTCTGATTCGTCTGCATTGTCCTGGCTGAAAACATTTCCAGGGTGATCTCGAAGGGATGGGTCTGCGCGTGGATCTTGAGTGCCGGCAGCACCCCATGGTGACCCGAGCAGGTCATGCCCATGGAGGACCCAATAAAGTAGCCAGCTTCTGTTCGAATCGAAAGCGACGTAGGTCCCAGGTAATGTATTAAGATTCTTGCGGAGGAAAGCCAGATGCGCTTTTCTGTTGAGTTTGGGCTGCGATGATGACGAAAGGCGATGAGGCGGCAACAAACTGCATATAGATGCCTCAACTTCCACTTGCTCTTCAGATGTTGGAGACGAGTAGCTGTCCAACGGTGTAGAACACAGCGGTTGACGAAGTTCAGACTTTGGCATCTTGAGCAGTGCTGCACCTCAGACTTCGAAATTTCTGCGCAGCTCTGCTTGTTCCCTATACACTATGCAAATACCGTGGACGGTGGAGTGGAGGCAGTGAGAACAAGATTGAGAATAGCGAACACCATCAGTTGCGAATGGACATCCTTGCTAAGAAAAGTGTGTTGATATCGACATGTCGCCAGCCTGCGGCTCACATTTTCTCTCGAGCCACGGTAACATGTAGTTCTCCTTGTACCCTGCAGCTTTGCTTCCTTTGTGCTTATATGGATGGAGCCATGATCAAAGAAAGTTGGGATTATCATTAAATGGAGTTGTGAACGAGCACGCTGCACGCCAGCACGTCCGACGTCCGTGCCTTGGTGTCTTCTTCATTCAGCACAAACGGCTTCTCGTTCAGCCACCATGCGGGTACGCGTATAACCGGTCTAAGCGAGAAAAAGCGGGTGAAGTGCAATTAGGGTTGGGGCTTCTTTTTGATCGCCGAGATGCAGTTGCACAGCTTGCGGGAAGTTGCCGAAGTCATCTGCAATGACGCCCAACCAGCTTGGCCGTCAGCACCCTCAGCGCGCTTACAAGCAACAACTCACATAGCCTGTTGCCAAGGCGCAAGGCTGCCAGCATTCTGTGAGATAAGCTCGCATGGGCAGCAGTCAGGAAGCTATCAGAGAAGAAGAAAGAGGATCAGTCAACCGCACAGACAGAGCGACCACGGTTATCTGCCACTTCTTCCAAGATGGTGGGCACAGACGACTTTATCGTCGACGATGACAACCCTATGGATCTCGACATGGATCATTTTGCGGACGACAGCGATGATGACCTGCCGACGCTAGAAGAGTCGTTCCAAGTGGCACTTGGAGGGGGCGGACGAACGCTGAGGCCCCAACGCGACAAGGGAAAAGGAAAAGCCGTCGAGCCATCCGGTTCAGGGCACAAGGAAGCTGGAAGACGGGCGCTGGGAAGACCAAGGGACCGAGGCAAGGGGAAAGTTAAAGCGAAGGCAACGAGCTATTCCTGGGAAGCGAATTACAAGCGCAGCTGGGATGCAGTACAAGAGGACGAGTCTGGAGGCCTCGCGGGTGCCGTGAAAAGTTTCCTGGATGCCGCAAAGCGACGAAGGTATGTATCCACTCAGATCATACGTAGGACTGCGTGCTGATCCTGCTCCCCATACTTGCAGGACGGCTGCAGAGGCGTCTCCGGTTCAGCGCGGTATCATCCGACATCTAGTCCTGATCCTCGACTTGTCGGAAGCAATGACAGATAAGGACTTGCGGCCGAACAGATACGACCTCACATTGCAATATGCACGCGAATTTGTGGCAGAATATTTTGACCAAAACCCGATTGGTCAACTTGGCATTTTGGCTACACGAGACGGCGTTGCCGAGAAGGTCGTCAGCATGGGAGGAAATACGGTTGAGCACGTGCAAGCGCTTGCAAACAAGAGAAAGTGGGAACCAAGGGGGGAACCAAGTCTGCAGAATGCTCTTGAGATGGCGAGGAGTAGCATTGCGTGAGTTCTGCGAGGATAACGCGAGCAACGGCAATGCTTACGCATCTTTTAAATGATCATTCAGGCATCTCCCTTCTTCCAATTCCCGTGAAATCCTTCTGATATTTGGATCGCTGACGACTTGTGACCCGGGCAACATTCATGACACCATTTCGGCTCTCGCGCGTGATGGTGTGCGCGTCTCCGTCGTTAGCATTGCAGCAGAGCTTAAAGTCCTTAAAGACTTGTCAAAGCACACGCACGGTCGATTTGGGGTTGCACTCAACGAGGGGCACTTTCGAGATCTTATCTTCGAGGCTGTACCGCCTCCAGAACTGGAGGCCAGCGATGCCATGGACGCACGGGCGATGCGCAAAAGGAGACGAACTGCCACGCAGCTCAATAATGAAGGGGTGGATGGCGGCTCGAATGCCGAGGATGAGGAGGACGATGATGAATTCTATGACGGTACTGATCTCCTCAGCATGGGATTCCCAACGCTTCTGCCGTTCATAACCGCGAGCAAAGCAACCCTGTGCTCGTGCCACAGCAAGTTCCGATCCGGCCCAGCTTTCCTGTGCGCCAGATGCGGAGCAAAATTGTGCGACGTTCCGACCGATTGCCCCGTGTGCGGCTTGACGGCCGTCATGAGCACACATCTTGCCAGAAGCTACCACCACCTCTTTCCAGTGTCTGGTTACAAAGCAATCCGCTGGGCAGAGTACGTAGATGGTCGCGAGGGACGCTTCAGAGCAATTTTCTGACTCGCTCTGCTCCTGCCGATCACGCAGTGTCGATGCAGATTCGCCACCAGCATGCTTCTCCTGCAACGTTTCTTTCCCGGAACGAAGTAAAGACGATGCTGATGTTGACGGCCATCTCCAAGGTCAAGCTCAGGGTAGCAGTGCTGATGGTTATGCCGCCTCAAGCCGGTATAGGTGCCCTAAGTGCAACAATCATTTTTGCATCGAATGCGACACTTTCGTGCACGATACCCTACATGTATGTCCAGGCTGCTGCTGACACCGCAGGTAGCGGCCATCCCATTACAGGGCAATCATCGTAATCGCAAGAGCGGTGCGTGTCAATTCACCCCTTTTGCGATGCGTGTACAGCATCTGACTCGCTGCGTGATAGGTCTAGATAGCCCTTGTGAGAGGCGTGTTGCATCGTTATATTGATGTAGCTCTTCAGCACACGCATCGCTCTGAGTCGTTGGAAGATCGTTAACCGCGTGATTTTATCCGACGCAACCCCCTGCCAAGCTTCCCGAAAAGGCTTTTTGCTGATTCTTCGATTCGCATGTTGGACGTATGCCCAAAAGTCGTTGAGCGCTTCATCGCGAGCTTCTTCCGACTGCTTGTCTAGATGCTCATTGACGACGATGCATTGCCAGAGTTCCCGGAAGATCATATGTGCCTGCTCGAGTAAGCGCCCGCCCTTGTCCGAGCGCACGTGCAGACACGCTTGAAGCGCGCTGATCCTGGTTGAAAGCGTTGCCCGGATGCACGGCTGGAACCTTTCTAATGCGGCCTGCAGCGTAGGGTCGGTCATAGGCTTTGTCGGTATGGGAGATAGAACCTCAAGTGCAGCGCCCAAGGCGTAGATTTCAGGTATGGCTTGGTGACCTTCTGAAATGAACGCATTGAAAATCATGCTCCACTCCTTTTCGGCGGGGGGGACATCCAGGGAGAGCATATCTTGAAGGACCATGCATGCACGTTCACGCAGGGACATTGGCCCACGCGGGCGCTCAGCTCTTATGTTGCAATCCACTTGGAGCGAATCTTGAGCTTTCTTTGAAGTCGGTGCTTCACGATGAAGCCGAGTCCAATTAGCAAGAAATATGTCGAAGCCGACTCCTTGACCTCGAGCCGAATTCAGGTACGCCTCCGGAGTTAGCAGGGGAGAAGCTTTGAACGAAGGAGCCTGCTCGATGTCGAGTAGATGATTCCATTCAATCCACTGATCCACCCGCAGACCTTCCTGTCCATGACACCGAGCCTCACTCTCCTGGGCAGCGGTTCCCGCCTTGATTGCGGTGCGGAGAGTCGTCGTCCACCGCAGATATATCCGCTGCAGTTGCTCAGAATCCTTTCCATTGACAAGGGCTCGCAGCGTATAATACCCCTCGCTGTCGCTAGCATGTCGCTTCAGACAAGTTGGGTCGTTGACGCCAATTACAGGCTGCGCCCAGGATTCGGCACGCAATTGACACTCCATTGGTTGCTTCAGCTCTCCAAAGCCAAAGTCCATGAGGTCTTGAGTGATACCTGAGCGACCGCCAAACAAAAGCCTTTGCCGCCAGTAGCTAAGAACAACGTCGAAGCGCTGACTGATAAGGCTGAAAAAGAGTGTGTTGTCGGCTTCGTTAGCAGTTGGTGATGTGCTAATCAAAATACTCTCCGCGTCATTCTGCAGGCATGCAGGTAGTGGAGCCCCAGTGTATGCTTTTCTGCATTGCTCGAGTACGCTGTCGCACCACATAATCCAAGCAGCGTACCCGTCCGAGTCCCGCTTCGATGTTGGCATCGAGAGAGTGAAAGTCTGAGCTAGCAATCTTCCGCTAAAGCTCTCGCTAAGCCAGCCCTTGTGAGCTAACAAGATGATAAATTGAGCAAGGAGTCTCCTCTCGAAATGCAAGGGAGATTCGGTGGCCTCTATAACTTTGAGAGTCGCTCGCTGTATTGCTGTTGCGACGTCCTCTCTTTCTCCTTTCAAGGCGGCCTGCGATGCTGTAGGAGATAGTGCGATCCACACTAGAACCTGCTGCAGCCTATTCCTGGCCTGCTCGCTCGTTCGCCAATCGGAGATTTCCTCGGTGAGTCGCGAAATGTCTTCCGCGGCGGCTCTGGCTGCATGCGCGAAAACAATGTGTTCAGGCACTCTGGTGCCGAGCTTCACCAGGTCTGCTAGGATGTTGGCGGCTTTGTCGAGACGAACAGGCCTTGAAAGTGATTCATCGCCAAGTATCTGCGCCAGTATCTGGGATGAAACTGGCAGTGAGTTGGGGTTTTCGACAACGGCCTGTGATGCGGCGTTTGGCAGAGATGCCAGAAGGTGCCTGTAGTCTTCAGAAGGTTCTTCAAAGAGCTGATGATCTACTCCGCGTGGATCTAAGTCCATATTTGATGTGTTGCTCCCGGCTGAAGAGATTGAGCGATGACTCCATGATGCCACTCGCTCGAACGGCGATGTGCCTGATTCGAACGCTGGGGGCTGCAACCAGGAACCAGAGATAGCCGTCGAGTAGGGTAGACCTGCATGGACATGCAGGGCAAAGTCAGCAGCATACCTGATTCTAAATTTCAATTGGTTGGCGTTCACCATGTATCACTCGAGTTAAAGCTCGTTGCCGAACACTCGGCCCAGTGTGGGCCATCGAGCGCCATACAGTAGCTGAATCTGCTGCATCTTGACAAAGAGAGCACTGACGTGAAATGCTTGCTCCGCGCCGAGCTGCGCAAAACGCCATGCCTTCGCTCGTAAAGCTGACGTCTAGAACACTAGGCTTTCCGATGCTCCCTATGATCTCATAGCAAATGTGCCTTGACACTTGCTTTGTGCAGAGCTGAGGGCTATGAAGTAAGACTAGAGAGCAGCCAATAGCGAAAGATTCCGGAAGCCGGTCTACTTTTGTTTGCGAAGTTGAGTCTTCGGAGAAGTTGCCGATCACTGATGGAAAAGTTGCCGATCGCTGTGCGTGGTCGGCGAATGGTTGGTTTGCCTTGGATCCTGCAGTCGTCGACGTGGAACAGATTCTCACCCTCTGCCATGTCCTTTTCTTAATCGTCTTGCCCTTCTTCGTTGAATAAGCAGCCCCTGAAGGGGTTGTTCGCATGCTGCACTAGCACCTGTGCTCATACTGGGCTTCTGCTCGCGTCTGCCCTGCGCTTTATTGTCTCCGACTGTCCCGCCAACCGTACCCCCAGCATGTCGACTCTTCACAGGAGGGTCCTGATGGCGGTTGCCGTCCTGCTCGGCGTCACAGCGACGCTGATCCAGGCTGCAATGTTCAATCCCAAAGGTGCCGTCGTGCAGCTCAACTCGTCCAATTTCAAGAAAGAAGTTCTGGACATTGAAAAACCAACGCTCGTTGCGTTCACCGCGCCATGGTGCGGTCACTGCAAGCGGCTTGCCCCTGAGTATGAACGAGCGGCAGAATCGCTGTCGGGCGTCGTTAAGTTTGCCAATATTGATTGCGATGAAGAGCGAAATAAACCGACGTGTGGAAAGTATGGCATTCAAGGATTCCCGACCATTAAAATGTTCCCGCCTACCAAAAAGCGCATTCCAAAGGACTACCGTGGAGAACGCACGGCAAAAGCCCTCGCCGATTATTCAGCCGGAGAGCTACCCCTCGCTGGTGTCAAGAAGCTTGAGGCATCGAACATTCAAGATTTTGCAGAAAAAGATCCGTCTCGTGTCAAAGTGCTTCTTTTCACCAATAAACCTGCTTCCTCTGCGCTGTACAAGTCTCTCGCACTGGATTTCCGGCGATCCATGTCATTCGCATCCGCACGCGGTGATCAGGCTCCGGTACGCTCAGCAGCGCGTATTCACTTGGGTTTGGATATAGCCCACGGCAGCGACCTTCCGAAACTGATCATGCTCCCGGCTCGCACCTCGGAGGCTGCAGACGCATCAGATGAACCACCCTTCGTGAAAGGCAGCTATGCACTTTATGACGGCAACCTCCGCTATCATGACTTGAAAACCTGGTTGGAAGCGCAAGGCAAGGAAATGGGGGCCAAAGAGCGGAACGATGCACCTATGGCGAAGAAGAAGCCTAAGAAGGAGGCCACTTGGAAGAAGCCCAAAGAGCACCATCCGCCAGGCGCGGAACCGCCGCCAGGAGGCGCATTTGAGTGGAAGGCCCAAAACATCGATCTCAACCCCAAGCCGAAGAAGGCAAAGAAGGACGAAAAGGACAAACCGAGCATGCTGACCCAAGAGCGAGCGGAAGAGCTGCTGAAGCAAGTCAAAGAGCAGCAAGGGAAGATTAAAGACCGAGCCAGCGAAGTTAGTCAAATGATGCGCGTCCTTCTTCCATCATTTCGTTAGAGCTGACTCTGATCTCCCCCATTCCCCCGCGGATTTCCCCGGGGGCATATATCTTCTTCTCGCAGAGTGACCAAACGACTTCGGACAAGGTCGCAGAGGCTGGTTTGGCTGCGAGTGCAGCTGCACAGGATGCAGGCGAGAAAGCATCGTCTGTTATGGGAAAGTTGGCAGATGCTACTTCGGAGGCTGCCTCGAAAGTAGCAGAGAAGACGGCAAACGCTGCACAAGCGTATGCGGACGGATTCAATAGCGCTACTGATGCAATCGACCCCGAAAACGCCAAATATACAGCAACGACAAAGGCTACTTCAGGCAGTTCAAAGGATTCACAGGAGGAAGCATCGTTCAGGGACACAGCGGAGGCCGTGATGTCAGCGCTGAAATCCAAGCTTGGTGCAAACTTGCGCGACACGGCCGATTCAGCGGAGATGCTGGCATACAACATGCATGGAGACACAGACGAACTGGAGGAGCGGGACCCGGGCGCGCTGCTCGGAGCCTTCGCCAAGTACATTTCCGGGCAGCCGACTATCTGGTCGTCTGACATGACGGAAGAAGTCGTACGAGCTCGGGATGATGCGATGAAGCTGGCCAAGGAGGATCCAATCAAAGCGATGAAGGTGGCGCTGAAGCAGGAAAAATGGCTTCTGGCCAATCTGGACATTGATCGCAAACATATGGCCACCGAGTTGGGAGAGGATGGACTGGCGAAATTGGATGCATTGAAGGAAATTCTCAAGAAGAGGGTGGCGCTGCGCGAAGGGACGGACGTGGACTCGGAGAAGCAGGACAAGCCCTCCGCAGCATCCTCTTCGCCGCTGCATAGGCATGAAGACTTGTAGGCTTCCCAAAAATAGCAATCGCATTGGAAGCATGCATCACAACACTACATTATTTGGTATCCCAAACTCCCATTGGCTCCTTCCCATCTTCCGCGAGCACCCAGAGCGTCTCACCGGAACATGCGACATCGGTAATGTCCCAGTTCTCCAGCTTCACCTTGGCATGAACATGCGTTGGCTTGTATACGCGCAGCATGCCTTGCAGCCCTCCACTTTGCGTGGCATCAAAGGCTGGTGAGTCGGCCGGGTCTCCGTCGATGCTGCGTGAAAAATCGGGCGTAAAGCGACTCGCCCTCATGAAGGAGGGCCATGGCTTGCGGGAGGGCGGGTCGATTGCGAGCCGGCTGGCCATTGTGTCTAGCCCCCAGGCGAGCAATTTGCCTTCTTCTGTGACGGCTGCAGCGTACTCCAAGCCTGATGCGACAAATCGCACAGATGGCAGAGGAAGGGGAGTCGGGTTCAAGGCTTGAATCGTATCTTTGCCTTGGCCGATGGGACCGTACCCGACGGTGAAAAGTATCCCCGAGGCATCAAGAATTGTAGTAAAGCTGCCGCCTGCCGAAATGTGCTTGACCTGCTTGACGCCCGCGCTGCGTAGATGCTCGGTTGCTTCCAGCGGCTCGTCGATGCGGTCGATCGCCTTGCCGTGCGCTGCCTGGCCGTATTCAGAGTTACCCCATGACCAGACCCGCCCACTGTCTGACCATGCGAAAGAAGTGTCTCCACCAGCCGCAATGCCAGCGATTTGATCTCCATCTTTAAGCTTAAAAAGTGACGAATCAATGCGCCGCAGGGTATGAGTGCGGAAGCGCGTGGTCGCGCTCTTGATGCCTAGCTGGCCATCGGTGTTAATGCCAGAGGACAGAATGACTCTTTCGACAAAGCAGTGGCCGGGAAATTCGCACAGAATGAGTACATGATCAAGGCCAGTGGCGACGGAGATGATTCGCAGGCGGCCCGGGCCTTCCGCCGTAGACATTATCCTCACACGCTCAGGAGCCGGGAAGAGGGAGAGCTGCGCGTCTCCCGAGTCCGCTTTTGCGGCCCTCGCGCCTTCCTCTAACATGCCGAGCCCAAGCTGGCCCGAAGTGTGATTGCCCATTGCGTACAGTGCCGAGGAGCCTATAAGGGCGTAGATGCATATAACGCTGTCAGCAAGTCCAGCGTAGAGAGGCAGGTGGCGAGGAACGGTTCGCACCATCTTCGAGCTCCATCACGATAAAGCTGGAACCATTCGCGGCATGCAAGCTCTTTATTCGCTTGCCTTCGAAATCGCTTTGAACCATTCCCCACGAGCTTTCTTGAGATGTGAAACCCAAGCCCAGCTGGCCGTGTGTATTTCGACCTATGGCAATGATCTTGGCGTGCCCTTCATCCTTGAGCGCTGGAGCCTGATCCCCGCTATCTTTAATGGTCGTTGCTCTGTTTTCCTTTGATTTTGCTTTCTCTTCGCTGCTTGAAAAGGCCCCTGGCACCGTTCGGTACGCTAAGAGCGAATGCGACACGCTGCCGGCGAGGTGCGTGAATCGGATGTCCGCATCGGCATCCTGCACTATCCCAATGCCGGCGAGCCAGTCCTTGGGTACCTCTTGCAGGTACGGCGAGACGCGGTCCAACACGCTGCCCGCCCACAGCAGTCGTTGCCGCTGCATGCGACGGCCGCATGTGAGGCATCGTCGAGCAGGAGCAATGGAGGCGGCTCGTCTGGGAAATGCTTCAAATGCGGCAAGACGCCAGGCGGAGGCGGCGCGTGAGGCTCGTTCCAACATGCCGTTTTGCAGCTAAGAAGTGTGGCTGTCTACGGTACGCTGTTGGTACGATTCATTCAATCAGCTTGGGCATGCTCAGGTCATCGTCTTCTGCATACCAAAGAGCATGCTGACGGCTGAAATATTGGTGTCAGGTTAAGAGTCTTAGGTCGCCGGCCGCTGGTGACGAGTAGCGCGCGGAACTGGCGGAGTGTATTCCGGGTTCGTTGTTTCATCATTAGTCCAATAGTGGGAAGAAAGACTTTTCACCCGGCACATGATATTCAATTGAGCTCTTTTGCCATGGTTATTGGCGAGCAGGCTAACGAACATCTCGTCCCAGCTCACTCGTTGGTTCTACCAAGTAGGCGCAGTCCAAAAGAAGCGTTCCGTTAAACAAGATGTCCATGTTCGGTCTTGGCGGCGGCGGTGGGCAGCCATCGGCGGCTGCCGTAAACTCTGTGCAGATGGAAGCGGCGGCGGCGGAGGTGAGCGAGGCACCCTACCCTTTCCATTTCAATCTTGCTGATGTAGTTGGTGCTGTTCTGTATTTCAACAGCTGGACATGATTACGGACACATTCAACAAGCTGGTCTCGTCTTGCCACGCCAAGTGCATCAGCACGAGGTACATGGAGCCGGACCTCCACAAGGGGGAGGGTGTTTGCATTGACCGGTATGTCGTTTTCCTAAAGCCTGATCAGGCAAATTGGCGTCTGATCCATTCGTTCTAACTCAAATACACATGTTAAAAACAGATGCGTTGCGAAATTCTTTGTGGTCAACAAGAAGGTTGGGGAACACATGCAAGCCATGGGAGGCGCTGCAGGTGCACAGGGAGGGCAACCGGGCATGGGGCCGTTTGGGCGATGATAATATGTCCACCGATCGCATCTCTTCTTCAGCTACTGCGTCGTATATATACACATGCTGTCATCTTTTTCACTGTAGCATACCTCTCTCTATCAAAAGCAGCTCTCCAGCAAATCGCAGAGTGCGCCCGTCCGTGCTTTCGAGCATTGTCTCGAAATGAAGGCGCGATGGAATTGCTTGAGTGGAATCATGCCGTTCAGGATGCAACATTGCTTGTCACGTGTAAGGAATTTTGGCAGGTACAGGCACCCTGAGATACAAAGCCCGTCGTGGCCTATGGTGAGCCATCGCTCGTCTTTTAACCTGCATCAAGGGTATGTCGCCTCTTTGTCGCTCGGGGCCAGTCGAGTCAAAATCTGTATCTCTATGTGGCGAGAGCAAAGTGCCAAGAGGCAGACTGCACCGAGGCCGGCGCATAGGATGCAGACGCACCCCCCAACTGAGCCCCAGTGCACCGTATTCAAAACTGGCAGTTCCGTGTTCCGAGGATTTGGCCAATCCTTTGTAAATCCCATCAGTAGCGTGGGCTTGGAGAAATTTTTCTGCCGTGTTGCTGTGAAACCGCGTATCACCTAAATGACATAAGGACACAGCACCTCATTTCATCAACCTTTTGACTCAACCCTCCCTCTCCCATCCATCCCGACCCATCTTGCCCATACACCCAATTGGCAAAGACTACCTACCTAGCCTTCTCATATCCCTTCTCCTTATAAAACACACGCGACTCACACACAACATGTCTTACGGAAATGGCAGTAGCGGGTGAGTTTCGCACATCCTGGCAGTGATCGGAGCCGCAATGACGCGTCTCCGTCCGCTTCGAGCAGACAACTGACTCATCCATCTTCTGCTACCCTTATAGCGGCGGCTGGCGTTCAGGCGGAGGCGGCGGTGGCGGTGGTGGTGGCGGCGGATACGGTGGTGGTGGAGCAAGTTATGGCGGCGGCGGCTACGGTGGAGGCGGATACAGCAGTGGTGGTTATGGTGGCGGTGGCGGTGGCTACGGCGGCGGTTCCGGTGGGTTCGGTGGCGGAGACCGCATGAACAACCTCGGTGCCGGCCTCAAGAACATCGACTGGGGCAATGCCAACCTGATCCGCTTCGAGAAAAACTTCTACACGTGCGTCTTGCTCGCCTGTTTACAACCCCTATACAGGAACATTTACTGACCTTGCACCTCCTACTTTGCACAACGTCCTGCAGCGAGGACAAGCGCGTCGCCTCCCGCAGCGATGCCGAAATCGAGGCGTTCCGCAGGGAAAAGCAGATTTCCATCACTGGCCGCGGCGTCCCCAAGCCCATCATGAGCTTTGATGAGGCTGGCTTCCCCGACTACATTCTCTCTGAGCTGCGCAAACTCGGTTTCAAGGAGCCCTCAGCGATTCAGTCGCAAGCATGGCCCATGGCCCTCATGGGGCGTGATCTCGTCGCCATCGCAGAGACCGGTTCCGGCAAAACAATCGGTTTCGCTCTGCCTGCAATCGTACACATCAATGCGCAGCCGCTACTTTCGCCTGGCGATGGGCCCATCGCCCTCTTCTTGGCCCCCACGCGTGAACTGGCTGTGCAAATTCAAGGCGAGTGCGACCGTTTCAAGTCCACCAGCAGAATCAGGACATGCGCTGTGTATGGCGGTGTGCCCAAGGGCCAGCAAATCCGTGACCTTTCTCGTGGTGCCGAAATTGTTGTTGCCACACCGGGGCGTCTAATCGACATGCTCGAGTCTGGAAAGACCACCCTTCACCGCGTTACCTACCTTGTCATGGACGAAGCCGACCGTATGTTGGATATGGGTTTCGAGCCGCAGATTCGCAAGATTATCGCTCAGATCCGGCCAGACAGGCAGACGCTCATGTTCTCCGCCACGTGGCCAAAGGACGTGCAAAACCTCGCTAAGGACTTCCTCAATGACGGATACCAAGTCAACATTGGCTCACACGAACTCGCTGCCAACCACAATGTCACGCAGATCATTGAGGTATGCTCCGAGTACGAAAAGCGCGGCAAGCTCGTCGGCCACCTCGACCACATTTCTCAGGAGAATGCCAAGGTACTCATCTTCACTGGCACAAAGCGCGTTGCGGACGACCTTACCAAGTTCCTGCGACAGGACGGTTGGCCCGCGCTCGCAATCCACGGAGACAAGCAACAGCAGGAGCGTGATTGGGTCTTGGCCGAGTTCAAGACGGGTCGGTCACCCATCATGGTCGCGACAGCCGTCGCGTCGCGTGGTCTCGGTAAGCATCTTTCAATGAAGAAGAAGGCTGTTTTGTTCTGTCAGGTTTTTGTGGAGTCGTCTCTGTGGCGTTCTCGCGCCCACACCCGTGCTGGCGAACGCACTCGCACGCAGGTAAGGTCTATTCGTCGCCTTCCATGTCTTCCACTTGCAATCCCTGCCAACCTGGTGGTGGCCGCCCTGCCCTTCTCATGTGCTGGAAGGCAGGTGCGCGATTACCCAAGGAGGGCAAAGGAAATGCAAAAAGGGAACAGGTGGCGCTTGTGTTGCAATCTCTTCGGTCACGTCTACACTGGGGCAGGTCTTGATGGCAGCGCGCGTCTCTTCCTTCCTTGGAGCGACATGCTCGTCCCGATGGATGCGGGCTCGATCGGTCTCCCCATTTTGCCAGCCGTTTCATCTAACGCCCTTGGTGGAGACCGCCCATGCAAACGCGTGGACAGCATGTCGCTCATTATCCTCGGATACCCTTTACGCGCGCTCACCCTGAAACCTTCGAAGCCTGCCCTCACCAAAGCAGACAGCAACACGCGAGAAGAGGGAAGAGCGAGACTAGTCCTGCGATCCAATCACGGGCCGTCTTGTCGCAACTTTCTGATCGCAGGCCTCGTCTTCATACTAGCGGGCGTGCGCGATGTACGCGCCCTTCGCGCGCAACTGCGGCTGGAGAAGTGCTTCCACAATCCTCGATAGCAACTTTAGCAGCCTCTAATCTTCACTCCCCTTTCTCTCCTGCGAGGTGTCGTTGTACTAATCTGTGTTTACTCGTGTAGATGTCAAGGATATCGGTTACGTTATCAACTACGACGTTCCGACCAACATTGAGGGTGAGATTTAAAGGAAAGAGGTAGTCTCATGGTCCGCTTTGCTGACGCGATCGTCGTTATCCACTCTGAAGACTACGTTCACCAAATTGGCCGTACTGGTCGTGCTGGTCGCAAAGGTACTGCATACACCTTCTTCACTACCGACAATTCCAAGAGCGTGAGTACTCGAACCAAAGGTGCTGCTCAGATTTGCGTTACTGATGCCAATGGTTACATTCGATTCTTCACTCTCGCACACAGGCACGTGAGCTTGTCGGCATTCTGCGCGAAGCTAACCAAAAGATCCCGCCCGAGCTCGAGGACATGGCTCGGTTCGGTGGTGGTGGTGGTGGCTCCCGCTACGGTCGTGGTGGTGGCCGTGGCGGTCGTGGTGGCGGCAGGACGTGAGTAACAGCTGTGTTGCTCGAGCAACATGCACACAAGCTCATATGTCCGTTCCTTTTCTTATCTTTCATCAGTGGCGCCAATGCTTACGGAATGAGTGGTGGCAGTCGCTGGTAAGCTGTGCTGTCTTGCATTCGTTCCAAGTATTGTCATTAGAGGTCGTCGGGAAATCCAACTTTTCCCCGTGTAGTTGTAAAGGTCACGGTGGTCCGCTTTTCCACTCCCATCCAATAGAGTCGATTTGACATTTTAAAAAGCTTAAGTTCGGGTATGATGCAAGCTCAGATGCGATGCGAGTGATTGTATAATAACAAGTGAGAAGCTACATGTAGAGGAAAACGAAGAGATGGGATTGGATGTGGAGCGTTGCGCGCTTGAGCTGCGTGTCCCTCTACCCTGGATCAAAAAGCGCTGAATTCGCTTCCTGGACCGCCGGCGCCATCGACTCGCAGTGTCGGTTTGCCCAAGAGAGCAAGCGCTGTTTCTAAGAACCACTCGTGCTTCTTGATATAATGCACGACGATCGTCCCTCCATGCGGGCGACCGAGGTATCGCTTCTTGCGCACCGCAGCCAGCGCGCCGCCTTCGTCCTTGCTGATTGGAGCGGGCATCTTGTCCGTCGCGTAAGGTCCAACGATCGCGGCTGCATGCTTTCTGAGATGTTCATTCTGCGCCGGCGGCGGGGACGGGGACCGCGCATCTTCGCGCAGCAGCGACGCCCGCCCCTCTTCCTCCTGCAGGGGATAGATGGAGAGGCCAGTGTGCGGATCCTGTCCGATGTGGTGCTGCGGCAGTGCCTTATTCGGCAGGAAACTAGCGGGGCGCAGACGCACGTCATCTGCATCGTACACGATCTCCTTGCGCGGGTACGTGGCAACGGCGATTGCGTTGCGCACCCCGCCATTGCTCGCCCAGCGCCCACCGCCTTCGACAAGCGCTTCGACCTGCTCTTCTATTGACATACCCTTGCGCGGCGGCTTGTATGGCTGTTTCCACTTGGACACGGTGGAATAGCTCAGCGCAGCTCGGGGTCCGCCACGGCGGCCAATCTCGGCAGAGGATAGCCCGTAACGAATCTCATTCTTGACATCCTTGACGTAATCTGGGAAGAGGAAGCCGTGCGAGTACGCCGTGCCGGCTTTCGGGTGGTCATAGATCCAGCAGTGCTGCGATTTGTAGTGGATCGTAGCGGCTTCCGGGTGCTGCAGCAGCATCTTGGCCACTTGCTTGTCTTCCTTGCCGACGGAGAGGCTTGCGGCGCGTTGCGAATGTGAAATCCACTGGACAAGGTCTTGCGAGAGCGCATAGCACTCGCCGGCCATGAATTTGTCCGCGATCAGGTCTGTCCACGTTCGAGTAATAAGAAGCAGAAGAGCAAAGTCAGACATTGAATGCGGTATCTGGGGAACACGTCCGACGCTCACAGCCCCAGTATGTCTTTGTGCGCGGTATGATCCTGAGATGTCGCTCGAGTTCGCTCAAGACAATGAAAGCGTCCTCGTCAGCTTTGACGACGTAGTCGGCCATCTTCCACCTGACCTTCCTGCTGCCGACTTCCAGCCCACCATTTTCGGGTACCTGCTCCTTGGACGAGCTAGACGATGGGGATTGTGAAGACCAAGCAGGAGAAGCAGGAGGGCCGAGTACAATGGGGATAGTAGCGTTCTCGCTGGCCCATCGAAAGAACTCGAACGTCTTGCCGTGGTTCATGTTCTCGTCGGTGTTAAGCAGGACGACATCGTTGTACATCTCCTGCTCGAGCGCGACGGCGTGGGCGTAGCGTGCGCGGGGCCGTCCGAGGATGAATTTGACCTGCACGTTGGCCATCGGTTGCCCATCGTGCGGCGAGAGTGGAAGTGTGTGCGCGGCGTACGTGTGACGGATCGCCGAGCGGCGCTCCGAGTTGGCATCCATAGAGAAGACGCCGACAAAGACGTCGACCGGCGCAAGCTTGTCCGCGACATTGTGCGGGAATGTGGCTTCCTTAGCGCAGTGCAGCCGCCACGGCTTTGGCTCTTTGTCCGGATTGAGGATGTACTTGATTGTCAGCGTCGTGGACGTGACGAAAGAGATGAACAGCAGCAGGAAGCACAGCAGCGCCGGCGTGTTGAGGCGGGCCAGCCAGCGCAGGAAGCGCGCCAGCTGCAGCGGGGCGAACGTCAAGAGCGCGCGCAGCGTGGCCATAGGCGATGATGCAGGTTGTGGCGATAGAGATGCGGCAACCTTGTACGCCAGCGCGGGGGAGGACGTGGAAGCTGATGAGACGTGGCCTTTGCTGGCGAAGTAGACATCTACATCGTCGTACCAGCTCCGCGCTGGGTCGTCCGGCGTGGCAGCGCACGAGTCCATGAGCCTCTCAATCTCCTCTGCCGTCGCGCCTCCGCCGCCGATGGACATGGCGCTGGACTTGGTGACTGCAGCTGCCCCTGTTGTGGCTGCCGCACGCGATCGCTCGCGCAGCAGCTCGAGCGCCTTGTCGAGCCCTCGCTGGCGGCCCTGCAGCTCCCCGTCGTGGAGATACTCGGTCCACTCCTGGTCGGAGCGCACCGAGTGCGGAGCTTGGCCCCCGTTGCTGGGAAAGCTGGACACGGACGGCGGTGGCGGGGACGAGCAGCTGGATGCTCCGGACGTGGACGCGTACGAAAGAACGCTGGTTCCCGACGCGGAGGTGGACGCATTGGACACGATGCTCGCGGCGCCGCTGCTGCCCGTGAAGCGCACCGGCCCGGAAGAGGGCGACGGGCCGGCCGAGCCCGTGTAGCGTGTGGGCACAAATGGCGGCGACGGGCCTGCCGAACTGTAACCAGGCCCCGCCGCAGTGCCTGTGTAGCGCCGAGGCCCCATCGACGGCGACGGCCCGGCGGACATGGCACCGGTGCGACCTGTGAAGCGGACCGAGCCAAACGACGGCGATGACGACGCGGACGACTGCCCCGGCGGCGGCGAAACAATGCTGCCCGGTCGGACCTCGCGCATGCTCGTCGGTAGCGGAGGCTGCTGTGAGGAGCTGAAGGAGGAGCGCAGCATGTTGGATGTTGCGTCAAGCCAGCCTGCCGCGTTCGATGAGATGCGCCTGCCGTTTTCGGCGGGCGCCGCCGCTGCTATCTCTGCGACCTGGTCGTCCGACCATCTTCGCACCATCAGCAGCGGGTTCGACGCACCATCACTGGCGTCGTTTCCTTCGCTGTCCGCAGATTCCGACAGCGGCGCAACAGGCGACGTGCCCATCTCGATGATCGAGCTCTCGCGGGGTGCATGCGAACTCGCCGCTCGTGCGCGCGAGTAGGACCGCTGGCGCTCATGTCCGCCGGACGGCAAGACCTGGGTATGGGAAAGCGCGAAAGATGCATGCTGCTGCGGCGAAGAGTTCAAGCTGGACTCTGATCCGACGGCTGCAGTATCGGCCGTCGCCGGTTCAGAGGCGGCGACAACGAACTGGTAGCCAGCGAAATTCGGCGATGCTATCGCTGAATGTCGCGCCGAAGACAGTGCGGAGGGAGAAGAGGGAGGTTGTGGCAATGATGTTGCAGGAACGAGCTCGCTGAGAGAAGACGCAGCGTCGTACGTTGCTGCTGCTGCTGATGATGTAGGGGCGGCAAGTGCACTCGCGGCGGCGATGTTCTGGTCTCCGTCTGCATCATCGTTTTTGTTTCCATTGTCAGTGGGAGTAGGAGAGGCGGGCTGAACGAGAGTAGACTGCGAGGACGACGTGCGATGCTGCTGTCGATTTCGAGTTGCTGAGTTTGCACTCGTCATTCTCAGCTGATGAGGGGGCGGGAAGGCTGTGGCAGTCTTCGTACCCAAAGGGCTACCACTTGCAATTCCATTCCCATTGCTTGCGTCGCTACTGAGCTCATGGGTCCAGGAGGCGGAACCGGATCCGCGACGGGACTGGTTGGGGGTGATGAAGGGCGCGAGCGTCGGCGTGGACGTCGATGATGACTGAGACAAAGGGGTGGCGGGCTCGGCCTGCGCCGGTTGATCGGCGGCTGCCACCATCATGGGATGGTGACGATGGCCCTCCTCTCGTGCCACCGAGCCGCAGCTGCCTAGCGGAGAGGAGGAGGAACAATGTGAACAGTAGCGTGCAAAGTGCTGCTGCGAGGGCGCTTTCGATGGCGGTAGCACCGAGTGCTCTGCGCCAGCAACAGCAACCGATGGGAGGTGTTGTACGTCCAGCAGGAAGGAAGAGGGATGAGGAGGCCGCGCGCGTTGGCTTGGCTGGATGAATGCTGTGAGCGGGCAAAGTAACCCAAGGTGGGTGCATGTCCTTCGCGCCTCTCACAGTATCGACGTTGCTGGGACACTTGCGGCTTTGGCAGGGAAAGGGAGAGGGAGAAGATCTCTCTCGGCTGCCACACGGATTCGCAAGCAGGCCAAATCACATCATGCATGGCCTTTGACCGATGCCAAGCGGTGCTAGCGAGTAGCTCCGCCTTTTTGGGGGTTCAACCCTACTTGGCTTTAGGTGCACGGCCGCGCAATCCCGGCGCCAGGCAGTTGTGAGTGTCTTCAACATTGCTAGTCAATGCTCGTGCGCCCGACGAATCTGGAAATACGATGGGTTCCTTGTCGGGTCGTGGTAGAGTCGTTGCAGGTTCGAGCGAACGACGGTGCGCTGCTGATGCGTAATGCGCGTTGTGTTAGTGCTTGACGGGAACCCAATTTCCCGTAAGAGGGGAAAGGGAGGAATTACATTTGGCGGCAGGCGACGCTCAGTGCCGGATATTCAGCTTCCATAAAGAACTACTGACCCTTTGCAATTTAATTCGCCACGCCACGGTAGTTCCGAACGCTTGTATTACCAGCAAGACCTTGTATGAAAGAGACACCGCACTCCAAGCTAGTCCCGCTTGCTTTGAGCCATGGCGGAATGATTCTCAGCAAATCTGAAGACGGAACTCTTCTGAGCCTTTTGAGGCGTCCTGGACTAGCCCGGCTTTTGGGACTCGTTTCAGTCCCTTTGGACCTTATCCGGTAGCCTTGACGAAGCATTGCTGATCCGCGGCGCTTTTTACGGTCCATACAATTTCACGATGTGATGATGGTGTGTGGCATCCAGAATCCAAGGGGACCAGCGGCAGAACGCCATCAGCACAACGCCACTCGACCTGCAAGCCCCTACAACGTCTCTTCTTCGCAACGAGAAGGCACCTTGCGCCTTGTATCTCTATCACTTCTTCATCAAAAGCCCATGGTCACAGGGTTACGGGAAGGAGCCAGAGCGAGGCGAGTCAGCCGCCTAGCCGGCAGCCTTGATGGGACTGGCCTTTGTAAGACTGTTCATAGCATTCCACTGGGTACTCGGGACCGAACGAACCAGTAGAGACTTCAGAGTACCTGCGAGTACCTACAACGTATAGAGCGTACCATGTGCATGCAATCCAACAGTTTTATAATCCGGTGATGTTGCATATGTACATGCAGCACATCCTATTTTCTGCCTTCTGGGTCCAACGCGACGCCCAGCGCCTGCGCAACAGCCTGCACCCATTCATCGCTCAGCCACGTCGTCAGCACGTGCTGCAGCACCGCTCGCCGTCGAGCGTGCACAGCACCAGACTCCTTACTGCCCTTCTTCTGAGACTCTCTACGCCCCGTCCCCTTCCCTTCCTCTTCCTCTGCAGCTGTGGGCCAGTACTTGCGCCCGAGAGTGTTGGGCGCAGCAATGAATGCGTCGTTTGCGCCTGCGAGCGCGTCGACCTTTTGTGTTAGCTCCGCGAGTACTTTGGCGCGCGACAGACGGTACACGCGCAGATCGGCCGACACGTCTGCATTCGGTAGGTTGTCATGTAATGGGAAGTATGAGCGAGTGCCTGTCAGTTCAGAATGCCTCATCGTGAGAGGTGCCCGGTGAGCGAAGTGCACCCACCTTGAGCATCACAGGCTCGCACGAACGCCTCTTGCGCAGCGGCCGTCTCGCCAAACTCGAGCACATCGCGCCAGTCGTCCTGTCCCGACGATGCCATGCATCCGTTCTTGCTGCCGCTGTGATGGTCATTCATGAGACCTCTGGAAGCGAGACGCGCGGACCAGTGACGCGCCGCACGCTCCAAGATGTCCTCTTGTGTCAGGAAAGACAACGTCCCGTCCGCATCGAGCTGGAATGAGAGTGGTCAGGGAAAAGGTCGTGAAGCGAGATCATCAGCGTGTTTCTCTACCGCGTCCATATCTCTCTCAAAAAAGAATATGCACTTACGGGGAAAGCAGGTGCCAAGAGGCATAGAATGAGGAACAGAGGATCGATCGGTGAAAGCATGTGCAGGGCGCCATCTGGGACCAAACGGAGATTCGAAGGAGACGAATGTCAGCGCAAGCCCCTTGCGCAACGGGCGCAGAAATCCTTTCAGTGTTACGTCCGCAATAAACACACCTCCAATGACAGAGTCTACGACCCGCTCTTCGTCCGGGGGTGCTCCGATCTGGACCGGTTCTGGCGGATTCTTCATGTCTGGTCCTAAAAGCCATGAGCGCTGCTGCGTATCAGGCTTGATTGCCACCAGCTCCAGTACGCCATCCTTGTCTTTCGCGGCTGATGGCTCTTCCGCTGGCCCTGACGACAGTGTTTTGCCGCCATCTCTGTCAGCATCGCCGTCAATGTTGGCGTCGTTCACAGAGGCCGTTCGCTCCCCCTCCGCTTGCTGCCTCCGCGCGTTCCGGCGACAGTATGGCAAAAAGTACGCTGGAAGACCACTGCGCGGATGTGGCAGCGTCAGCAGTGCACGGCGCGCTTCTCGGTCAGCATCTTCGGTCCACTGCCCCAGAGCTTCTAATGGGCCTGCAACGATGATCCGGCGACGAGACGGCCCAGGGTCGGTCATCTTCTGAATGGAAGTAGTGCGAGCGTCCGACCACACCCACGTTCAACCAGGCTTTCCTCCATTAAATCAGCTCAGCCAGAACTCCAGCGCACATGCCACCTGTTGAAAGTTGAAAGGCTTCTACCCTGGAAAGTGTTGCACTTCGAGAACAACGGTGACGAGACGCGTCGCGTAGGGGACAACATCGCGCCGCGTTCAATACGCACAAACAACAGCGATTCAGCGTGCAATCCGCGTGAGTTCGCGCCGATATGCCGAGAATCTCGGATAATCCTTCGGATTCCAGCACTTCGAATCCAGTTTTCCTTGCCTCCTAGTTGCACATTTGTACTTCCTCTCTGCAAGGTAGGTCAGCGCTGGTCACAGGAATGCAGAGTTGCTCTCATCTGCTGTCCACTATTGCCAATGAGGAGCCTTCGGTAGTCTAGTCGCCAGACCATATGCAGATCTAGCGCTCAACGGGCTGGTGCTGGACCAGACACCCGGGGAAATTTTCGTGAGCATGGTTCCACATACAACGTGTTGCAAGGGATTCGTCAGGCACCATGCGATACGGGACAGAGCAGCTTGTCATTGTCGCCGCAGCGGTGACATGGAGCCGGATGCGTGCTCGAAAAGCTTTTGCAGACATAATCCAAGCTCAAAACGTGAACAGAGTCGAAACGAAGGCACGGAGGGGGGGAGATGGAACACCTGCCACTCGAACCTGCTTCATCTCTAAGGCTCTCGCAAAGAATAACGTCAGCAAGCTTCTGCTGCGAGGAACCAATATTCACGCTCTACCCGGAGAATTTTCTCGTTTATTCATGAACTGATTGCATACAGAGCGAATAACGAATCTTGTCCCGGTGCAAATACTAAAAAGGGAGACAGAGAGACTATGGCCGAGATGGTGCCTAGCCGTGTATTCGCAAATGCAGTCAGCTGTACGGTCGCAACAAGGTACTTGGCGACTTGCTTGAATTTTTGTGCACCGTTTCGAGACGGGGTGTCCTTTTTAAATTCGCTGTGGCCCAGCCGCATACAATGCCGATAACATACGTTTTCCAGAACGTGGCTGTGGGTCACCACAGCATTGAACAAACACATCAAATCGACAGGAAAACATACGAATAGCGGGTGATGAATACAGTATGAAGCGGGTACTAATGAATTCTCCACTGGCTGTATTATAAATGCGAGCGAGTGGGCGAAACGAGCGCAACAGCGACTTCGTCCTTCTCGATATGTGGGAAAGTTGGAATGCATCGAAGGCGATATCTTGTTTGTATGTGCGAATTCGCCGCGCTCAAAAGGAAGAGGCCGGCGATGATGAGGGTTTCGGAGGGAACGCGAAAGCACGAGAGATGCGACAATGTGCGGAAAGATGAATGTTGAGAGTATAGTGGCACTTGGTGTGTGGCTGGTGACGCCATGCATGCGTGCGTGCGTGCGTGAGGGATCATTCTTGCGTATGCGAATAAGATTTGAGCCCTTTTCCAATGCGACCGACGACTGGCAATATGATGTAGTTCAAGTTGGCCCACATGTAGCTCCAAAGCGAGCGGCAAGTGAGGAAACAAACAAGAGTGCGGGGCGAGGCGAGGCAAGGCGGGAAGACCCGGTAGGCAATGTCGGACCTTCTCATCCCTTTGAGGTCTAGACAGTCAAAATGCTGATGGGAGAGCAGAGTGTGCGGCGCGTTGCGAGGTCGTAAAGCTGATGAAGAGAGAGGAAGACGTCCTTGTCCTTTCCAGATGCGACCTGACAGAAATATCGAAGTGACGGTAACACAGAGCAGTAGGCATAAGAGCGCGGACGATGAATTTTGCGGCGAGTCTGGTTGTGTTGCACCTGTGGACACTGAACGTGGCGGTACTGAACTGGGATCTAGTCGCCAAGCTTGAGGTTGGACAAGCTGAGCGTATTGGCTTCGTCTGTTGCGACCGCCGCCGCTGACATAGTGAAGCCGTGGCCACTGACACGCCGCGCAGGCGAGGAAAAGTTTGTCTTTTCGTGACCGACAGGCGCAAGCACGGCGCGATGAACAGAGCTTCGGTCATGGGCCTGCAGTGGAGGACTGTCACGGCGCAGCTGACTAAGGGCAGATTCGACAGCAATGTCCTTTTCGCCCCGCGCCCACAAAGGCGATCCGTGACCGGCAATGGATGCGTGCGGAAAAGTCCAAATCTGGTCAGGATTATGAATGAGCACACTGTTGTTGTAGTTGTGGCTGTTTCCGTGGGTAGTGACCGACTCAGGTGTGTGCAGCTCAGAGGTGCTCGACAGTGTCGACATGGAGAACGTGCTGGCCGGGCTGTACGCGTCGACGCTCACAGATGCGGCGTGCCTGTGTCGCCAGTCGTCATTAGGCGACGGGGTTTGCAGAGCATTAGCAGGCTTGGCGCTGCGCTGCTGTTGCTGGGTCGGATCAGGCGTCTGGCCGTCATGACGAATGAAGCGAGCTTGACCGTCAGTGGCCGTCTTTTGTTCAAATGGTTCTCCGAGCTGCCCACGGCCGAAGGCGTCGGTGATGGAAGTTGCTGCACTGCGCATTCGCGAAAGATCTGGGCGGAGAGGGGCGATAGCATTCATAGAGACATGGTCCAGACGCCGGCCCGGACCGAATTGACGGTCATCGTATGGGAGGCTCTGGTGGCCGTGGGAGAAATAGGACATAGCCGATGCGGGCGCATTCATACCACCAGTGCCTGGAGGCGGGGTATATGACTGCGTGTGCCCGGCCGAGTTGCGGCCAACGGCACATTGCTGAGCAGGATCAAGATTGCGCGCAGTGATGCGCCTGCCATTGACCATCTTATTATCCAGATTCTCTCGCGCGCGAGCAGCTTCCCCTTCTGTGGCAAAGGTGACAATGCCAAAGCCGCGAGAGATGCCGCGTTCATCACGCGAGAGAGAGACGGCAGTGACGCGGCCGTACGGCTCGAGCACACGCTTGAAGTCTTCGTCGTCGAGGATAGCAACGGGGTCCAGACCTGAAACAAAGAGTGTGCACAAGTCATAGGCGAGAGAGCTGACTTCGGATCCTCCAAAAGATTCGTTATCCGACCTGGTTGGGCTGATAAACCCTGAGGCAGCAATACCGAAGGCTTGCGAACCGTGTAATGATGCCTCAAAGTAGCCCGGCGAGCCTTGCTCTTGCGTAATGCGTCGAGGACCAGTGTTGAAGCGGTTGCGAGGAACGTTTCGCTTGGGAAGGTTGCGGCCGGTGGTGTGGTCAAAGGGCCCGCCGCTTCGTTGCACGATTGCATAAGAAACCTCAATAGGGTAGCCCTTCCAGACAAAGCCGTTCAGGCTCTCAATAGCAGCCTTGGCCTCGGCGGGTGCGTTCATGTCGATAAAACCCCTGCGACGGGCCTGAGCATCGAGCATTGCGAGTATGACACAGTGGACGACGGTACCGTAGCCGGAAAACAAAGCAGCAAGCTGATCCGTCGTGGCATCCAAAGGGAGGTTGAGGACATAGAGATTCTTGTGACTGGGTGCTTGGCCCATGTCGGCGCCAGTCTTTTCGCGAGGAACGCTGAAGGGGCTGGCACGGCGTGCGCCGTCGATCATGGGCGGGACCCGTGCAGCAGCAGCCGCATACACGCCGCCTCCGTTCACCGTGGCAGCAGCCAGCTTGATGTCGCTTCAGAGGACGTGGATGTGAGCTTTGACGCAAATGCAGAGACAATCACGGTAACTGAACTCACATTTGGGCGCCCCAGCCTACGCAGCCATTCAAGCGAAGCGCCCATGTGGCTTCTTCTGGTGTTGAAAAGACAATCGAAGCATGGCCAATGGGCAGCAGGGGGGAGTCTCCGGCAGGGCTGTATAGAAGCGACTCAATCCGGCCGAGCGAGCCGAATAGCATCTTAAGCGAAGATTCTGTGGCTGTCGTATTCAGGCAAGTGTCAGCGCCAGATAAGCTACCTGTGATCCGTGTGCGACTCACCATCTTTCGAGAGGCCACTAATTAGAATCGTCCTGCTGAGCAAGGCGTCGCGACCCGGCCAGTCCATAGACTGCTGGTGGGTATTGAATGGCGGTGGAGCAGCTGCGACGGACATGGCTAGAGAACGTGGGTGTGTCTGTGGGACGCAGATGCACGGTATGTTGGTGTGAGTGTGACAGGGTGGACGGCGCGATTATGCGAGAGGATGTAGCGGTGGCCAGGGGGTAGATGAACGGGGGTGGTGGACGAAGCTCTACTGCGTCTAGTCGAAAGTGAATCGTTAGTCGTGATTCAGTCGTTCGGACTATCGATGGTGAGCGCAGCAGCAGATTCGTCAGGGGTCGGAGAGTAGCGAAGGAAGCAGGATGTAATTTTGAATATCGTTCCCCGCAGGTGGACGGCCTGCTCTCCTGTGAAGAAGGACAGCGATGCCTTCTCGCACAAAGCAATTGCAGGTGTTCGACCCACTATTCCACTATCTGAAGTTATCTTCTACGGGGATCGCAAGGAGTGCGAAGTGTAGGGCCAAGGGAGATGGAAGAATGCAGGCAGTTGTTTCGACCCTGCTACTTCACTTTTATAAAAGGATCATCGAAGCTTCAAGCTCGAAAAAAGGCTTGAATCAATAGTGGGATGTGTACACGAGCTGCGGGGGTGTTGCACTTGTGCTTGTTACAATTCATCAATTGAGATTGGAGCTGGCCTTGTGCCCCGTGACACTCTGGCCCGGTGGCTGCCAAGGGGCAAAACACACATACCTCCTACAATATAATAATAATTATAAGCGAAGAGCTCAGCCAAAACGGCGCAAAACGTGTCCTGCCCTGCTCGCCCCTCCCCTGTCTCGCTCACATCCCTGTGACAAGACTCATTAAAGTGCCAGTTGCGACAATGGCGCCAGGAGCTGACCAGGCCGGGACTCAAGCAGTGGCGTGGCAGCACTGCAGAATGCAGAAGTTTGGGAACGCTCGGACCCGCCCTCACAAGACGAGAGAGGCAGCCCCTAGTGAATGGGTACTGGAGGACACTAGGCATGAAGCAAGAGGAAACAAAGCATATTGCTCGCGGGGCAGCGCGGGGCTTGGGCAATAGGTGTGTGTGGCAGTGGTATTGACCGCGCCTGCCGCCTGGCTCCTTCGAAGTTCAAACGCCAAACCGCACCCCACATACCGCACCACTACCTGCATCAAGACGGCCCTTGCAAGTTTGCAACTTGCAAGGTGGTGGTCTGTGCAGCGCAACAGACTATAGCCGGCCAGCGGGTGGCCAGGCCCGCCTGCAAGGGAGCAAGTGCAGGAGCAGACATCAGAGCTGCAGGCACTGTAGGAGTGATGAGGTTGGCTCACGCGGAACCATGCCGCACCTCGATCGACATCAACAACATCATAAAGTGGCAGAAGCAAGAAACAGGCAGGCAGCAGAACGAAGCAATCCTCACCACTTCTGGTCAGTGATACCAATCAGGCGCTGACTGGACCTGTAGCCTGCGGTCTCCTGCAGACTGCAACTGTGAGGGAGGAGTGTGTGAGTGAGCGGCAAGACCCGAACGGACTATTGGCAAGACAATGCGTACTCCCTTCATACATTATGAATATACGTTTACTATGCTACAATGCTGTGCTCTGGAGCCTAGTATGCAGGCGGCTGGAAGAAGCCTATCGGGCTGTGCATCCCTGGACCGCTGAAGTCTCCACGCTGGACGTCTGGAGCCGGCAGTCTCCATGCGGGACTCTGGACGCTAGGAGCAGTCTGGGAGACTGTATGTGTGTATGACTGTATGTACTTTGGATCAAGTACGTATGTGTGGAACATGGACATCAGACCGCCGACAGCACTCTAACAGCCTGTAAACATGTGAACGTTCGAACATTCGAATTCTTAGACACTGGGCGTGGGCGCTGGAGACTGCCAGCAACGGACAGGAAGATACGCATGCATGAATGTACTATGCAGGCTGCAGGGATGACGAGCAAGGCGATTGCCAGGAGGTTTCGGGCCTCCCACTTCTGACAATAGGAAGAAAGCACATGCACATATGTACCCTTACATACATAAACAAGCTGGCCCTTATAAGGGCGAACTCCTCGGGATGAACCCGTGGGCAACGGCAGTGTAAAACCATGCAGAATCCCTGTTGACATTTTTCATGTTCCTGCATGCTTTAGAAAAACGCGGCCCACCAAGTCACGAAGACACAACGCTTCGCCTTCACACACACACCTTCATAGCATTCAAAACGAAAGCCAGTTAGGCGCTTTGTGAAGAAGGGAGAAGCGCTGGGAGCCAGGAATCTGGAACGATGAGGTGCATGTAGGGACAAGTAATCATGCAGTGCTGTGAATGCTCTCGTGAGTTGTGGCGCCGCCACTCGTCCCCGGCTACCGTTCGCCATATCCCGCTGGCCGCCAGTCGCTGGGGTGTTTCTGTTCGGTACATCGAAGTCAGTGACGCCGACTCGCGTGATGTGAAAGCGCCAACTCTGCACCGTAGCCTAATTGAATGGTTGTGCGTAAGAGCAAAAAGTAAGGTGTAGCTTGATTGCTAACTGCTAAAAGGAAATGGAACGGATGAATCGAATGCAACAGGGCTGCTACTTACAGACCAGCGTACATTTGGTGTCATCGATGTATCGTTGTTGTAGGTAGAGTGACTTTCGAGGATAAGAATTGTAAAAAAAATGCATTTGTTTGATAAAGCGAAGCAGTTGGATGTATTGCATGGAGGCCATATTGAATACAGTGTGGCATAAGAATGGTATGAACATGAAGTGTCTTGTGAGGATTGTGGCAGCGGCTGAAAAGGGCATTAGCTCTTCGTCAAAGGAGATGCTGAGTTGCACACGATGCCCAGGACATCTCTGCAGTAAAAAAGTGCCATTAGCATACGTGAGCACATTGCCTATTATTCACACGGTGCGCCACTCAATCATGGCCGACTTGCTCCAGTCGGACATATGAAAAACGAACACCAGTTCCTTCGATCGCGCCAAAAACACAACCATGTGACTCCGATGCCGTTTGCTGTATTGCAGTTTCTCGAAGACGATCAGATTCCGTGCGGCTGACACCCAACAGGACGACGAGAGGGACTTAAGATGCGAGTGGTGGATTGGAGCCAGGACTGTGTGCAGTCGTCCCCTCCCCCCTTTTTTATTTTACAGAAAACCCTAAAAAGAGTCTAGAGTCTCGGGTAGTCCCAGTCCCCTCCACGACTTCAGCAGTCAGCACACAAGCGTTGCCAAAACAAGCAACACGTGACGAGGAAATCAGGAAGCGCGTTTCCCAGCCAGCGTCAATCACTTCATCGCGCCAAAGCTGTTTCGCATTTGGCAAATAAGCCTAGTTAAGTAAGAACCGACTGACCACTTCAGAAGTACTCGTTACTGTACTGATTATCAAAGCAGGCTGTGATGAGAAATTTCTCCCGAGGATAGATCCAGTCTTCAGTGGTACTTACACGGCGCTGCACTGACTGACAAGCGAGCCACTAAGAGATACAGGATAGTCGGAGCGCGTGTTGCTCAACAAGCAATGTCGGAATCAGCACCTTGGGGCCCAGTCTAGAAATGGCGGTCGCGCTCCAGCGTTACCACCACCACCAGCAGGCATCGGACGTGATGGGTTACGCCATGGGCGAGGAGAGCATGTATGCACAAGATCAGGCTCTGGCACAGGCTTCGGCTCCCGCGTCCACAGCCGGGGACGAAAACACCGGGGCAATGCCTGATAGCAGTATACCTCTTGGGTATCGCCAGAACGCCCCCAAGACAGATCAACAAGACGCGGCAGCAGAACATGCGAAGCAACCCGCCCAACAGCTCACTTCGGAAGAAGTCATTGAGTTGACCGCTTTTGCGCGTGGCAAGGTATGTACCACACTTGGGGAAGTGCGAACGTGCTTGGCTGACCTGGGGCACTTTTTAATGCTACCCATCATCAGGCCAAGATCGAAGAGCAAATCGCGGTGGGCGTGATTCGAAGACTTGACAAGGCCATCATATCCGCTAACTCGAGGACTATTGCTTTCGCAGCTTCTCGAAGAAATTAAAGAAATCGACGCTTTCGAAGGCTTTGAGTCTATGGAAGGCGGGTCCGCCGCGATTGCAAAAGCTGAAGAGGTGTGCCCTTACACCCGAGAGGATGTCGAGCAATGGCAGCAAGCGCGGGAGGCCATGGAGCGTGATGCGGATGCTTTCCAGGCCCATGACATGAGCAAGCTGAGAAGCCTGGCCACGAGTGAGTGCCATTCTTGCCAGTGAGAAAAAGGCAGGCACATATTGAGGGTCATTGTCCCGGAAATTCAGAATCTGTGTCACGGCCAATGTCACCGCAAGATACAGACTTAGTCGAGCTGGCACTCAAAACTCTCTATTCGCTCGATAAACTCCTTATTCTGCTGAGATCACGTCAAAGTTACCTGGATGTGCTCGCGGTCAGGGCCGAGTGGGAACAGAGGAGATCAATAAGTTGGGCCCAGTACTACGCGCTGCAGAGGGAAGTGCACGAGCTTGTTCGCACCAAAGCCCAATGGCTTGGTCATGCCGAAGTTGCCGAGCATACATTCAGGGAAGGCTCGCAAGGCAGCATCAACGATCCTTCCACAGATGATACATCCCTCTTGGCGAGCTCTAGCAGCACCGACGTTATTAAAAAAACATCATCTGCGCTTACGGGGCACTCTCCCCAAAAGACGAGCTCAAAAGCTAAAAGGTCGCTGACCGCATCACTAGCACTGGGCGAGGTCCTACAGCTTGAAATCGCCAAGATGCGTAGCAAAATCGCTCTATGGTCCGACACGGCTGTCGCGGCGGCTGGCCGCGCGATGGACGCAATCATCGATCATTGCCAGGTCCCGGATGCGCTACTTGATGAGCAGGATCGCCTGGAAAATTTCGTCGAAGAGATGAAGCAGAAGCTGAACTTTTTGCTCGCGCTCGGCGAGCAATGGAGAAGGAGCGATCATCTCCTGGGGAAGCTGCGTGAGCTGAATCGGAATGCGAGAATGCTGGTGATGAGCATGGAAGAAGCAGAAACGCCTGACATGCAGCAGGTACACCTCATGGAGCAAAAATGCGCTACCCTACGAGAGGCCCTGGTCGCTATCTGCGGAGACAATGCTACCAAATTTCTGGACGACTCGACGCAGTCTTCCAGGACTCTCACTTTCCTTCCGAGCCTTGCTCCGCCCCTGGCATTGCACCCGTCCTTTCCAACACAGCGCGAGGCGAACGATGAGGTGATGCAGTTTTTGCAGCGCGAACTTACAGCAGCTGCAAAGAAGACAAGGCAAGCGTGTCGTGATGTTCAGCAATGCGCAGAAGCGCAGCGCGCTCTCGACGTATTCGATGCGCGGATAGCACCGCTGCGCGCGCTCACCGCGCGTTGCGAAGCTGTGCGCACGCGAATCGCTGCATTGCAGATGTCTCTTTCTGAGGCTGCTGCAACAGCGGACCTGTCTGACGTCTGGAAAGATGTACCGGGTTGGCAACACGATGTGGTGTCCTGTCAATCCCAAGTCACAGAGATGAGGACAGCGGGAGCTAAAGCAGTGCAAGAGCTGTCATCGCAACGCGCGCTCTGTGTCGAGTGCGGCTTGTCGTCCACCTGGCTTGCCAAGCGAGAAGATGGATGTGAACGGGAGCTGGAAACGGCATTGCAGAAGTTGGATGCAGAACTGCGTGATGTCTCTTCGCTCTGTGTGCAGGCGGCTGCCATCGATTCTGGCGTTTCCGTATCGCGAGAAATTTCAGAGACATTGGGAACTGTCTGCGATCGGTTCGATCACCTTGCGCACCAGCCCCTCGATCTTCCGGCTTCCTCACAAGCAATGTCATTAAGAAGTCGCCTCCTCCACGAGCTGCAACAGGAGCTTGACACAGGCAATCGAGCACGAAATGCACGCCTGCGCGTGCAGACGGAAGTCATTTCTTCCCAACTCGAGGCGCCAGCACATGCCGTCACAACTCGGCTGCAAACGCTTGATGACGCGTTGAAGCAAGCTTCACAGCGGCTGCGATGGGAAGAGGCACGACTCAGGCAAGCGTCTCAGGTTGGCGAGCTCAATGATAAGGCAGAGGAGCGGCAGCAGGAGGCGATTCAGGTGCTGGCTCGCCTCGAAATTGGCGCTCCTGAGGCACACTCTTATTCAGCTGATGTCGATTGCATATGCTTGGACCTCGCATCTTTCGTGTCCGGCATTGCTTCCAAGACGGACATCGTCGGCAAGGCGCCTGCCCTCCCTGCAGTTGCGAATCACGCCAACGTTGTTCCTCCAGACCCTGATTACCTGGCGCGACGCTTCCTTAATGACATTTGCGCCAAGCTGACTGCATTGAGAGTGCGGATCATGGAAAAGCATGCTGCAATGTCGGCTGTCACGCCTGAGGGGACAGCGCCGCCGCCGCATCGCACAGATGCCAGGGATACGTCTTCAAGCATACCTCCTGACGCGTCAGTCGTTCGTGGCGATCAGCTCGCGAACGAAAAACCTTCAATTGCCGCTGGAAACCGCCTTCCTGCGCTTGTCGACAAAGGCCTATCGCCCCTTCGAGTCAGCGCCAGCAATACGCCCTCCAAACTTTCCAGCAGTACACGAGCAGCCAAATCAGCGGCCCCGGAATCCGAAAAAGTGGCTGCCCTGCTTGACAACCTGCATCGTGATCCCCGACTTGCTGTTAAGAGCGACATCCCGTCCATTGAGGACGCTGCCGAAGCAGATCGTCAGCATAGCGAGCTCGAGAGACAAGCGAGAGCAATGCTACTATGCAAAGATCTGTCCTCTTCAGAGCGCTTCTCACTCAACAAAGTGCTCCTCGATCGTACTGATCGCGTTCGAAGACTACAAAGCCTGGCAAGCTTCGGTCTCGCAGCTCAGCAGTCGCAAGAGGTCATCGAGCGCTGTGAAGCAGCGCTTCAGCGGTACGAATCAGCACCGGCCCTCTCGACCTATGAACATGCTACGAAGGTGGAAGAGGTGCGCACCGCTTACGAGGCCGCCGCGAACGCTTTGAGTGGTCTCCAAGGCAACAAAGTTGCGCGTGGACGGTTGGAGAATTTGAAGATACTACACGACTTAGTCTTGCAGCGCACTGCTGAACTGAAAGATCGAGCGGCGTGCATTTCAGCATCGCCCCAGCATATGCCTCGACGAGCGCAACAGCCAGCGTCGAAACGGTCAGCAAAGCTGACTGAGCCCATGAAGCATTCGGAGAAGGATTCGCCGCCAGAGCGTTTTACATTTATGCCCACACCTATCATCATCGAGCCACCAACTCCAGAGCTCGGTGCTGAGCAGTGTGAGACCTCGGAGCACAACGAGCCAGGAGCAATGCAGTCATATGTCAATGTTGAGAATGACATTCCGCCGCTTTTGGTCAAGTTTTCCATCCCTCCGAGCTCGCCCCAGCCAAGCCTCCGGCAAACACCCAGCCCAGCTCTCACTGGCAATTCGGTATTTACTTGCTCCTCCAGCCCGCTTGCCCGCTTGCCAGGAAAGTCGTCTGTGCAGCACTGGCACACGCCGTCGCGCCTAACGAGCACAAGCAGCAAGGGCTCTCGGCGTAGCTCTAGAGCCTCGACCCCCAGTCGCGGAAGCCCAATTCCCATGCACAGCATCCCACGCAGGATCAACCACTACAAAGCCAATCCGCGCAGCAAGCTCGATATGGCAGTGGGAAAGGTCGTCAATCAGTTGCCAGTGAGCATGGCCGAGGAAGAGCGCGCTTGATGATGCTCTCGCTGACGATTGAGTTCGCAGGTCTCGGTCACCATGCGAATCGCGACTGAGGATGACTTTGACACTGCGTCACGCGGTTGGCATGATGAGACTGGCCATTACTTGCTTAGCGACCCAGCCCAGCCACATGTCGAGCCTAGACTTGTGTTCTGCCGTATTCTTCGCTCAGGACAGACAATGTGCCGAATTGGCGGTGGCTGGCAAGAACTTGGCAGGTAAGCGATGGGGACGCCGCCAAAGATAGCAGTTCAGCCAAGCTAATACGGAAATCCCGCTTCACCCGACAGCTTCATCACGCAACGGTTCGCTGGCGACGTAGACATCCATCAAGCATACGCGCCATACAAATCTTCTAGATCCGTCTCCTCCTCATCTAGAGACGCTGCTATCGATACAGCGAGCGACATGCCAACCTCCACTTCTATGCTACTCACACCCACCTCTGCTACTCCTTCCCGACGCGTTGCATCTGATTCGATGCGATCCCCCACCCCCGATAGGTCTAGCTCGCCAACAATCGTCATGAACCGCAGTGTCATCCGAACGCCCACCCCGAAACCTGGATCCCGCATATCTCACAAGCACACCTCATCGACGCGTATCCCTTCTGACTCCAAGATCCCCTTTCCTAGCGTCACTCCAACGAAAGCACCCCGCGTAACAGCAATTCGTCCTTGAATTTAGCAACGCCATGCAGGCAGCAAAGCAAAGCAAATGCAAAAGAGAACTTATACCGTCGAATGTATGTATCATAACACCATGTAGCATGGACAAATTGGGCTCAAAAGCCCAGTATGCCAGTCCCTTCCTTTTTCTTCTTCCATCGCACCAACGCTGGCTGCTGCGTCAGTTTGACAGCGCCTTCGCGCGCAAGAGTGACTGCTCGTCGCATCTCTGCACACGAGTCACGGGGCAGACACCAGAAGCGGACATTGCAGCTGTGCCGGAAAAAGCAGGGCGTCAATTTCGACATAAAGCCTCCAGCCCAAACTGTCCTGTCGCGCTTGTGCACTCACTCGACTTCTTCGTACTTCCTTACAAGGAAGTCTAGCAGCTGCCACAGGTCCTTGTCCGGTACCATCTCCCCAGACCCACCCAGAGGCGACTCGGCGTTGAGTGTCCAACCATTCGCACGCCACTCCCAGATCCAATTGGAGATACCCTGGACGATCCACTTTTCCGTGCAAGCGATCACGATCTTGTCGAAGCCTTCCTCTTCCCATGCTGTGTATTCTAGGGCTGCACAGACTGCGCGCAGCGCAGCGCGCTTGCCTGTAGTCTTGCTGAACTCGGGCGGCCGCTCCAGCCGGCGGCTGAGATTGGGTTCTACGCGCGCTGTGCTGAACGACGAGGATAAGCCGCAGGCGATGGAGGCAGTGTTGCGCACATTGCAAAACTGTAGCCAAGGATCTTCTTCTGGGCAGTACACAACGCCAATACCGCCGTACTTGCTGTCCTGACCAAAGGATGCCAGAAGTTCTTTAGTCTTCGCTTCGATGTCCGCTCGAGGCGGCGGGTACGTCGCGCCCGATGTAAGTGTGGCTTGAGCAGCCGCCATGCTAGCTGCTTGCTGTGCATCAAGAAGGCTTCCAGCTGCAAGGAGCAGCACTTGACGAGGGTCGGACCTGCGTACATAGCGAAGCGGCCTATATGGACGAGGATCGGGCGTAAACAGGTCCGCTGGTCGCAACTGGGCGGCGGTGGTAATCGCACGGCCGATCGTGGGCGCAACGCTCTTAGCGTCTCCCTCGCCTGAGCCAACAGAGAAGATGGACGCTACGTCGGCTGGGTGGCCGACCTCGGAGGCAGTGGGCGCTCGGCCGATACCGCTGACATCATCAAATGCTGCAATTCCTTTCGCTTTCTCATCCGCGGTTGGACGGTCGAAAGCACGGTGAGAGCTTCTGCTCTGCGCGTCCCAAGGAGTACTCGCTTTCGCGCTGTTACTTACAGCTCCGGGAGGAGCTCGTACAGAAATGATGTTTGGATCAAGCTGGCCCTGTTTAACACCAGCTTTGAGCGCAGACTCAAGTGGATTCTTCGTTGCACCGCGGCCGAGCGAGGATGCTAGTTGTTGAGTGACAGTCATGCGCGACATGTTCGTGCGTGTTGTCTGGTTTGAGCGGAGAGAAGCGATATCCACCCGATCACACCCGTTGTACTCGCCCGCAGTATGGTGGTCCTGGGCGGCAGGGCTTTGTTGACCACCCCAAACACACTGCTCCAGGAGACTATCCGCATAGCTCTTGGCTGAAAAGGGGCCGGATTCGAGCGCCTTGTTCAGCTCGATCAAATGGTCCGGAAGAACAGACATGTCGATAGATGCTGCATATCTCTGGGCATCTGTTTCAACGCTTCCAGAACCGACGGTGAGGTGTTGTGTCGAGCGTACCAAGCCGGCAATGTGTCGTGCATCTTCGAGATCAGCCTCTTCATCCGGAACGCCAATTGAAAATGGTGGCTCTTTCGGGTCTTCGCCGCCATTTGCCTCCTTCCTTTCTTTCATTCGCTGCTCTCTGACAGCTCGAATCTCCGCAATATAGTCATAGTCATCGCGCTCTTGGGAAAGATCGCGGTTCGGGAGGAATAGCCGCTTCTGCATATTGTGCGGCGAGAGTTGATCAGGTGCCAGGCTGTATCCGCCAGGAGCATCGAGGCGAATATTGTACGAGCGCACATCTCCCTTCTTTACTTGACTGTCAAGCTTGCTGGCTTCTGCTCCTGAGAGATTCATCAAACCGCCACCCAGAGATGCGACGGACTCGGACTCTCTACTGCCAGATGCAGCGCCAGCGTCAGACGATCCCTTCTTCCATGCTTCGTAGTATCGCGGGTCCCCCATCTTAACCATGCCAGTTCGCTTTGAGCTTTGATATCAGCACGTATCTCGTTGTACGCTCTGGTCCCGGCAGTCGAGAATGAGACACTGAAGTGTAGCTTGTTCATCAATAAAGTTGATTGACGTATTTAGGTGTGGAGTGTTGTATCCCCGGTCCTTTGGGGTGAACAGTAGTGAGTTTCCGTCTCCTCTCGCCGTTCACTCACCGTCATCTCAATTCTCTCCTCGCCCATTCCTAGTTTCCTACTCGGGCGACAATCACCTTTCTTTGAACAACGTACTCATCCTTTGCAGCCCTTCGCTGACACAGATCTGGAACAGAAGCCATACAAGCTCTCGCGAATTGTGAACCAAGTATTGACAACGGCGCCGCCGGCGACGCAGCGACACGTATTTACATCTAGACGCTGGATCGAGCGAGCTACACATCATAAGGATGGACAAGCTCAAGATCGCAAAGGCGAGTCGTGTGAATGACTCGCTTGTTTTGAGACTGAATTGCTGATCTGAGTTCGACTCCTCATTGCTTTCGATATCAGGTGGACAGTGTGCGTCTCCAACGAGGCCAGCGGCACGATACCGTCACGCTGCACCTGACATCGCATCATTTCATTCTGAATTTCGATACCACACCGGCGGCATCAACGCAACATGCGAACAATAGTAGCGTCGAATTAGCAGGCGGAAATCCCAGTGGCCCTGACCCTGTTATTTCCACCAAAGCGAAAAGAAAAGAAGTCAGCTATGACCTCTCCGAAGCGGAGTGTACCGAGCTATGGGTTCGTCACGGTACGCCTTCTCCCCAAGAATGATCGTCTGACGGTCTACTTTTTGCAGATACCGTATCACCTTATAGCTCAATTGACTCGCGTACCGTCTGTTCTTCCCCCTTCAGCGCAGCAAGTATGGCAACGGCAGCAAGGCCTCATCACTCTTCCGCACAGCCAGCAACCAGACAGGGGCCCGGATTACCCGGCATACGCCACTCCGCAGTTGACCCAAGGGCTCAATGGGGGCCATTCGCTCAATCGTGAGCGCAAGAACTTGCCTCACAGCTGGCATCCGCCATACATATCCTCTGGGCGCGTTTTTCCTCTGGCAGTGTACCTGAGGAATCTCGAAAGGTTCGGACTTGGGTTTCAGACAGAGCAGTTGGCGACTGAAGTGTTCGAGAGTGTGAAGGCGTGTGCGATTCTACGTGAGTGTGCTTTCGAGCACCAAGCTCAACCCTCAGGGGTCAATGTAGTGATCGTTTCTTTTCCAATCTGCTGGCAGCTTCGATGGACCAGCTGTATGCGTTTCGTTACAAGCATATTGCCCCCGCAAACCTGGCGTCCGGAGGATGGAATAGGTACGACTGCAAAGCAGAATTTGCGCGGCAAGGAGTGGGGAGGAGGACGAAGGCGTGGCGATTCACTGATGTCAATTCTCAGTACACTGTGAGGGATTGCGCTTCCGTCCATTTCCAATCACGACCTTACTTGATCTGTTTTTTTCGATGCAGTTTTGCCCGACTTATCCAGCTCAGCTCGTTGTACCCTCCCGAATCAGCGACACCACACTCAATTATGCGGCCAAATATCGATCTAAAGCCCGCATACCGGCGCTCTCATACCTGCACTGGGCCAACAATGGTACCATCACTCGCTCTTCTCAGCCGATGGTTGGACTTAACCGCAATCGATCGGTTCAGGACGAAAAGCTGATTGAAGCTGTCTTTACGTCCCATCACTTTGCGGACCCGCACTCGCCTGCTGCAGCTGCAGCTGTGTCACACGGTGCTGCGGAGGATATGAGTCCCAATTCTGGATTCCCTGCCATGGTTGGAGCAAATCTGCAAGCGCCAAGCGGATCACCTAGCAACCGTCCTCCCAGTGCGAGCTTGAATCTGGCCAGTGGTACCGCTCCATTCGCTGTGTATGGCGCGCAGACAACTAACCTGATCATCGATGCACGACCAACGACAAATGCGATGGCCAACGTGGCAAAAGGAGCAGGCTCAGAGAACATGGATCACTATCGTGGCTGCAAGAAGGCATACCTCGGCGTCGACAACATCCACGTCATGCGGGACTCGTTACAGCGCGTCGTCGAAACACTACGGGAAGCAGACTTCCCGTACAATTTTGAGCAAGAGAAAGAAGACAAGGAGGTCAAACGGCCGCCAATTGACTCTCATTCGCTCAAGCGATCTTCCTGGCTCAAGCACATCTCCGCCCTGTTGGAAGGCTCGATGCTCATCGCGCGCAACGTCCACATCAACTCTTCGCACGTACTCATCCACTGCTCTGACGGATGGGATCGCACATCTCAGTTGTCTGCCATCGCACAAATCAGTCTCGATCCGTACTATCGCACGCTCGAAGGCTTTGCGGTTCTTGTGGAGAAAGACTGGCTGTCGTTCGGTCACCGCTTCATGGATCGCTGCGGGCATCTCAGTCACGAAAAATTCTTCACTACTGCGCAAGGCCACGGAGAACCGGACAACGAAGATGATGAGCGGGGCGATGGAGATGGAGGCTTCGAGCCTGTACAAGCTGCTACGGCTCTGTGGGGCTTCACGAAATCACTAGCGGGCAACTTCTCGAGTGGCAGTGGCTCTGGCTCACACACGCACCCCAAAGAAATGAGTCCCGTCTTTCATCAGTTTCTTGACTGCGTCTGGCAGATATACCGCCAGTTCCCCCAGCGATTCGAATTCAATTCCGACTTTCTTGTGGAGCTGCACAAGCAGCTGTACACTTGCACCTTCGGCACTTTCCTTCACAATTGTGAGAAAGACAGGCGGAAGCCTGACACGCTCGGCATTCCCCCAGCTGCACAATGCTCCGTGAGCGTGTGGGACTACATGTTCTCAACAGAGATGCGTCCCCGATGGATCAACGAGGACTACGACAAATCGCTCGATGATCCTAAGCGGGCGCAGGCAGATATGGGTGTCTTGCTGATGGATTCGCGCGATGTGCGCTTCTTTGCTGGTCTCTTCAGACGCGAGAATGAAGAGATGAATGCATACATTGTTGCCGAAATCGAAGAGAGACATCGGTTTCGGGAAGCGGAGCTTGCGCTTGCCATGGAGAAGAAAACGATGTTCGAAGCTGGACCGTCCGAAGTAGGCGGAGTCCATGTCGCCCCGGCAATTTCGACTCTGGGAGAGGATCCGGCTCTGAATCCACTAACGAACACTGCGTCAATTCGGCTAAATGACACAGCTGTCACCGCACGCGACCTCGGCTCCAGTCCTTTTTCGCCGGACCTGAGCGGTGCTCCAGTGACGTATAAGCCCTACCAACCGCGCCAGCGTCCTCACCCACCAGCAACCGCTGCTGCTGCTGCTTCAGCAGCAACGTCGAATCACGTGTCTCCATCACCAGATGAAACAAATGTTCCGACCCCCGTTGCACCGAACGCTTTCGCAGCAGCATCAGCGCAAGCACATGCGTTGGCAAACAGCGAAGGTGCTCAAAAGATGAAAACCTTCTTCTCTGCCGGTTGGGGCCGGTTGCAGGAGGCTGTGAACGCGCAATTAGATGCTCCTCAAGCTCAGCCGACCACAACGGCGCCGTCGGCAAGCAGTCTTCCCCTTCATGTGCCGCTCGCGTCGCGGCCTGATGCGCCTCTTGCGCAGGGCGGATTGGACTCGCTTGTTCATCAGCGAGCTGCATCTGCGGCCCGCGTCCCAGCGCCGCAAGCTGCGAATCCTTGGGCGTCGCGGCAGAAGGATAGCTTTGTACCCTCAAATGGTCTCAAAGACAGCACCCTGTTGGACGTGCGCCGAAAGGAAGCGGAGAAGAGTAGCACGAATGCGGCTGTCACTGCACCAGCGGTCTCCGAGGGGAGCAAAGCAAATGTGGAAACTGACCCTCTTGGCGTACTCGGATGAGACAAATTGCATGGCAAGACGGACGCAGATGTAGTACAACAATGTAGCATAGCTTCACGATAATGGGCGCGCTTGAGAATACCCTGTTCTACTCTTTACCACTCGTCATCCTCGAGCGAATCGGTATTCTCGCCGTCCTCCGACAGCGTCTTGCTCATGTACGGACCATCGAGCTCGTAGCCAAGCCGGCGGTAGTAATCACGCGTCCCAACACCAGAAATGACGGCGATTTTTGCGCTGCCATGCTCTTCGCGCGCGATCTTCTCCGCCATCTCCATCAGCAGGGTCCCAAAGCCTTGATGCTGAAACTTGGTGGGGTCGCGCGAGTGGATCGGCACGGCGCTGCCGTACGTGTGCAGTTCGCGGACGATGCTCGTCTGCTGGCCTGTCAGCTCGGGACGGTACGTCCCGTCGTGGCTGCACTTGCGCAGGCGGAGCAACGCGATGAGGATGTCCTTCTGCGGGTCCTCGTACGCCAGGAACGTCTCCCAGCCGCCGTTGGCGACGTAGTCGCGGCGGATGAACTCCACCTCCTGCGGCCGCACCTTGTGGTGAATCTCGTGGATGCCGACTTCGCGGAAGCGCACATCGCGGCAGGTGAACCCAAAATCGCGCATGCGCTCCAGCGCCAGCTCACGCAGGTTCCCATTCTCGACGCCCGAGGATACGAGCGGCATGGGGATGTCGCGCTGCACGCGGTAGACGCGCGTCCAGGGCGGTACCAGCGCGAGAATGCGTGCGATCAGGTCGACCAGGAAGGACGGCGTATAATTCTTGTACCGTCCGGTTCGCCAGAGCTCGTAGAGCCCTGTACCGCGGATGACCAACGTCGGGTACAGCTTGAGCCCATCGGTTCGGAATGCCGGGTTCTCAAAATACTCCTGCGAGGGATGCAAGGTTGAAGTTGAGCTCATGCTTGCGAGATGTCTCTGTTTCCAGAAGTACTCACCTTGAACTGCTCCATATCCCTTTCAACCCCCACATTTGGCAAGTCTGGCATCATGTGCGCCACGATCTGCAAAACCGATGAGACCGTCAGTTCAAGCAGTGCCGAAACGTATTCTCTGCGGCTTCTACAGAGGCAAGGCGCTGGAACCATGCGCACCTTGTACCCTGCATCTTTGGCGAGGTGAAATGTCTCGCAAACGGCCTTGACGGTGTGCCCCCGATTCGTGTCGCGTGCGACATCTTCATACACGCTCTGCACGCCAATCTCCAGCCTGGTGCAACCATATCGGAGCATCTGCGAGAGATGCGGCCGCAGACAGTAGTCAGGGCGCGTCTCGATCGTGATGCCGATGCATTTTGTCATCGCTCGTTCAGAGTACCTTGCAAGGAGGAGGTGGGTTGTAGTATCAGCAACCTCAGAATGCAGCTGAGGACTCATAAACAGAGACCATCTTGCTCACTTGACTGCCTCATCGACGTCTATGCCAGTGAATCCACTGAGCGCATTATGCAGCTGCGCAATGAACTTGTTTCTGTAATCCTCGCTCAGGGACATGAATGTGCCGCCCATGACGATGTACTCGACCTTGTCAACCTCATGGCCCAGCTCTCGCAGCTGCCTTACTCTGCCCGTGCTCTGCTCAAATGGATCGTACCGTGCGCGGATGGCACGCATAGATGTTGGCTCGTACCCTGTGTAGGACTGCGTGCTGTACTCAAAGTCCGAGTCTGGGCCGCCCGGGCAGTATCTTTATAAAGAAGTGCACGTCATTGAGAGTCAATACGGGATGCGTCGATTGCATTCGCCTGTATGCATTCCATCCGAGCACAATCCAACGCAGCCACTCACACGCATACGTTCCCCGTCAGTGCAATGTGCGGACACCGATGCGGCTTGCACATGACCGCGACGACTGCGATACCGCTGGCGCTGCGGATCGGCTTGGCCTTGAGCAGAGGCAAGAGCTGCTTGCGATAGTTCTCCGGCACAGCCGCGATAATGTCCGTGAGCTTGGGCACGCTCTTCGACCCAAACTTCTTGGCCGACGCTGCGCGCAGGGTGTTGAGGTTGACCGTCTCGCCCTTTTCGTACGCCGTGATTAGGTGCGAGGAGACGTCGGCGCAGACCCGGAGCAGCTGCTCGGCCGAGCCGCTCGACGAGGCGACAGCTGCGGCTGCCATGGTGGAGTGCGTGATCAGTGCAATGCTGCCGCTCTCTGCGACGAGAAGACACCTCTCTGATGAGGGGCTGCAGGCGATCCTCAATTCTTCACCAGCCTGACACGGGGTTGCATGCAAAGGTTACTGGACCCACGAGCAACTTCCAAGGGGGCGTGCTTCCTCATATCCTGCGCATGGAAGACAAAACAGGGACGATAAGTGACAATCGGTGCAATGGCGCAAGTCAATTCCAACTTTGGGATCAAGGACAGGCCCTCTTTGTAGGGCTTACGTAAATTGTGGGTTCTGATGCAGACCTCTTAGCTGCTGTGTCTGGCTGTCCGCAACAGAAGAAACTGACGAAAGGCCAGAGGGTCGAGAAGACAGGCCAGGAGCCTGTGAGGGCTGGCCGCAACTGGCCGTGGCCAAGCCATCGGCCGCCCAGACCCTTCCAAGCGCCAGCAGGCACTCTGTTGTCATTCATGTGTTCACGTGTGTGCGGCTGAGGGTGCTTGTTCTTTTCTCTTGTTCTTTCGTTCTCACTTCTCACCGCGCCCACATCTGCGCCCGCCACCCAGTGCCCCAGGCGCAGCCTGGCCATGCTGCATAGTGCGTACATACTACATATGCAATGCGGAGTGGGCGCAACGTTTCAGACAGGGACTGAGGGAGTGTGGAGCGATATCAGAGTCTCATATAGACTTCGCACATGACAGGAGAGCCAAGCTCAGAGTCTGTTGACTGTCCATAACCATGCATATGGCGATATATTCTTCTCTCCATTATAATAGAGTAGCTAGGTTCAGGGTATATCCGTTGCCAAGCCAGCCTCTACCCCCATTCCATCCTTGGCTAAGCTTTTAGTCCCTCTTAACTGACTCCGGTGGTGTTAGAGTGGCAAATAGTCACGTGACAATGCCTTCCGGCCGCAGCGCGAAGGGCCTCATCGGCACAACCCGTGTCTCACTTGTCCCTCGCTCATCGCTCATGCTCGTCTATGGTATAAGCACGTATGCTCCTCGGACTTGTATCAATCTATCCATTTTCCCCGCCTGCCTTCGTAGTGTGTCTATGCACATATGTGGATTGGTCTATGTGAGCATCGACGGTCGCAACATCGTGTCGTGATCGGCTGCGCCGTCTCAGCTCTGTTCGCTCGTGCAATGTGTTTCTTCTCTGATTCTCCTTCTCTTTCGCTTTTTCTCTCTGTGGAGCAGCAGCAGTGCAGGAGCCAGGAAAGCTTTCTGACTGACCAGTCCCCTCTGGATGAAATATACACCTCGTCGACTCCCGCCCTTCTTCGCCCACTCCCACCATATCTTATCGCATCCTGCACGTCCCGGCCATACAGTAATACTGTTCAAGCTGCCGCGCTTCAACGACTACGCCTCCAGTCCCAATCGGCCGCTTTCCAAGCACCTCCCCTACCTCTTCCTCCACTCTTTGCGCTGCGACTGCCGATGCAGAGATGTCGAGCCTACTCGACAAGATCACCCCGAAATCGGGCAGCGCAAAGGATGGCGCCGACCGCAAGGAGCGGGCCAGCATGGAAGACGGCGGAGCGACCGTCTCGCACCGACGCGCACAGGACGACGAGCCCGAGTCGCGCTCGTCCCCCTTGCCCGGCTTAGCCAGGGGCGGCGGCGTCGTCGAGGCGTTGGACTTGATTGAAGATGACGACGATAGAGATCTGGCGGAGCGAATGGGCCATAAGAGCGAGTTTGCCAGAGAATTCAAGTCTCTATCGACCATCTCTTTCGCCTTCTCAATCATGTGCGTTATTTTCAGATCAAAATGACCATGCAAGGCTCGTTGGTGCTCATACTTCTTTTTTTTCCTTTCATTCTGCAGGGGCCTTATATCGAGCGTTGCGACCACCTGGAACACTCCATTCTGTGCGGAACTTCTCGTGTACTCGATATGTCACTACCTCCCTCTGACACTCGTCTTTTCTCCCAATGCGATCGCTCCTGGCTTTAGTGTACGGGTACGTATCGATCGCTGCGCTCTAGACTCCCCGGAGGAGTCCAAGCTGACACTGTAATACTGCGCTTGCTCTTTCAGTGGCTATGCGACGACGATTTGGGCATGGGCTATGGGCTCCTTCTTCAACCTGTCGCTCGCGACGGCGATCGGCGAGATCATCTCTGCCTACCCTTCTGCTGGCGGCCTGTACTCTGCGTCGGGTCTTCTGGTGCCAAAGAAGTACCGCGCAATCACTGCCTGGTGTACAGGCTGGCTCAATTACACTGGCCAGATCGCCGGTATTGCAGGGACTGCTTGTGAGTTCTTACTAAGGATTTGCGTCATCGTGTGACTAATGCGATGGGAACTCTGACATGCGATCTGACAGGGGGTCTGAGTCTGATGCTCTGGGCGTACGCATATGTCGCAACCGGCTACACACCTCCCGGCTCGGCCACTCAGTCGAACGGCGCGTACGTCGGCCTGTACATCGCCATCATGGTCGTTCACGGCTTGATCGTTTCTTTTGACAACAAGTGGCTCGCCAAGATGACGAGCGCGTATGTGTTCATCAACCTCGGCATCACCGTCGTCACATCGATCGTCGTGCTTGCACGCACGCCCGCCAGCGAGATGCTTACTGGCCACGAAGCGTTCGGCCAGATTACCGACAACACGGGGTACCAGAGCCAAGCGTTTGCCTTCTTCATCGGGCTGCAATGTGTACAGTTCGTCATGACGGACTATGACGCGACGGCGCACATGTCCGAAGACATCCACCGCGCTTCGTATGCAGCGCCTGTCGCGCTTTTCTTTGCCGTCGGCGGAACTGGTATTTTCGGTGAGCGCTTCTCGTTGTGTCACTGCGAAAGAGCATACGATGGCTGACGCTGTACTCTCTTCTTTTGGCAGGTTTCTGTCAGTGCCTGAAGTCAATCACAAGTCACTATGCTCGATCACATTTACTGACGAATGTGCCTTCCATTTGAATTTTCGTAGTGCTCAACACCGCCATGGTGTTCGGCTCACGCGGCGTGCTCGACGCGGATGTCATGTCCTTCCCCGGCCAGCTGGCCTTTGCGCAAGTCTTGCTCAACCGCGCGGGGCGCGTCGGCTTCCTGATCATCTGGCCCTTCATCATGGCCGTCGCCTGGTTCGTCATCACGACTGCGCTGCAAGCCAACTCGCGCTCCTTTTACGCGTTCTCGCGCGATGGCGGCCTGCCAGACAACAAGTTCTTCGCTCGCGTCAACAAACGCACCAGGCAGACTGTCAATGCGACCTGGCTCGTCGTTGTCCTATGCGTGGTTATGATCTTCCTCTCCTTTGCCTCGACAATTGCCGTCGGTGCGATCTTTTCACTCGCTGCTTGGGGCATGGATACAAGGTATGTGGCTCTTTGATACCTAGCTCCTTGCGTCATGCGCGACGCATTACTGAGTGAATCTCTACCTGCTTAATTTTGCAATCCAGCTACCTCATTCCTATCATCTGCCGCCTGATCTTCCAGGATCACCCTGACGTTCGGTTCAAGCCTGGGCCCTTCTACCTCGGCCGCGGCATGCTGTCCACGGTTGTCAACTACACCGCTGTTGTCTGGACGCTCTTTGAGGTTATCGTTCTCTCCTTTCCTATTGTCACGCCGTACACGCCGCAGACTTTTGTGAGTGAACTGCCCCGCATAGAATGTGCGCAGACGCGGGCGACCGAGCTGACTGCGTGACCGTGGCTCCTGGCTTTCTGCGCACCAGAACTACTCATGGGTTATCGCCATCGCGATCCTGATCCTTGCGCTCTTGTGGTATGCCGCCTGGGCGCACCGCCACTACCAGGGCCCGCACAGCAGCATGTCCAGCGACCAGCTGCGCAAGCTCGGCATCGTCAGCAGGGCCGAGGAGGCGGACGCGGCTAGCAACCAAGCGCCGTTTTCCGGCAGATCCCCACCACCGTACCGTATCCCCCTTGACGAAAAGGCAACTTGAGCACAATGAGGATGCTATACCCGTTTGTTTCTTGCACATGTAGTATTTGCTACATAGATCAAGCTGTGGCATGCATACCCTTCGCGATTTTGACCACATGCGTCTTCGGACGCTCATCGCTGAATTGGTGACATTGTGTGGTGATGGCAAGGGATTAGTTGGTCGAGATTAGGGTTGCATCTGTTCCCTTCTCATCATTCAGTCTCCCCCACCTCCCATCATCTTCTCGCCGGTTCCCACACACTTTGCCGTTCTCCTACGCGCACCTGCCTTGATGCTCTTCGCATCGTTTCCCTCTTTCAGTAGCCTCACAATTACACGTGGCCTCGCCGAAGCAAGGTCGTGATTGGCGAACCAGTTGACAGCCGACGCAACGCGGTCACATGCTTTGCGTCTGAAACGAGATTGCCGTCGCCATGGACGACCCATTCCAGCATCTAGAAGGGGCGTCCCATTATTCCCGCTCGTCCAAGTCCACTGTGGACCGCTCTCAATGCGATGCTAGCTCTGAATACAGCTATGCCTCCACCGATTTGGGAGGGGCAGCGGCTCGCGAGAGTAGCCAGAGTGCCAAGCGCACCAACGGAAAGGCTGGTTCGAACGAGCTAGATATGGATTTGGACCTCGATCTCAACGACCTCAACTTGGATGACAGGGACCTTGACGGCGCTGGCGCGCGACATGCTGCCTCGCACAAGAGGGCTGGAGGCGGCCGCGATGACGACGAACTTTCCACGGAGTACAGCTTTGCTTCGACCCACGCCGCGCAGTCCAAAGCACTCGCCGGCTCTATTGTTCACGATTCCGATGATCTGGACGAAAGAAGCGGAGGCGCAGCCGGCCGCAATGGTGGCGCAACTAGGTACGACGCCCACGCTGGGCACGATATGGGTCTCGGGGAACAGATTTGGACAAAGGAGATGGAAAAAGCACTCCCGCCACATGCGTGCGCCTACTGCGGTATCTCGAATCCCAGCTGCGTTGTCAAGTGCTTGATTTGCAAGAAGTGGTCAGTGCCATCTCTTTTCTCTTTCCCAACGATAGCTAAGCTAACCCGAGCTGCTTCTCTTACAGGTTCTGCAATTCCCGCTCTTCGCTCTCCGCTTCACACATTGTCAACCACTTGGTGCGCTCCAAGCACAAAGAAGTGTGCCTGCACTCCGAATCACCTCTCGGCGAGACCACGCCCGAGTGCTACAACTGCGGCACGAAAAATGTTTTTATGCTCGGCTTCATCCCAGCTAAGTCGGAGACAGTTGTCGTGCTCCTTTGCCGCCAGCCTTGCGCTTCGTTACCGAGCAGTACAAAGGACATGATCTGGGACACCTCACAGTGGGCCCCGCTTATCGAAGACCGCAGCTTCCTCACGTGGCTCGTCAAAGCTCCCACTGAGGCTGAGGTGATTCGCGCACCGAAGCCGCACATATCCTTCCACCAGATCAACCGGCTCGAGGAGCTGTGGAAGGAGAACACAAATGCCACGCTCGAAGATTTGGATAAACCTGGCGTGGACGACGATCCGCCTGGTATTTTGCTGCGCTACGAGGATGCGTATCAGTATCAGAATACCCTCGGACCGCTTGTGAAGATTGAAGCGGACTATGACAAGAAGCTCAAGGAGAGTCAGACGCAGGAGGACCTGGTCGTTCGCTGGGATCAGGGCCTCAATATGAAGAAGATTGCTTGGATGGTCCTGCCAAAGCTCGAGAGTGGAGAGGTCCGACTCGCTGTCGGAGACGAGCTCAAGATCAAGTACAGAGGAGAGCTGGCTCCGCATTGGGAGGGTGTTGGCCATGTGATCAAAATACCCAACAGTGAGTTCAAGCAGTAGCCGAACGAAGGGTCTGATGCTGACAACACGCTCTACTCCGGCTGCAAAAGACGTCTCTGACGAAGTTGCGATTGAGCTGCGCCGATCGGACGGCGTCCCTGACCACTGCACCCAAAACTTTTCTGCCGACTTCGTCTGGAAGTCGACGTCTTTCGACCGCATGCAGTCCGCCATGCGAACCTTTGCCATCGATGAGCAATCGGTCAGCGCTTACATTTACCACAAGCTGCTCGGACATGAGGTCGATAATGTCTTGCTGCGCACAGCCATGCCCAAGCGCTTTTCGGCACCTGGTCTGCCCGAGCTCAACCACAGCCAAGTGTATGCAGTTAAAAGTGTGTTGCAGCGTCCACTGTCCCTCATCCAAGGCCCGCCGGGAACAGGCAAGACAGTCACCTCAGCAACCATCGTTTATCAGTTAAGCAAGATGAATCCTGGTCCTGTACTAGTGTGCGCTCCTTCCAACGTTGCTGTCGATCAGTTGACGGAGAAGATCCACAAGACCGGCCTGAAGGTCGTTCGTCTTACAGCCAAGAGCAGGGAAGGACTGGACAGCTCCATCAACTTCCTGACCCTCCACGAGCAGGTCGCGAACAATGACACGCACGTCGAGCTGCAGAAGCTCATCCAGCTCAAGAATGAGCAAGGCGAGCTCAGCAGCAGCGACGAGCGCAAGTACAAGGCGCTTACGCGTGCCTGCGAGAAGGAGATCCTGAACACCGCCGATGTGATTTGCACCACGTGCGTCGGTACAGGTGATCCGCGTCTGAGCAAACTCAAGTTCAGAACTGTCTTGGTGGATGAAGCGACGCAAGCAGCCGAGCCCGAGTGCGTTATCCCGCTCGTCTTTGGTTGTAAGCAGGTCGTCTTTGTCGGTGACCATCTGCAGTTGGGACCAGTTATCATGAACAAGAAAGCTGCTCGTGCAGGTCTGACGCAGAGCCTTTTCGAGCGTCTCGTCATCCTCGGAAACAAACCTATTCGTCTGCAAGTGCAGTACCGCATGCATCCTTGTCTCTCCGAGTTCCCGTCGAACATGTTCTACGAGGGAACGTTGCAGAATGGTGTCACTGCGCCAGAACGTCTCCGCAAGAACGTGGACTTCCCCTGGCCTACGCCTACGCTGCCCATGTTCTTCTTTCAGAATCTTGGCCAGGAGGAGATCAGCAGTAGTGGAACTTCTTTCCTCAACCGGACAGAGGCCAGCAACGTCGAGAAGATCATCACGCAGTTCTTCCGCGCGGGCGTCACGCCTGATCAGATCGGCGTTGTCACACCGTATGAAGGGCAGCGCAGTTTCATTGTCAACCACATGCAACTGCACGGCAAGCTTAAGAAGGAATTCTACAAGGAAGTGGAAGTTGCTAGTGTCGACGCCTTCCAAGGTCGAGAGAAAGACTACATCATTCTCAGCTGCGTACGTAGTAACGAGCATCAAGGTATTGGCTTCCTCAGCGACCCGCGTCGTCTCAACGTCGCATTGACTCGGGCCAAATACGGCCTCGTGATTCTTGGGAATCCCAAGGTGCTCAGCAAGCACCCGCTATGGCACCATCTGCTCGTCCACTATAAGGAGAAGAACGTGCTTGTAGAGGGCGTCCTGTCGAATTTGCAGCCATCCATGATACAGTTCAGCCGTCCGAAGCGCCCCATGCAGAAGCCCGGTGACCTCATGGCTCGCTATCGCCATGACATCAACGGTGGTGACGCCATCCCGCGGAGTGCGGGCAGCAACGACGCGAACGCGCAGTCCGGGGGCAAAGGCGGGGCTGCCAATGCTGCTTCGGGCTCCACGGTGAACCGCAACAACGGCGCCGACAATGCCTTCTTGCGGGGTCACGATGCGATCAATTACATCCCGAGTGACGCGCAGTCCATTGCATCACTCAATACGCAAGCTCCTTATCCGTCTTCCCGACTGCCTCCGTTCGCAGCCAGCTCTGTTTCTGGCAGCTCCCGCCTTGGGATTCCCTCGGGAGCATCGTACAGTGCCAGCATCATTTCGCAAGATGTCGACGGCGACGCGGTCAGTCAAGCGGGGAGTAGCATCCACCCGAGCCTGTCGTACAACCACAGCGATCGCTTGCACCGCAAGAACAGCTTTGGCAGTCAGTCTGGCGTAAGTGATTTGGCCAGCCTGGAAGGGTACAAGAGCCATGCGAGCAACTTGGACCAAGAGGACGACACGCGTTCTAACTATTCGGCAGCTGTCAGTCAGGCTTCTTTCACGACGTTTTAGTTGCCCACCTGTTTCCAACAACTTCTCTCCTCTGTGGACACCAGCGTCCCGATGGCGCGCTTACCACGTCACTCGATGCCTTCCTGCGCATGCACAGCGGACTTGGCACGACATGACACGATAACTGTGATCGGTCATCCGCAGACTTCTTCGCTAATGGCGACCATGCGCCCAGCCCCTTTGGCCCCCCGATACGTCTTGGCTACCCCGTGACGCTGCGGGACCCGCCGCGTTTACGTTTACCTCAGCGAACGAGCCAATAACATCAATGCTGCAGGTCGCCCAGCGGACTCAGTAGGTACCAAATGTGGCCAGGCTTATTGGCCGACTGTGAGGTCAACGGGCTCAATGCATCTGCACATACGGTGCCACTTTCGCCATGCGAGGAGCATGCGAGAAAGAGTGCCCGTGTTTCTGCACTTGCGGCTGTATGACTTGTGTGCACTCTGATACTACATGCAGTGTGCAAAATCTACTTCGCTTTTGCCTGTTTCTTCATACCTGTCGTGTGCCGGGGCTTCGTCCGCCGCGTCGAACTCGTGCGTCTTCATGTGGCGAGTAAGCTGATCGGACCTGGCGTAGGCGCGCCCGCAGATCTTGCACTCGTGGTTGCGCTCGCCGCTGTGGGTCTTCTTGTGCTTGGACAGGTTGCTGGCCTCCGCAAAGCAACGGTGGCAGACAGGGCAACGGAACGGCTTGTAGCCGGAGTGGACGCGCATGTGGTTGATCAGGCTGCCGCTGGTGGCGAAGCGCTTGTCGCAGCCCGGGTGCTCGCACGCGAACGGCCGGTCGCCGGTGTGCGTGCGCGCGTGCAGATGTAGGCCGGTCGCCTCGCTGAAGCGCGCGCCGCACTCGGCGCAGACGAACGGGCGGAAGTTGGTGTGCGTCGTCAAGTGCCGCTGCAGCTTTTGCCGCTGCTTGAAGATGCCCGCGGAGCCCTGAGCGGCGCGCGGACAGCCGCGCCAGCAGCACAAGTAGGTCGACAGGCCGGCGCCGATGTGCGCATCGTTCAAGTGCTGATTGAGCGCGTCGGGCGTATCGAACGCGAGCTGGCAGGCGTCCCAGCAGCACGCGAACTTTTGGTTCCCTCCTGGAACAGTGGCGCTTTGAGTCTTGATGGTGGATTTACTCTCACCTCTGGTTGCGCTCGAGGCAAGACTGACTACATCAAGGCTGCTGTAACTGGTACCAGGCGTGTCGTGTCCGTCCCCCCCTCCTCCTTGTTCTTCTCCCTGATTGTCCGATACGCTTCCCCCCCGAGAGATATCGCTGCCGACGGTGCTATCGAGCCCATCGTCGCTCGCATGCCGGCCCTTGGGCGCGGCCAAAGAGCTCGACGCAGAGCTTTCCTCTCGCGGTCGCTTACTAAGCATGGACGGTGCATGGGCGTCTCCGTTTGAGGACGCCTCGTGGACGCTTGGCGGCCGCGGGGGTGGCGGTGGCGGCGCGGCAAGCAAGGGGGTAAGGTGCGTGCGCTGCACGTGGTCGACGAGCCGGTGCGCGGCCGTGTAGCTAGCCGTGCAGCGCGACCACTGGCACGTGAACACGCGCAGCTTGCGCGGCGTTGCGCAGTCGGGCGTTGCGTGGGTGTGCGTGTGCACAGCGGTCCGGTGCAGTTCCGCCGCCGCCGAGGGGGGGCGTGGAAGTGCGTGCGAGTCAGCATGCGAGGGAGAGCGAGCGCAGGTGTGCGTAGGGAGATTCGTGCGCACGCGGACATGTGCGGCGCTGCATGCACGGCTATGGTGCGGCTGTGGAGGAGGGGGCGGATTAGGGTGGAGCGCCTGGGTGGCTTGATGCACCTGCAAGCAGGCGCGAGTCGTCCTCTTCCGCTTTCCGCTCACACGCTCGGGTACGGGCGCTGCGGCAGGGTCGTGCAGCGCGCCGCCATCTGTGGCGTTGCGTTGCTTCACGTCCTGGCCATGGCCGCCTCCACCGGACGCGTCGGACGCGCCAGACTGGTGCAAGTGCGGCTGGTCAATCGTGCAAGCGCCGTGCACACTGTCAAAAAAGAGCCACGAGGGGTCGAGGCAGTCGCTGGCGGTGCAGAGATTGCGCTCAAGCTGCGCGATGTCCAAGTTCGTAGCGTTCGTACTCGTGGATAAGACAATACTGGTGGGGAAGGGCACGAGCGTGGTGTGCTGCGTGGGTTTGGCGGCTGTCAGCGGCGGCCGGTCGAAGGCATTGGAGAAGGGTAAGGCGTATGTAAGGGAGGGTGTATGTAGGTGCGGCGGAAGCGGCACAACAGCGGGCTCGCTGCTGCTCGTCGGCACGGGGGTGGCTGCGACAGAGGTGGAAGCTGATGTGGAACCAGGGGTGGAAGCCGAGGCGGATGGAGGAGCGTTGTGGAACGGGTAATGCTCGTGCTCGTACCCTTGTCCATATTCGTGCTCTTGCTTTGGCTGCGCCTTTCCCTGTTCCTCGGCAGAGTGGTCGATATCGCAGCAGTAGTGGCTGAACCACATGGCATCGTGAGCGTGCAAGAAAGGATGCGCGAGCTCGCCGGCAACGGTGGCGTTGTCGTCATTCGTGCGAGTCAAGGCCAATGCCGGGCCCGGAGCCGAAGCGGAAGCCAGAGCCGGAGCGATGGGATCAGCTGCCGCCACGCCTTGGAGCTCGCAGCACAGCGCCGTCGCTGTGCTCGCTGAAACGGCGGCGGCGGCGGTGGGCAGGGGGAGGAGTAGCGGGGCGGGTGGTATCTGGCAGGCGGCATCGTCGCAGCACTCTACTGCAGGACTGAAGCGCACGTGGGGCGCCGAGGGCGGGGAAAGGCTCGCGGCGGCGGCGCAGCAGCAATCCAGCTGGCGGACGAGCAGGTCAGCCGGCAGGGAAGAAAATGAGCGAGATGGTGTCAGCCGAACACAGTGTTCAGCAGACAAAGCGGGGCCACTCACGAATGCCTGGAACGCGTCGGCACTCGTGCTTTCGTGCGGGACCGCGGCTGCGGCGGGCGCATCGTAGTCACAGTCGCAGTCGCAGCAAGCTGCGACGTGGTGGTTGTCCGGTGTGGTGGCAGCGGGCAGACGGCAGCACGGGTCGGCGCAGGCACTCTCTGGTGCTAGTGCTGGGGACGATGACGACGGGTTGCAGCAAGCGGATGCTGGTGAAGCGATCAGGGTCGGCGCGGGTGGATGTGGGATTGGGCGCGGGTGTCGCTGTTGCTCTGCTGGCATCGTCTGCGGCGTCTGGGCGTGGTCGCTCTGCAGCCAGCAGCAGCGGTCAGACACTGCGGATATTTGATTGGCGTGGGTGGGGATAAGAGACAGCATTGGCGTGGCTCTGCTGCTGCTCTAACTCTGTCTTGCCCGAGAAAGCCAGGGGACATAGTAATTTTAAGAGAGATATTCTGCAGCTGGACCAGAATCAGGACCAGAATCAGGATCAGAATCAATGGTACCTTCGCGGCTCTCACCCCATCAATAAATCATCTATGATATTTGCATTAGCATATCGCACGCACCCTTCCGGTCAAGCGCACGTCACGTGACTGCTCCCTCAGTCTGCTCAGGTGTCGATGCCAATGCAACCCATCGCATAGCCCACCCACCCCCCGCCCTCGGGCTCAACATGCTGTCGCCGCCCCGTGCCTGCTGGACCATGCAGTGTGCATACGACGAGTACGTAGCATGTATCACTCGCGGCCGCACGTCTCTTGCCACCTTGCCGTGGAAAGCCACCGAGCTCCTCGAATCTCCTCCATGTTCTCAAGTGCGCAGGCCGCTGCAGCATGGCTGGCCCCATCACGGGTCTTCATATTTGGGGGAGTGCTTACATAAGCATTGTCGGAGGAATTGACGGCCATTCGCATTCTAGCGCCGAGGACGCTTGCCGGCAACCTAGCCAGTCAGCGACATGGCCCTCCAGCTGCAGAAGGCCAACACGCCCTATTTGACGTTCGCGAAGTACATCATGCGCTCGTTTTCGATCGATCCGACCAAGGAAGAAGACGGGCTTTGACAGGTATCGATGCGCATCGCCGAGCTCGAGGAGTGCAAGTAAATGCTGCAGCGCCTCAACGACGGCGAGGGCTACGAGCTCTACCTCCAATCGACGTGTGGCCTGGGATCCAAGCTGGCTGGGAAGCGCTTCCGCGCAACTCGATCTTCGCCGACCCGGTACGCAAGCTGGACATGCAGTTCCTGCTCATCTTTAGTCACTGCTTTGGACGCAGCACGGCCACGCAGGCGCAGTGCACAATCGCCCCGCCGTTTGCCGCTACCATCTTGCTCGATCCGTGGATAGAGCCGCTGCTGCTCACGCATCCGAATTCCGTGAATGTGCGCGGCGTGTGGGGTGCGCTGCAGCCAGCGCTGAAGGTGTCCGGGGAACCCTCCTCTCCCCGCTTTGCCAGATCGTCGCGCCGCTGTACGTCATGAATCCCGAGCCGTTCGCCGGGTGACGCGAGTCCTTCACCAAGCCCAAGGAGATATGCCACGACGCGCGGGAAGCCAACGCAGAGAATCACGACTGGCTTATGACCCTCTGCGGCTCGGCGAATTTCGATTACTCCGACTACCACTCATTTTGTCCCACCTCTTTCGCTCCGTCGTGGGCCCGAACGCGTGAGTCGCGCTGCGCGGATGAACAAGTGCAAGGCCACTGTCTGCCGCCGCATAGTGTTTGTGCGCATTCCAGGACGATCGCGAACTTCTTCCAGGCAATTTTCACTCAAATGAACCTGTTGCGGCCACGCTTCCGCGAGCAGGGAGAGCAGTCAACGGCGGTCGAAGCAACAGGAGTCATGAGCCACGACCATCCGCAGCACAACGAAAACGGCGGCGAGGACGGCAGTGAATGGTAACACGGTCAGCCAAGGCAGCGCCCACGGCCGGTGCTCCGCGCCATCCGCATGCCCAACCGGCGAGGCTAGCTCTCCACAGCTACCGTGACGCCTGAAAAAGAGTAGGTTGATATCGGATTCGCGTCGGAGGCAAAAGAAGCGCCCCTTCCACAATGGCAGAAGTGGCGGCAAACGGCTTCGGCGAAGTCGTCAGAGGCCGAGGACGAGGTGGTCTACGTCTCCCAGGCAGACGCCGAAGCGATGAACGGTAGTGCGCGTGACGCTCTGGCAGATGATGACAAGGAAGAGAAAGTGGAGATACTTGCCGATGGCGGCGACGAAGCGACGGATCATGAAGTGAAGCAAGGGGAAGACACCAAAGTGTTGCAAGTCCCTTTCACCAAGTCTCAATGCCAGGAGGATCGGAGATGTCGACGCGTATCGCACACCACCCGGCAATCTGGTCGGCAAGCGCAGGGCGACAGACGAGTGCATTGACTTTGCTGAGGGTGATCAGTATCTCCAGATGCAAGGCGATGCGGACGATGATGCCGCCGAGGTGCAGCGGCATACGCAGACGCTCAGCTTTCGCCTGCCGTACAAGCGCATCAAGACACACTCTCTGTTCGCTTTTTTTGCTGCACGCGCAAGGCCTCAATCCAGGACTCGCCCAGCCTGGCAAGGTGCTGTGCCACCGATATTAGCAGGACGTGCATCTTCATGTAATACCCCTCCTGGGCACAAGAATGTATATGCGCTGTTTTGTGCAGCCAAAGGCGAAGTACCCAGGCAGAGCAACGCAGCACAGCACAGCGCAGCGGAATCTCACTCTTCCGTTTTTAGTTGTACTGAGAATACAAAGCGGTACTAGAGAACTTCTGGCCTTGCCTAATGACCTTCTCGACCGCATCGAGGAAGTCTCTTTCGGTCGCCAGCTTGCGCCGGGCGCGAATAGCAAACATGCCCGCTTCGGTCGCGACGCTCTTCAGCTCGGCACCGGTCGTGTTGGGGCACAGGCGCGCGATGAGGTCGAAGCGGATGTTGCGCTCGACGCTCATGCTGCGTGCGTGGATGCGCAGGATGTGCGCGCGGCCTTCGTTGTCGGGCAGGCCGAACTCGACTTTACGATCGAGACGACCGGGACGCAGGAGCGCCGGGTCCAGCGTGTCGGGCCTATTGGTTGCCATCAGGACTTTGATGTTGCCACGTGGATCGAAGCCATCGAGTTGCTGTGCGCAAAAGAAAAGCATCTGTAAGCTTCCTGCGAAACCCTTGAAGCATGTCCAACTGAGAGAAAGAAGCAACTTACATTGATGAGCTCCAACATCGTCCGCTGCACCTCATTGTCTCCACCGGCGCCGTCATCGAAACGCGCGCCTCCGATGGCGTCGACCTCATCAAAGAAGATAATGCAAGCCTTCTTCGACCTCGCCATCTCGAACAGCTCCCGCACCATTCGCGCGCCTTCTCCAACGTACTTTTGCACCAGTTCTGAGCCGATGACGCGGATGAAGGTCGCGTCCGTTCGGTTGGCAACGGCACGTGCGCACAGCGTCTTTCCGGTGCCTGGCGGGCCGAAGAGCAGGACACCCTTGGGCGGATCGATACCAAGATTGACAAATTTTTCGGGCTGAGGTGGGCGGAGATTGGGGCACGCATGTCAGATTTGCAAGCGAACCCAGGCGAATCACCCAAACGACACTCACGTTTAGCAGCGGCGTTTCGACAACTTCTCGCAGCTTCTCGATCTGCTCTTTGCAACCTCCAACATCTCCGTACGTAACATCTGGCTTCTCCTCGACCTGCATCATGGTGACGCTCGGGTCAATCTTCGGCGGCAGCGGGATCTGGATCTGGTATTTGTTGCGGTCAACGCTGTTAGTGTATAGAGTGGCGATCAGCCGATGCACAGAAAGGATATCGCAAAACTTCTCGTCAGCGAAGCACTCACCCCACACGCATGCCCTCTTCGACGTCTGTTGGTGCCACCCGTTCTCCTAACCCGACGACAAACTTGGCGATCTGCTTGACGTTGATAACGTACTTGTCCTCCTCCTCTGCGTTTGGTGGCCCTGCACCGCCTAACCCTGCACCGAGCCCACCAAGGCCGCCCAACGCTCTCGCTAGCCCTTCTGACCCTGCGCCGCCTGCACTGCCATTTGCACCTCCGCCAGCGGCAGCAGCCGCGCTGTTGCTATCTTTCTGCTCGCCTCCAGCCTTGATGATTTTCGTGCATCTCGCCACCTGCAGGGGTTGCTCCTCGCTCATGCGTTGCTTGTCTGCGGGAATATCCCAAAGGTTCGGCGGCGCCAGACCCGTGTCGGACTCCTTAACGCCCATCTTTTCGTTGACGCGCTTCTGCACCTCTTTGATCTCGTTCTCGATCGACTTGAGCGCCCGCGCGTACGGCCCTTGACCGTATGTCTTCAGCAGCTGGATATCGCCCTGGAATTCACAAAATGTAGAACGTCTCCGTCAGCGTGTGCCGCCTCGCTGCACGACCCAGATGCGCACTCGTGCACCTGGACGCGTCAGTTGCTCACCTCGTCCAAGGCGACGATGGGTTCATCATCCTTGCCGGCGTCCTTGTCCGGAGCCTTGTACTTTTCCCAATCTGCTTTCGGCGGCATCTTTTAGATTGTGTCTTTGCCTGGACCGATCTACCTAGGCTTCCATGCGTTATTGGTACCTTGCGATCTCGGTGAGAAGAGGATTCGAAGCGGGAGAATGAGCTATATCCTCAGCGTGTATCGTCCAACCAATTACAGCTGAGGTGTTGGTTGTGCTGTGAAAGGATGACGAGGCCACTTGTTGCGAGGCCTGTGGCAAACTAGGGTTATTGTTGCACCCTCATGCGCACACCAGCAGCGGCGCCGCATCTGTCGAGCTGAGCGAACACCAGCCAAGAAGGCGGCGGCCGCTCAACCCTGCCTGCGCCTGCGCCGCCGTGCGCACAGCGTATTCTGGTCTTCATCGAGACAGGTTCAGGGGGGGATGCTCCAATTCGAGGTCAATATCGGGTCAGCATCCTCTTCGTTACAACAATTCTCGACTCCAGGATTGTTGAAGCAGCTTCAGCTTTTGTGCATAGGATAGAACGACCGACGAGCAGTGTTCCTTGGCCGGTCACAGGCGTAGCAGCAGACTCCACCACTGGCCCCTTTTCTGCCTTCCCGAGGGTCACCCAACACCTGTCCACTTTAGCCCCAAACCGGGTCCCATCGCCCGCCATGTCCAAGCAACTCCCAAAGATCCGCGATGAGGAGCGCGAGTCCCGCATGGGTTCCGTTTTTGGCGTCTCGGGTCCCGTCGTTGTTGCAGAGAACATGATCGGATCCTCCATGCACGAGCTCGTCCGCGTCGGTCATGACGAACTTGTCGGTGAGATCATCCGGATCGACAAAGACAAGGTCACCATTCAGGTCTACGAGGAAACATCGGGCGTCAGCGTTGGTGATCCCGTCTTGAGCACACGAAAGCCGCTCAGTGTCGAGCTTGGCCCAGGTCTTATGGAGAACATCTACGATGGTGCGCATCACACACCAGGACTAGCGATCCGCTTTCCAGAGTTCCTTTCCATTGGCTGACCTGGTGCTTACCGATCTTTTGTCTGTGCTGCTTACCAGGTATTCAACGCCCGCTAGAATCCATTCAGAAGAAGAGTGGTGGCATCTATATTCGTGAGTGCTTTATGCTGACGCAGAATGGACATTTAACTCATCAACATGGCTCCAATCCACACAGCTCGCGGTATCAACACCCAAGCCTTGAACAGGGAGCTACAATGGGACTTCAAGCCGGTCAGCTTCAAGGTCGGTGACCACATCTCTGGCGGTGATATCTACGGAAGCGTTTACGAGAATGCGCTGGTCAAGGACCACAAGATCATGCTCGGGCCACGAGCAATGGGTACCGTCACTTACATTGCCGAAAAGGGGTCGTACAACGTAGACGACGTCATCCTCGAGACAGAGTTTCAAGGCAAGAAGACCAAGCATACAATGTGCCAGCTCTGGCCTGTTCGCGCACCGCGACCGACCGCCGAGAAGCTTACTGCTAGCAACCCACTGCTCACTGGACAGCGTATCCTCGACTCGCTCTTCCCTTGCATCCAGGGTGGTACCACTGCCATCCCAGGCGCATTTGGCTGTGGCAAGACAGTCATCTCACAAGCCCTCTCCAAGTACTCGAACTCCGACATTATTACCTACGTCGGGTATGTATGTGCGAACTGGTCGTGGCTGTATTCATGCGCTGATGTGATCTTTCTTTCCCCCCCGTTACAGATGTGGCGAGCGCGGCAACGAAATGGCAGAGGTACTTGCCGAGTTTCCAGAGCTTACACTGCAGCGCGAAGGCGAGGAACACCCGATCATGAAGCGAACGACGCTGGTGGCCAACACGTCCAACATGCCCGTCGCAGCGCGTGAGGCGTCCATCTACACTGGCATCACGCTGTCCGAGTACTTCCGAGACCAAGGCTACAACGTCGCTATGATGGCCGACTCGACGTCGCGATGGGCGGAAGCCCTGCGTGAGATCTCCGGTCGTCTGGCCGAGATGCCCGCCGACTCGGGCTACCCGGCGTACCTGGGTGCCAAGCTGGCGTCGTTCTACGAGCGTGCCGGCCGGGTCACCTGCTTGGGCAGTCCTGGTCGTGAAGGATCTGTTTCCATTGTCGGCGCTGTCTCGCCGCCCGGTGGAGACTTTTCAGACCCAGTCACGTCGTCTACGCTCGGTATCGTCGGCGCATTCTGGGGCTTGGACAAGAAGCTCGCGCAGCGGAAGCACTTCCCCTCGGTCAACTGGGACCTGTCGTACTCCAATTACCTCAACGCACTCGAGCCGTTCTATGAAAAGTCGAACCCTGGCTTTGTCCAGTACCGCTCGCAGGCCAAGGCGCTGCTGCAGAAGGACACGGAGCTCGCCGAGATTGTACAGCTAGTCGGCAAGTCTGCGCTGGGCGAGGGGGACAAGGTGACACTCGATGTGGCAACGATGTTCAAGAACGACTTTTTGGCGCAGAACGGTATCTCCGAGTACGACGCCTACTCGCCGTTCAGCAAGACGGCGGCCATGCTCAAGAACATGATTGACTACCACGAGAAGGCCCAGGCGGCCATCGCCAACAACCCTGAGATGACGTGGGCGCGCATCAAGGACCACACCTCGGACACCCTCTACAGGCTCACACAACAGAAGTTTGAGAGCCCCAAGGACGGCGAGAAGGCGTATCTCGACAAGTACGAAAAGCTGTCCAACGACATTGCCGAGGCGTTCCGCACGCTCTCGGATTAGAAGGAGAAGGGAGCATTCCATCACTTCTTGCGCGCTGCGTTTGCTCACTCGCTTAAGCAGCGCGAACCTTTTAGATCATTCATGTATGCGCGGTGGAGATTCATTCGTTCTCATTGCTCTTCGATTCGTGACCGCGTATGATTGTGATCCAATACGGGGTTGGGAGTAAGAGTTGCATACACACCATCCATATGGAACGAATGTCTGTTGGCGGGGCGTGGAGCTACTTAAAAGCCCTTCGCCCAGCCACCTTTCCTGGGAGGCGAGGGCGTGCGAGAAAGAAAGAAAAAGGTTAAAAGTGTGGACATCAGCTAGGCTGAACCGGGAAGAAAGCGAGGAGGAACAGAGCCCAGCCTCCGGTCCGCTCACACGTAGAAATTTTGTAGCTGCTTGACTATCTTCTCGAGGCCTTGCAGCCAGTGTTCGAGCTCCTCCTCGACCTTGGCGGGCGGATTGCCGAGCTTGGTGTAGAAGTCTTGTCTGTACGGGCATGCTTTCATCGCGAGCTGTGTTACGACATATATTCAGGGCGAAGAAGGGGTAAATCAGCCTCAGTCTTGATTGCGAGACGGGACGGAGAGGCAGCAACGTTGCATGACCGACGTTGTTTACTCACACTAAAGACTGGGCGAATGACGAACGAGTGATGCTGCTGGAGTGAACTTTCATATGCTTTTGTGAAGCTCGCGCTGAGCTGTTCTGACTTGTCGGATATTGATCTTCGTAATGCTTGGGCGGTAAAGTCGAGTCCTCTGTGTGCGTGCAGGTCGGCCAGTCAAAAAGATGTAAATGGATTAAATGGATTGGCATGGCATGCGGTTGATGTCAGTATGCAGATTCCATGGCCAGAAATGCATGTCGTCACGTTACCTCAGCAGCCACATTAGCCCTTCGCTTGCTGGTCGCTTCTTGGCCGCCTCGCCGGGCTTGCCCTCGTTTTCAATGAGCTGCTCGAGTGTCGCAGACTGCGTCGGTGCAGTGAGGAGCCTCTCCCGGATTTTCTGCGCACACCAACGTGGCGGAGTGTATTCTCTCGAGTCAGATATCGAAATCACTATGATTTCCAAAACTGGAGCAGGTACCAAGGGGAACGCACCTTCAAATTACCATTCATGTCATTCTGAACGACGCTGAATGCAGCGCTTCCGAGCAGGCCGAGCAGGTTGACGAGCCCCTCGGTCGCCTCGAGGAAGGCAGAGGTGTCCACGCCTGCCTCGATTGGCACGTCCGCATAGGACTGTGAGAGCGAGCGGAAGATATCAGAGGCATGTCAGTGTCCCAAAAGACAATCCGGAGCTCTAGCGACGTCGAGCGGCCAGGGGCAGAGCAGGCCTGGAAAGGGTTGTTCCATTCTGACGACCGAGGGCCGCGGCGTACGCACTTTTTTGATAGTGTCAAAGTAGGTCGACATCTTGTTCCTCCTGTATAACCTTCCGTCTATGCGCTCTTGCGAATGGTGCTCCTTGACTTGGCGGCTGGTCTCCTTGCAAGGGGCGATTTGGTGATGATGCTTGCGTTGGAGGATGGTTGGTATGTATGCATCAAGCGCGCACCAGTGACCCATGCGACCGCAGAGAGTGACCGACTACATGATGGGGTTTGCTTTCTCTACTGCCGCCTGTTGGCCCCTCATCGGCCCCTTGCGCGGTACGCGAGCAGCTCTGGGCACGCGGTGATATAGTTCCACGCTTGCCAGAACGAGGAAACGGATAATCGGGACTAGACACCAGCCGCTGGCCCGAGCCTCGAGCGCAGATCGGAGAAGACGGCTGCTGTTACATACCTTCTTGCGCACAGGCCAAGAGGTCCACGGCTCAGGGCGGAACAAGCGCTCTCAAAGTTCGGTTGAGTTGGGTGCCAGGACCGGCTGAGAGAAATCAGCTGTGAGACGAGTTCTAGTGATCACTGGGATCTCGGGGCATGTCTCGGTGCACAGTCCCACATTCCATCCAACATTCAACACACCACTTCCTTCTTCAGCCGATGATCAACTTGGGCTTCTCTCCGTTCTCGCATTGTCCTTTTCCTCTACTTGTGAGACCGACATCAATCTTTCTGTGCCCTCGACGTCCACAAAAAGTCAAGTTTCGCACTGTCAAAAGAAGCATTGCAAACCAACAGCAATCATGGTGAGTCTTTGAGGCAAGGCCAGCCCTGCCTGCCAGCTGTGAAACTATCCGCGGGGAAATTGATCACAACGATCCTCCGTCACTTCCCGCAGGGTATCCTCGACATTGTTCCCCCAGGCGTCGTCGCCGGCAAGGACGTCTACAAGGTATGTTTTCTGTCGTTACTGTATAACATGACAAGGGTTCAGCGTTGCTGATGTGCTTGTCACTTGTCACAGGTGTTCGACTACGCCAGACAGAATAAATTTGCGATTCCAGCCTTCAACGTGAGCGAATGAGCCAATCAAGCAATTTTATTCCTGCATTTGGGAGGTTGAATCTACGAACTCATCGAGCTTCCACTGCGTTGCAGGTTACCTCTTCAAGCGTTGCCGTCGCTGCTCTTGAGGCTGCCCGCAATGCCAAGTCCCCCGTGATCCTGCAAGTCAGCCAGGTAAGCGAAAGCGCTTGAGAATTGAGCCTGCAAGCGGCAAGGCTCACCACTCACCGAAATTCTCGTTTTCACTTTAGGGCGGTGCCGCCTACTGGGCCGGAAAGACCATTCCCAACGACAAGCAGCAGGCTTCTATCGCTGGTGCGCAGGCTGCTGCCGAGCATATCCGCGCTATCGCCCCCCTCTACGGCGTCCCTGTCATCATGCACTCGGATCACTGCGCCAAGAAGCTGCTCCCTTGGTTCGATGGAATGCTCAAGGCTGACGAGGAGTACTACAAGAAGAACGGCGTTCCTCTCTTCAGGTAAGTGCCAGCAGTAGGGCTACGGCGATATGCGCGAGATTGACAGGCTCAAATGCAAACAACTTCTTGAACGCAGCTCGCACATGCTCGATCTCTCGGAGGAGCCCAAAGAAGAGAACATTGCTATTTGCAAGAAATACCTGGAGAAGATGGCACCGCTAGGCATCTGGCTTGAGATGGAGATCGGTATCACGGGAGGCGAGGAGGACGGCGTGAACAATGAGTCGGTGGAGAACTCGCTGCTGTACACGCAGCCAGAGGACATCTGGGACATCTACCGCGAGTTCAGCACGATCACCCCAAACTTCTCGATCGCAGCTGGCTTTGGCAACGTGCACGGTGTCTACAAGCCGGGCAATGTCTCACTGCAACCGGAGCTTTTGCGCACGCACCAGGACTATGTGCGCAAGCAGGTTAAGTCTGACAAGGAGAACCCCGTTTTCCTTGTCTTCCACGGCGGCTCGGGTTCGGAGAAGCACGAGATTGCGACCGCCGTCGAGAACGGCGTCGTCAAGATGAACGTCGACAGTGGGTAGAATCGGCAGGTATATCTGTGCTGTGCGTAGAGACATCGGTTGACATGGCACTTTCCTTGCATGTTCCCACAGCGGACACACAGTTCGCCTACCTGGAGGGCATCAGGGACTTTGTGCTGAACAAGAAGGACTACCTCATGAGCCAGGTCGGCAACCCGGACGGTGCGGACAGGCCGAACAAGAAGTGGTACGACCCACGTGTTTGGGTGCACGAGGGCGAAAAGACCATGTCGAAGCGTTGCCAAATTGCTTTCAAGGATCTCGGCTCGGAGGGAAAGCTCTGAGTGCGAACGAGCGAGGCCGACAGGGAAAGAGGCTCTCGGGAAGATGCAAAGGACAAAGAGGTGTAATGAGGCGCTTGCTTTGCAGCGCAGACAGAAGCAGTCCTTCACCGGCGTTGCGCTGTCGTGTAGTTATGTAGTGTCAAAAGATTCTTGACGAGCATTTGTAAAAGCTTCAGAACAGCGCGTTGTTGGCAGCGTCTTCCTATCGTCTGCAACTTGGGACTAGACCGTAGGCAGGCATTCTTTCATCAGGCCAAGCGCTCGCTCGTATCTTTAGGCGATGCCCGATCAGGGGCTTAAGGAGCGGAAGTGAATATGAGAGAGTCGAGTGTGCTTGAACAAAGCACGTCACGTGAATCTGTATGCGACGCGTGGACGCGCTCTTGGCGGTACAGGAGCCAAAGCAAGACGCGTCACGCAGCGCGCCTGGGCGGAATGGCATGTAACCGAGAGACAAGAAGAACACACGGCGCGTTGACGACCGAGAAGCAGACGCGCTGGCTGCTTTTGATGGGCAGAGAGAAACGCGACAGCACTGCAGCAGTGTCCAAACACGCCACGCCTTCCCGCAGAGAGCATCAGTTGGGTGGGTCATCCAAACCACCGTCCGACTTCTCCTCGAGCCGTACATGTATACAACACCCCCCCCGACCCGGATCCCCATCGCTTCGCCCCCTTCCACCAACATCGTCGGCCTGGCTTTTCTCCGACATTTCTGGCAACCTGAACGAGACGCCGCAGGTTGGTAGAGCATACATCGCGTTGGCCCTGGGGTTGGTGATGAAAGGAGAGAGAAACACAGACGAGGGAGAGAGGGCGATGTGCTCGTGATCTTTTTATAGCAGCCACTACCTATCCAATCGCATCGCCTCACCAGTCAGTCATTCATCCATCCATCCATCCATCCACCCACCATTCATCCATCTCCAGCTGCACGGGCAATCGCCATCGTCCACCTCAACAGCTGCGTGAGTATCCTCTGAGCAGTATCCTTGCGTTGTTCGCGTCTGCGAGCGTAGTTGCGTGGCACGCCGCCCAGTTGCGCCTGTCCTTGCTTTCTCTCGCTTGATGCGAGAGAAAGACGCGTAAACGGACGAGGTTGACACGTGTTTGCATAGCAGACTGTGGCTCACGCGATGACCTTATTATGTTGTGTCTTGCGTGAATCTGCATCGCTGACACTCTGGCTCTACCTTTCTCCCGTCGCATCCTCTTCGCTTCGCTTGCCACGCTGTGCTTACAGAGAAGGAGAACGCGCTCCATAGGCATCCTTCCCACCTGCCAGACATGTCACCCACTCAAAGTCAACGCAGTGTGCCGGATGAGCATTATGCATATCATATTCTGCCGGCCCGGACCCCTGCCAACAAAGGCACTGTGAACGCGAGTACAAGCGCGAGCACAGGCTCGGGAACAGGAACAGGCAACCGCACAGGCCAAGCCATGGCGCGTTGCTACGACGACAGCCTATCGAACGTGACTATGATTGGCACCGTCCACGAATTGGCTCTCTCGTCGCCGCGCAGCGACGATGATGGCGCGCGGAGAGGCTTGAGCCCGACAGCTCCTATGGGCTCAGGGGTGAGTTCAGGTTCAGGGTTAGCCTCCGGCTCAGGCCCTGCTTCAGCGTCAATGCAAGCACCAGCGCAGATCCCGCAATTTCAGTCACTTCCCCTGTCCCAAAGCCAACAAAAGCACCAGCAGCACCCGCGCAACGCCTTTGTGCGCAACTGGAGCAAGGCGAGCATCATGAGTACACAGTCGCAAGAATCGCTCGACTCGCTCTCCTCCTACCTCGACTTTGCCAACACCGGCAGCGCAGCACAAGGCTCACACGGCGCATTTAGTCGCAACGTCAGCTTCAACCGCGTCTACAGTGCCAGTGCCGGTGCTGCTGTAGGCGGAGGCGCTGATTCATTGCAGGCACACAGGCACGACCAGGCCGTGTTGCATAGTGCAGCGCCGATGCAGTCGACGCCAGTATCTTCGGCATCGCACCAGGGGCTACTGGTTTCTTCGTCCGTGGCCTCCTCGTCATCGCCCCTGCACCCTTGGTCATCGTCGTCATCGTCGCCGCCAGGCTCTTCCTCGGCCGGTCAGCGTCAGGGGCAGCAGCATGAGCAGGAGCAAACGCACCGATCTTCCCCGGACAAGGCGGCTTCTCTCGCGACTCAACATGGCGCCGAAGCCAGTCCGCGCCAGGGCCAGAGACATACGCGTCATGAGAGCCAGGCAAGCCATACGGGCAGCCAGGCATCAGCATTGTCCTTGTCGATGATCGAGGAACCTGCGCTCATGCCCTTGCTGCGCTATGACTGCCTCGGAGACGGTATGCTTGAAAGGGGTATGCACTTCGACACGGCGGCCGCAGCGAACAGCCACACGTCTAGCAGCGGAAAGTCAAAGCGTGCCACACACCAGTCGAATACATTTCCCGGCGGTCATGTCCACGGTCATGACAACGAGGACGCGCAGGGTAAGCAGGATCGATTGAAGAGGCAAGCATCGCCCTCACCACATTCTCTGGCGCCCATCGCGACCACTGCGTCGCCGTTCAAGCATGAACGCGACAACAGCTCACAGCCGACCATGGCGCCGAGTGCGATGCTGCCGCCCCCAAAGGCGGTCGCTGCGGCAACCGCAGGTGCTGACGCGTCCGATATGCGGCCGAGCACAATGCCTGGCGAGTCCCCCTTGGACGACTTCATGCGCCACGGCGATGGTGACAGCAACAGCGAGAGCGACGGCGAGAGCGACAGCGACGCGTCTTCCGAGTACAGCTACGAGGGCGATGGCGAGCAGGGCGACCTTACCGCTGATACGACCGTCTCGATTGGGGATAAAGCCGCTGCTGACGAGTCCGTGTCGCATGCGGACGCGGACGCGGACGTGGACACCAGCGCAAACAGCAGCAAGACGTCGATCTATGCGGGCCTCGGAGTCGTGCAGGCGCGCAAGTGCCTCGACAAGTCCATCACCGGAGAAGGCGGGCGTGCAGGCATTCGCATCGAGAATGACGGCACAGTGGTGCGCACGCGCCGCCGCACGCGACCCGCTGAGGCGCATGTGCTCATGCGCTTCTTTGAGGACGAGCAGTTCCCCACAGGCGAGCAGCGCGAGCAGCTAGCGCGCCAGACTGGTTTGGCACCCAGGTGAGTTTTCCACAATCCTTGTCGCGTTTCGTCTGGGGGAGCAGAATCTGGGCCTGGAGGATGCGCTGCTAACCATTCCTTCCACTTTCCTCTAGGGCTGTCACTGTCTGGTTCCAGAACCGTCGGCAGATCGAAAAGAAGAAGAAGGATCGAGCTGCTCGGTTACCCAGACGCTGGCAGCAGCGCTCTCCGCCTGCGCAGCAGCAGCCTGAGCAACCGATATCCGAGCAGCAGCAGTCTCAGCAGCAGCCACAACAGCCACAGAAGGAGCAGCAGAACGAAACCGCCACCCCACTGCCGTCTGCATTTCAGGTTGAGCAACTTCAAAGGGAGCTGAGAGAAGCACAACTGCAACTGCAGGTCCTGCGCCAGCAAACCCTGCGGAGCGACATTGGCTCTTCATCCGAGGCGACAGCGACGGCAGCAGAAGCAAGAGCAAAAGCAGCAGGAGCGCACGGTGCCGCGTCGGCAAAGGACGTGAACAAGCCTGCGAGCTCGCCTGTCATCTTTGGCAACTCTTCATCATCTCCTATCCCAGAGAGTGTGTCGGATAACACCAGCATCGACCCTATGCAGCTTCGCGCGACCGTGCCGTCTATGAATGCCATCCCAGGCAGCAAAGCAACAGACTCTGCCTCTATATTTACGTGGCGCCCGGCAGTGAGGGACCTGCGGCTGCTGCTGAAGGACACGCACGTGCAGACTTTGGCTCCTGGATCGTGGCTTGATGCGGCGAGCTTGGATGACATCTTGGCGGATCATCTTGAAACTAGAACGCTGAGCGCGAACATTACCGACTTGTCGACGACGGCTCTCCGTTGTACGACTGTGGCTAACGCTCCTGCTGCTCAGCTCGGTGTCAAGCAGAGCTTCGCGGGGGCGCTCCAGTCCGTCGGCGGCTTGCAAAACATCCTGCAGCGCGTCCGGAACGCCGGAAGGAGCAACAAACAGGACTGTGTTCCTGATGGCGACTTCTCTTTGTTGCGGTCACTTGGTGATGTTGGTACACACGCAAGCCTTGATGACTTTATCCAGCACTCGAGGGGCGGGTCGGCCATGTCCCCCGTGTCAGTCGGTGACCAGCAGGTATTGGGGCACATCTCTGAAAGAGGCAGGAGCGAGCGCATCAGCGAAGCACGCTCCAAGTCGCATTCACCATCCTCATTGCCGTTTCATATGCAAGCTGCTCTGGGCAACGCCGCGAACGATCAACAGGGGCGTTCAGTCAGCGAGCCTATCCGTACCACTCTCAAAGAAGCACAACACATGTTCTGTGCTTCGCCTGCCATGCTCTTGCCCCCAGGTGCCAGCCGCGTGGCGATAAGCGAGGAGCACAAGCGAAGATTGCTGCAGCTCATGCATAGCAGCTCCAACGGAAGCAGCGACGAGGACGAAGACACGCGCTCTGGACTCGAGCTTCCATCGGACGAGGAAATATCGCTACGCATCATCGCGACGCGCCGTGCTTCCCGCCGTTTAGAGAAGGGCGTCGATGCTAGCTCCTCTTCCAAGTCGAAGCTCGCGAAGTTTGTCGCGAGGCAAGCAATCCGAGACCAAAAGCAAGCCCGCAAGCAGAAAGGCTTGTTGCCGTCTAGCACATTCGCAAAGGTCATGCAGAAGGCTCACCGCGGGCTTCGCCGGCGCCTCGGGTGCCAGGCTGTCATTCAGCGCCAACTGACGCTGGACATGGCTGCCGGGCAAGACAGAGGGGAGTCATCGAGCGAAGATGAAGTGCGTCTGCCTGGGCCGAAAGCACGTCGCGCTACGCTGCCAAGGAATGCATTGGGCAGCAGGCTCACCGGCATGCAGCGCTTCAAAAATGCTGTTGAGCCCTTGGAACGCGGGGATACCAGCAGCAGCAACTCACGCAAGCGCGCAAATACCGACGCGCGCCATGGAGCAGAAGGGCCGGGCCGTGGCTCTGCCAAGTACGCGTTGACTCGTCCGCAAGCCCCGCTACAGCTGCAGATTGCATCACTGCAAGGAGCTGAGCAGCGGTCCAACACGCGTGAAGCGGCATCGAGCCCTGTCAGCTCTGACACCGAAGACTTGAGCTTCTTCGGGCCTAGCAAGCGTCTTCGCGTCGATGCATCTGGCCGCTACGTTGGCGACAACATGTTCCGCCCCGCAGCATACATGCTTAACGCCCCTGGTTCCCGCCCTAACTTCCAACGCACGGTCACGGGCCCGGGACGTCTGCATGGGCTGGCCGCGTATAGCAGCAACCTCAGTGGCCGCTCTCAGCCTGTAGCTCACGCTTCACTCGCGTCAAACGCTGGCCCTCCGCTGCAAGCGAACCCTTCCGTTTCAGCGAGCGCGTCCCCCGTCGAGAAGACAATCTACGGCTCTTACTTGGAGCCAGTATTGCGCCAGCCACTCAGCGCCGCGTCGAACAACAACAATATCGACGCGAATACGGCACCACAAGTACTCGGTGAGACGCAAGTGACTTCCAGTCCAGCGAGGAGCAACAGCGGCGGCAGCTGGGCTGGCTCAGATGAAGACAAAGAGAATTCCTCCCCTGCCCGAGCCTCCTTCGACGACTCCGGCTTCTTCACGAGTGCCGATAAGGCTACCAGTGGTTCAGCCTCGAATGGGCAGGGCGCGCGCCGAACGAATCAAGACAGGAGCAGCTCGGTACCGTCGCCCACAAAAGCCCGAGTACGCGCCTTGGTGGAACACAGCGATGTACAGAGACGCTTTGGACAGCTGGCAGACCGGGATCGCGCAGCTGCCGAGGTGCTTCTAGGCTTGGGCTTCTCGCAGTAGGAACGTGTGCGCATCCATTATGCCTTACTGTATGTAATGCTAGAAAGCTACCATCAAAAGTTGATGTCCGTATTATACACTTTGCCAGCAGGAAGATACAGTCGAGTATGACAAACTGTTTCTTCCTGGTAGCGTAACTAGGGTCCGAGCAGGTTGATGTATTCGAGCATATGTTGTGACTGCTACCCTTCTATGGTCCAGATTCGGGAGCGTCCTGATTGTCTGAGAAGGTGGTGTTTAGCCTGGGGGCCTTCATTCTTATCTTATTTAGCGAGCTGCTCAAGGGGCGAAGCGTGGAATGGCGGGAAGCAGGCTCGCGGCTTTCAGCAGTGCTGAGAGATATTTGCGCAGTTCCAGGCGACAAAGCCGTGGAGACCGGACGAGACTGCGGTCGAGGGGGGAGAGCGGGCAGGGAACGCGTTTTGCGGACGCGTACGAGCATCAGGAGGAAGAATGAGATCCCAAACATGACTGAAGGCGTTGAGGAAGGCAGAATCGTCAGCAAAATGTACAACAAATGCAGGCTGCTCTTTGATGCATTTCAGCACTAACCGCAAGCTAGAAGGAAGATGGCATAAGGCGCGGAGGTCTTGACGGTGTTCCTGAAGAGCCATGTGAACAAGAACGGTCCGAGGATGGTCTGACCGACGGCGCTCATGACGCTCCACGCTCCGAATAACTTGCCTGCGTCCCTAGGGCTCGATAGCAGGGCCAGGGACAGACTGCTCATCGCCGCACTACCTCCGCTGCCTAAGCTGGTAAGGCAGGTGATGACGATGTAGCTCAAGCCGCTCTGTGCGAACGGAATTGCGGCGTACGTAGTCAGCATGATGAGCACGCTAGCGCGCGCGAGGCGAAGGTCGAACTTCGAGTCGTGGATCATGCGCAGATGCTTGGCGCGCAGCGTCCAGAGCTCCTCGACGCTCTTATCGTGGTCCGTCCATGATTTCATGAGGAGCTCTTCTGTTACTTCATCGCCTTCTCGGTCACCTTCGTCGCTGCAGTCAAATCCTGCGCTATCCACCGCCGCACCAGTGAGTGAAGCGTCGCCATCTGTAGTAGGGACCGGCATTGCATGCGTAGAAGGCGTGACAGGCGTTTTTGGTCGACCGTGTTGGTCGAGTAGATCCCGACCGGAATGATCCGCGTCTTGCGGCAGGTTGAGTCGCTTCTTGGGACGGTGCACGAACTTGATGATGAGCGGCAGGAAGAGGATCAGGGCAAAGACGCGACTGACGCTACCGAGCGTCATGAATGTTCCTACTTCTTGTGGACCCCAGCCAAACATCTGCGTGGTGTGAATGAAACAGTGGCAGAAAAGGAGCCGCGGAGGAAAGGGGAAGGCCAAGAAGCGACTCAGTCAGCGCGAAGTGCGAGCAGGGCAAGGTCGTGCCTTGCGGAGCCAGGACGCGCTGCAAACTCACGTGCTGAGCGTACAACATCTTGTTCGTCATGATGCCGATGACCATCGTCTCGAAAAAGTACGAGAGGGAGAGCAGGCTGAGATTGATATCGTAGCGTCTCTTTCGAGAGATGTGCGAGACGGAGATGAATGATGCGGAGGCTTCATCGTTGCCGTTGGCCGCCGCGCGCATGTTCTGCGTCGAGCGCTTTCGCCTCGCGGATGCGCTGCCGTCGTTGCTTCCTCTGTGGGCGCCGTCATTGTTGTCGACAGTAGGGTCCTCGTTGATAGGACGCGGCAGGAGCATCTTGAGCGGTTCGAGCGGCCCCTGCAACGCCTCCTTGATGGCGGCCCAGACCTTTGTGCGAAAACGTGCGCCCTTGCACATCTGCTCCCAACGCTCGGCGCGCAGCGTCTTGGCCCTAGCACGCTCGCGGTTGGCCTTGGCGCGCGCCTCAGCACTGCTGCTCTCGGGGAGGATGAAGCCGGCGAAGAGCATGTAAAGCACGTGCGCGGCGGTGGCGACGTAGAATGCGGACATGAGGTTGCCCGTGCGCGCGACGAGGTATCCGCCGAGCGTGGGGCCGAGCGCAAAGCCGGCAAAGAACAGACCCGTGAAAAAGCTGAACACTTGTGCGCGCGTGCCGCTCGGCGTCGCGTCGGCGATGTACGCCTGATGCGCAGCGGCGAGCGTAGGCATCCCGCCGACGCAGCCCTCGAAGATTGCGCCGAGGAGGAGGAAGTTGTTACCGAATGGCAAGTAGCGCCGCTGAAAGTGAGCGGTGATCAGAATGACGACATCGTTGAGGACGATCCCCACGATGGATGTGCGCAGGATCCACGTGCGGCCGCGCCGATCCGACTGCCCTGCCCACCAGCCGGTCGTCAGGACGGAGAGTAGGCCGGTGACGACAGTGAGGCGCATCTGTAGGTTGGCAGACTCGGCCAGCACCAGCGCGGAGTGGCACAGGTCATCGTTTGTCGGTCCGTTTGGCACCTTGGGTGCCGTGTCAGCTGGATCTGCGCCCATGCTATCGGCCTCACCATCGTCGTTTGTGCTGCTATTATTGTCGTCTGAGCTGATACCAATGGCATTGAGGTTGGGCACGTACCTCAGGACCAGTTGCTCCGGCATCGCTATTGCCGTCAAGCTGTCTCCAGCTAGCGGACCCGCCCCGCTCCAGATGGAAGAGATCGCGCCGGTGTCGGAAGGAGACACATGATATGACGTCGATATCGACTCGGCGCTGTTGCCCAGCAGGACAGGACGTTGTGCTGGAAAGTCCCATGCGGTGTGGTTGCGAAAGTAGATCTCCTCGCATGCGATCTGGTCGTAGAACTCGAGCTTCGGGGGTATCGCCATGCCCGACTTTTCATTCGAACCGATTGTGTGCAGAGAGTCTGTTCATCAGTCTGGGGACCGAGGAGGGGCGCTGGTCGCTGCTGCACGGCATGAACCGTGAACACTCACAGCTGCCGCGATCAGAAACGCAAAAGGTCGAAGCCACTTGTCCGAGGGGCGTTTCCACCAGGGCTGATCCTTGCTCCAGGCGAGGTGATCGTCTTCATTGTCTCCATCTCCGTCTCCGTCTGGGTCTGCATCGTCGTCTTCTTGTGCTACCTCGTCAGGTTGCCCTCGCTTCCGATTGCCGTGCTGTGCGTGTCTCTGCAATTGCTGTGCTGGTCGATCGGCAGACATCTTGCCTTCGCCGTCCCCCTCGTGGCTGCATGTGGCCTCACCGTCTACATACATAACAGCGCCGTCTCGGTATCCTTCACTGGCACTTTGAGCCTTTTGCTGGCCATGGCGGCCCCCGTGGTAGGGCGGATCTGTCGCGATGGGCCCGTACGAATCAACATCGTGGAGGGCGCCGAAATCGCCGAGGCTGCCAGCAGCGCGCGCCGCCGTGGTTCGGTCATTCATGGACGCTGGAGGTTGAGGGCCTACTGCAGCAGCTGCAGCTTGGGCCGAGCGGTGCTGGTGCTAGTGTTGTGACGAGGAGCGCTGCATCGACGTGGCAGCGACGGGCGAGGCGAAGTGAATGGCAGTTGCGAGAGGGGGCCAGTAGAAGCGGCAGTGGATTGGAAAGCGCAGCAGCTATGCTTACGAGTCGACGCCCCTGTGCGGCTAGCCCTCCGTGCGCTTACACCTCGCCTGCTTGTTGGCTGATGCGGTTGGTATATGTGGGTGCAAACAGAGGGTATGTGTCGTATATACATACAGATACACGTCTCATGCGATCGCCGATATGCATACACCGGCTGGCGTCAGCTTCCTCGATAGCGATTGAGATCACTGTTGTTGCACCGATTCCACAAGAGCCCTTCCATGCGAGTCAACCCCGCTCTCTTCCGCGGCTGCTCTCTTCTAGTCAGCACAGCACCCTTTCGGCGTTTGGCGACCGAGTGAGCTGCTCCGCTCTTGCGGGACTCCCCCTTGGCCCCCCGCACTGTCAGAGGGAGAGTGTAAGTCCTTCGCTGGAAAAGCATCCCGGGCACAGCAAGTCGGCTGCAGAAGGCGGCCTAGACGGTTGTGTGCCCCCTACGTGTGACGGAAGGACGGGTGGGTAACCCTTTTGATGTGGCCTATATGTACATGCTCCTTGACTTAACACACTCTTCGAGTCGGATGCCATCGAAAAGCTGCCAGACCGCTTTCAGGTTGCCCTAGGGTCAAGCTCGCGCTTGGTACATGAGGATGTCGCCTGTCGGTGTCCCATGACAATGAGCGGCATCGAGTGCTTGAATAGTGCTATACAAATAAAACCATAAGGCGTCTGTACGTGCACCGTCGCGACGTGACATAGAATAGGCCTGCTTGTATGCCTCAATAGCCAGACTGCACGCATGCCAACGTTTCCATCAAGCCATTGCATGATCCGCACCTGTGATCCAGTGCGCCAGATCAATCACGAAGCTCGGCATGAGCGCCAGCACTGGCGCGAAGCGCGAATACCACGGCATGAACATGTAGCAGCTGCGCCTGCGACTGAGTGCGTCTTCCACGATGCGCCGCGCGACGTCGGCCGCGTTGAGCGTTGGCGCGAGAAACTCAGCGAGCGCGCCATAGCGCATGCGTGCGAACAGCGGCGTGCGCACGCGTCCGAGCGTCACAAGCGTCGTGCGCACCGCGCACGCATTCTTTCCCCCTACGATGCCGTGGTCGAGCTCGCGGCGAAGCGATGCGTGCAGCCCGACCAGTGCGTGCTTGGACGCGGCGTAGTCTGCGACGTGGGCGATGCCGACGTGGCCCATGATACTAGAGATTGTCACGATGTGTCCGCTGGGTTGGTGAGCTGCAATCATGTCCGGCAAAAACGCGCGGATGGTCCAGAAGTGTGCGAGCACATTTACCTCAAACAGCCGCTCGATCTCGCAGTCCGCAAGGGTCAACAGCGACTTTCCCCGCCCGCTCTGGATGCCGGCGTTGTTGATCAGGATCGTGACAGGTGCACCGGTAAGCTCACGAACGCGTGCAGCGGCGTGTTGGATCTCGGTGCGGGACGTCAGGTCGCAGTGCACATAAAACAGCCTGTCGTCGTGGCTTGTGACGGATGTTGAAGGCGGCCGCGGCGCAGCAATGTCCAAGTTGGCAACTTTTGCCCCCTTTGCAAGGCACAGACAGACGATCTCATGGCCCAGCCCGCTGCTCCCCCCCGTAACCACGACGACCTGCTCTGCCCACCATTCGCGTGAACTAGTCTGAAGTTTTGGTGCTGGTGCTGATTGCTGCTGCGCTAGGAATGAAAACGGGAAGAGCTGGTTTAGCCAGGCTGATGAGAGGTACGTGAACAGGTTGACTACTAGCGTCAAGCCTGCTAGATGGTCCAATGCCGTGTATGTTATCGAATCTTCACGGCTGCCAGGGAACAGAGGTCGCCATATTGCGAACACAGGCACGTGTTGACACAGCAGCCAGCTTGTCGCGATCGGGACATCTGCATGGGAGCGAAACGAGCACGTAGAGAAGGATAATGGAATTTAGAATCATGTCGCTGCATCGAGCCAGTCGAGGAGCACTACTGACTGAAGAAGGCAAAATGGGCAATTCGCACAATATCATCGATCGACATAACCCAGCTGCCTCTGAGAGCCCTGCACTTTCACGATCAAGATCAAGATCGCCGCTCTTGCTGTTCACAGCAGAAGCTTCACTGCCGAAACTATTTTGTGACGATGCTTCAAGCTTCTTAAATCTTTGCATGGACAGTGTGCCTTTGCGATGTGAGCATCGCTTGCGATGGTAAAGCCGGAGAGAGAGCCAAAGAGTGAGAGAAGTTCAGCCCGATGGAGTGTGGCCGCTGAACATGCCAGAAGAGATGCTGACTCACTATGTGAAATAGGGTTCCACGTATCTTGGAGCGCTGTACACATCGTGCGAAGTCCAACCATACTCCGACAGGGAAACCAATCCCCCCCATTCAGCAATGGGGTACACGCTCTGAGCCTGTCGAAGAGCGCGTTGCCTGCACATCGGCGGAGCTGACGTTGCCGATGGTAGAACTGATCCCTCCCTTTCCTGCGATCCGAGGGGCTCACCTTCCCTAGCGGTGCACTCCGAGGTGCAGTGAATACCACCTTGGTACATTGCCGCTTGTACGCAAGGCGACGCCAAGGTGCCACTGAAATCTCGTGTTAAGAATATCTCGAATCGGTGTACGCTCCGAGTATACGTTCTGCATGGTTTGGCGATGCGCAGACTTTGCGCAGAATCTCGAACCCCGCCTGCTGCAGGGATGGCGCGTCATATCGGCCTTCATACGCTTCCTCCTGGCGCTTTCGCCAGAGGACCGGGGCACACCATGTTGCATATCACATGGCCATGTATCAAGGTGGCGTACCATTCAACGAATCCCGACTTTCGGGTTCACATTGCCCATGCTATCCATTCATGAGTGTTGTGCATTCAGATCGGCTAACGAATATGTAGCTGCAGCTGTTGCCCATATGTGCGCTTATTCTTCCTCAGACAAGTCTGAACTCTCTTCATCAGCGTCTTCTTCATTCTGCTTGATGCTCTTTACGTTACCCTTCCCCTTGGTCTTGGCTTTGGCGTTGACGACTGCCCTCGCCTTCACGCCAGCAGCATTCGATTTCTTACCTCCCTTGCTGTCTTTCTTCTGCTCCCAAGCTCGTTTCACATCCTGCACCTCTTTCACTAGGGACCTCACCTTGTCCCATTCGGTCGCAGTCTCGTCCTCGGGTAGCCCTTCAAGCAAGTAAAGCATACGGATCTCCCGCGCCCAGACGCCGTGCATCGTCTCTTCGTCGCAGTCCTTTCCTGCGGGCGTCTCGAGCACGCAGGGTATTCCTGCCAGCCGATCGTCGTTCATGATGCGCCAGAAAGCCTTGAGGCCTATGCAGCCAGCGCCAATGTTCTCATGTCGGTCTTTGCGGCTGCCCAGCTCGACTTTTGAGTCGTTCAGATGCATGCCAAGTACATTCGAAAAGCCGATTGTCGCGTCCAACTCGCTCATCGTTGCTGCGTACGCTTCGGCCGAGCGCAGGTCATAACCAGCTGCAAAAGCATGCGCCGTGTCGATGCAGACACCGACGCGCAACTTGTCGTGCACCAGGTCCATGATAGCTTTTAGCTCCGAAAAGGACCCGCCGATGATGTTGCCCGCGCCAGCCATATTCTCCAGGACAATCACAACACTTGGAATGCGTTGATGCACGGCGTTGATACACGCTGCCACGGACGCGATACCTTCGTTTTTGGTGCAGTCGCCACAGGTACTCTGCAGGCATGCAAGCGAACAAAATCGGGTCAGCGGCATATTGTTTCTTGGAGAACATGCACAAACGCACACCGGGGTGGAAATTGTACAGCTTGATCCCAAGCTGGTGACATCGGCTGACATCGTCGACGAACGCTTCCATGGCTTTATCCTGCTTGGCCTTATCGGGATTCCCAAGGTTAATGAGATAACATCCGTGCGGCATGACATTTGCCCCCTTTTTGGCCACGCTTACGGCGCCGTCTTGTCGATCCTGCCAATTAAAGCGGTGCTCGCCAGCAATGGTGCCAAATTCTCGAACATTAGCTTCATCCATCGGCTTGGCAGCCCACTGCATTTTAGGCCGGACGAACATCGAGACGGCGTTGGCGCCAATCTTAAGTGCGTTGAGCAGAGCGTTCTGCGGCCCTCCAGCCGAGGAAACATGGGCACCTATCCAATGCTTCGACGTCGTATTTCGAGCGAACAGAGGGACAATAGAATTCGGCGTTGGTATCTCCTTCTTGCTCCTCTTTTTTTGCCCGTGCACTTGTTCATGGATTGTTGCACGGGAGAAAGACGCAGCCTTTGCTTCAGGCGTGTCTCCGGCTGGCACTCCTTCTTCGTCTTTCCCCTCAAACTTGACCGCGATCTTACGGCCACGTTCTGTCAAAGTTTGCTGCTCTCCCGCTGCTTCAATTTTCACGGTTGTGTTTCCCGGGCCAATCTCTGCCTTTCGCTTCCGGCCTCGCTCTGCGGGTTTGAATTCCTCTACAACGGATGATGTAACACAGTCCTCCAACTTGCTTGTGGGATCTTGAGGCTCTTCCGTTTTAGCCTTGCCTTTGCCTTTTCCTCCTCGTGTGGTACCATTGGCCGCGGTAATTGATGACGGTAGCAAAGCCGGCTTGTTCCCTTCCACGGTGCTGGATCTCGATACGGTCGTCACAACCTCGGTGGGTGTGGCGATGCTTGCGTGAGTCACACTGCGGCGGGAGCTGCGCCGCGGGGTCGGCGCGGACATGGCTACAAATGACCCAATCCAAGAAAAAAGGGTAGAGCCGACTGACCGACGCGCGTTTTCTCAAGGGTTGACCAGGAGTAGCGGTGTCGCGTCACCAGTGGCGGCGGATGACGCTGGCAAGAAAGCTCGCCAGTTGCACAAACGAAATCTGCGCGCCCTAAAACAAAATCTGGTTTGAGTAAGAATAAATCTTGTCATCCATCCCCAACGTTTCGCACTATGATGTGCGAGCCTAGCAACAGAGGTAAAAAAGTACAGGGCCGTTCATCGTACCATTAAAATACGCTGAGGCGCCAACAATTAACAACGCATGAAAAAATCGATTAATGGCGAAGTCAAGTCGACAGCGCGAGTCTGGTCAGGATGAGAAATGAGCCAGCTTTTGTTGTGTCTGGAAGTTAGGGTTAGTAGCTAGGACGCGTCGCGCCCATCGAAGCTTTGCTCATCGCGTCTGTGGCTCGACGTAACCAGTGAGTAACACCATGGCATTCAGACACTCCTGTAGCTCTTCAGCTTTGGCCACCCCCCCTTTCAACTGCCATCCACTTCGCCTCGCCCGTCGCTGCCGCGTCGATACAGCGTCCCTTGTCACAGCACTAACACCAGCGCCAGCACCAGCACTGCTCGGCGCAAGCTGCAGCTACTGCAGTGGGCTCTCTCCCGCTGGCGCCCATGACCGACCCAGCGATGGGGGCGCGCAGTGCCGGCGTCCTCGACGATTCCGGCAACATGAACGAATTCGACTCGTCTGGGCCCGTCGCGACAGATCTGCTCTACCGTTGGGACCACGATGGACAGGCAAAGGCTCAGCATCAACAGGAAGATTCGGAACAGGATGAATTGCAAAGCCAGTCTCAAAGTGAGACCCGGGCAAGGGCATCAGGAACGACTGGGATTGGTGGTCATGAGCAGAGCCCCAGCGCTAATGCATCTGAGGCGGAGCAAGTGCCCACCTTGCAGACTGATCATATCGGTGACGAACACTCTTCGGACGATGGCCAAGACGCAGGATTGAATCGGCGGCGTGTAGCAGATCGAACGGTGGATACAAGTGCTGCCCGAACCAACGGCTCAACAGCAGCGTCGATGTCGAATGGGCATACACATCTGCACAGAAACGAGACTGTGAAGTCAAACACCGGTACAATCCCCAACACAGAACACAATGGATTGGTAGTGCTTTCAGGACGCGCTGCTACGCTTGCTCATCTCAAGGACACGAGTTACGCTGTGAAAGCTGATGGCGGAGTAGCTACAGCGTGAGTGTATGCGCCTCGAAGTGCCTATTCAAAGCAGTTGGCCAATGATTAAAGGCTTGCTAATGTCCATTTCTGTTTCCTCGCTGTAGCCGCCTGTCTTACACCAAAGGCGATCGCGATTTCATCATCAACTTCCTCTGCACGACTGATTTGCCTCCAAAAGGGCGATCGATAGGCGAGGAGCTCGCCAGGCTGAACCCTCGACACAGCACGCAATCCTATATCACCTTCCTCCGCGACAACTACGATCGAGGCATGCATCTCGACCGCGTCGTTTTTGCGCGTAGGGCAGAGATGGGAGCTGCCGCGGCGCGCGAGGCGGACGCGCAGAGGCAGCGAGACGAGGCGCAAAGGCGCAGGGAGGACAGCGTCGCGGCTGATATTGCCGATATGAGAGAGCATGCGATCGACGAGGACCGCTTGCTGCCGCTCGCCGAACCTGAAATTGAAGAGGAACTTACTTATGACAGAAACAGAAGCACGGCGAGAGGACTCAGCAACCTCACGAGGGCCGCAGTGCGAAGCCGTGACGACAGCACCGGAGACGGAAGCGATGTCGAAGCCTTGAATCAAGCCGAGCACCGCAGATCGCAGCGCGTGGCGCATCCGCAAGTACCCGATTATCACATGTCGCGACATGCCGGCTCGATGGGCCAAGGGAACGAGGAATGGGAAGTTACTGGCGAAGAGGAAGAAGAGAAATCGGGACATCAAACTAAAGATGGAATCGAAGTCGAGCCTGGGCCTGGAGAGGGCAAGGGTCTGCCTAGGCAACTTGCGGATCGCACATGGAGCGGGCACAGGCTACGCATCACGCGCCAAGGCAAGGCCGAAGCACTCGCTTCGAGCAGTCAAGGCAGAGCCGAAGCCAGCAAACCAATACGACGCTCAGCCACTGGTTTAACGGCACAGGTGCAAGCTCGGGACCTTGCACCACACAAGTCTACGCGGACCGCACGTGCTGCGCGAACCGCGTCTGACGCCGGACCTCATTCAGCTCGCGGACAAGATCGGACGCAGAAGCCAGGGAAAAATCGATCAACCGCAGGTGCGAGCCGTACGCGCTCTGGTGGCAGCACGCGCTCGTTTGCACCTGCCGCTGAAGAGTTCAGGGCAGACGCGGGTATTGGCATTTCGCAAAGCGAGACTCTGGCCGTGGATGTACATGACTTTTTCGTCGGAGACCAGGATGAAGACGCTGAGATTGATATCAACATGGTCGCGGGTGTTGAAAGTGGAAACCGACTCGGTGCGCTGGAGGGGGCGCCTGCGCGACAAGCTGGGCGCATAGACTCGCTGTCAGCGGCGGAGGAAGCTGCAGATATCCTCATTCTAGCGTCTGCTCCTGAGAGTGCACCTCTTGCGGAACTGGATTTGTCCACACCGCAACCTGACGCAGAGGAAGTATTCCAAAAAGCGGCGAAAAGCAGTCCCAAGGTCCAGGGAAAACTGTTGCGTTCGAGACGGAAGCATGCCACTACTGCTGGAAGCAACGTGAAGGCGACATTCACAAATGCGAACCGCGAATGGTTTCTTGTGCCACTTCAGTCACTGCTCGAGAATACTATCAGCGAACTCGGAGAAAATGTTGTTTTGGACGCAAGCTTCGTTTTGCAACCTCCGGACACATTTTTCAAGACCATTGCCGAACAGGTGAGTGCAATCCCCTCGCTTCGGCCTGCAACTTTCAGAGTTCTGTCTAGAGAGTGATTTTTTCTCTTTCTGTAGGATCCCGCACATCATTCTGCAGCAGCATGGAAGCACGAATTTTGGCGCCACGCACTTCAGTACACCATTTCAGCAAAAGTGCAGCTCAACCTGGACGAGTCTGTTAGGCCTACGCAAGTGGTCAAACCCCTGAGCGTCAGGGTCCTCAAAGAGAAGGAGAAGGAGCACCTGGAAGGCCAAATACACGAGCGCAACATCGGGGACGAGGGCGATCAAGACGAGGACGAAGACGAGGAAGGTTTGCAGATCCGCAACCCGGTTGCTAATACCAGAGGAAAGGGAACGTCCTTCAGGCATGTTTTGGAAGCTCAAGAAATATTCATCAAGGAATCGCAGCCGTCAATGCCTTTGCCTACGCTTGTCGAAAAGCAGCCCAGACGCGGTATTCACTCGGTCTCGATGGCCGGGCCCTTGAAGCGCGAGCCAGGGTTACCGGAACCCGATTTTGTTGACCAAAGGCAAGTGTCATTACACAAGCTTGGAAAAAAGAGGGCAATGAACTCCCCACCCTCGCACTCTCAGGATGCGCTACACCAAGAAGTATTGCAGGACCAGGTGCCACACCAGTTTGATACGTTGGTCGACGATGTATCGTCTTCTGCACCAAAAAAACAGCGTCGTTCCTTCCCAGGCGTTCCATCCATCGCCAGGCACTCATCGGCTCGCTATATCGACTTTAGCCAAGATGCCAGTGCTGGGCCACCTTTCGGCCATGAGCAGGATGTAGCCTTTGAAATGCGCCCACCGCGACGAACGATTGCGACCACGACTCCGTCGAGCCTGCCGATCGCAGGGGAACTATCCCGGGCACAGCGTTCTGTGTCGGTCTCGTCGCGTATACGCCCACGCACCTCGCTGCCGCGAACGAAAGAGCAGATACGAGAAGATTTCCGACGAGCGCTCAGAGACTTTAGAAACGATTACGGCATTTCGAAAGGCAATATGGCTTTCTGGCTTGGAGAGAAGGTTAACGTCTACAGCGCGAGAATGAGGATTGATGCAGAGCTAAATCGCTTGTGCATGGAGACCGGCCGGAGTCGCACACAGCTTGTCGCGCTCCTCAAGCTCGTCGAAGGTGACTGGGACAAGTTTCAGGAAGTGGTTAATGTAACCATGTTCGACGATTGACCGCATTCAGGATCGCGTCGACCGTGTCCATGTACTACATCTGCATTCGCACATCATACATGTTGCAACAACTGCAGCACTACTGCCGCTTCTTGTGTTTCAAGTCGATGGTCCAGCGTCATAACGGCAGTCCCGCTTCCTTTTGCGAAGTAGTTTGCGAGCAGGAGCCTGGCGGCAAGTTGCGGCGTCCAGCCTTCGATGCCCTTCTCTGCATTACGCCGCGTAACACTAAATATCCCCAGCCAAGCTCCTTCTGTCTTATCTCGGAGGTCATCGAGATAAGCATGATCGCCTGCACTAATTCTGGCTCGCCAATCAGTACCATGCTGCGCTACCAATGATACCAGGTGTGCTTTGTCTAGCTTAACTGTGCGCCACACAAGCTGAAGTGCAGTGAATGCCCGAGGGTTCGGCGCCAACGCTTGCCCGAGGGGGGTCACACTGATGCCCCCCGCTTCAGCAACCTTTGCAAGGCCTTGCTCCGACAAGCTCCGAAGGCTGGAGTCGCAAAGCTCGCTGATAAATGGTGCTGGTCGTTCAGCATCGTCGTGAGTAGCGCCGTAAAAGGAAGGGTTGTCATTAAAGCGACGGAAGGCAAAGGTCCAACTAAGGAGATCCAAAACGTCTTGAAGTGACTCGAGGTATCCAGTGATGATAATCCTGAGTATGGTCGTCCGTAATGTCTCGTCCTCCTCGTCAAAAAGAGGGGATTCGAGCGGGAGACCCGACCGCAGAGTCTTCTTGTAGAAGTCTTCTTGTGTGGTCTGAGTCAAAATGAGAGCCGAAGAAGATGCGTTGCTATCCCTGGCGGCTGCATGAGCGGCGAAGCTGTGCATTCGAACGAGCGTCTCGGCCGAATAATCAACAATCTGGCGTTGCGGCACATACTCTTTCGAGAAAGGGTTGCCAGATTGCTGCAACACGACATATTGCGTTGACATCACGACGGAGAGATCAGCTTTGACCTCGAGCGTCCAGCTTGCACTCTTTGACGCGATCAACGCCTTTAAGATGCGACGCTCAAAAAGCGAGAGCACCAACCTCTTGTCCTTTTGGTGCATCCCCTCCTCATAAATGCCGATGCCGTGGACAAGGATCTGGTTGAGATCCACTTGATGCAGGCCTAGCGACATGGCTTCAAGCTCTTTGCTTGGGATGCCCAACCAAGGCTGCGCATCAAGGTCAGATGCGGACGCTGTGGCTAGGTCCTCTGCTGTGTGATAGCACTGGGCCCGCGAAGGGACAAATATGATGGCAGATCCCCGGCACGCACTGATTGCATCATAGGCGGGCTTGATCATGGCCTTCATGAGACCCTGTGAGTGTGGGACGTCGAAAGAGACAATGGACTCTGTCAGGCTGACCGGCCGATCGGTCGGGCGGAATGAGAAGGTCGAGTGTTCTGCAGCTCCAAGCCACGAGGCCAGCGTGCTAGAGTCTTGCAAGCTTGCGGAACATCCAAGGAAGCGACAAAGTGGCATGGCGCGTAGAGAAAGGCTAAGAGCCAGATCGTATGAGGCATCGAGGAGATGGAGATCATCGGCCAAACATAATCGAAAGTTCTGCATCCAGCTCCTATCGACGAGCGCCGCTTCGAGCAAGACACGAGAGGTGACAAAAACGATGCTCGCTTGGCTTCTGATCAACAGATCCGGCTTCGCAACGACGGCGATGTCGCCTTCCCGTACGCTCGGAAAGAGGTTGCGGAAGCGGCGATAGTCTGCTAGAAGCAGACCAGGCTGCGCACCTACGACGAGGGCTCGGGCAGATGGATCCTTTCTGAGATTCTCGACGACGGCAAGATGCCCCAACGTTGAGGATCCGGATCCCGCCGGAGCACAAAGAAGGTTATTGCCGCTTGTGTGCAGAAAGCTGTGCAACGATTGGGTTTGAATTGGCGTCAGGCCAAGCATGACCTGCTTGAGACCCTCTGTCAGAACCGAATCGCTAGCGACGTCGCATGCGGCAATGAGCGGCAAATCTAGCAGCTTTCCGTGAACAGCTTGGACCGATGGCATCTGCAAGCTTTGCAAATTGACATCGTGGCTGGCTTCAGCTCCAAGCCAGCGATCCGACATCCAGCGCACAGTGAGCGAGTCGAACGTCGCCGGCGGCATCGTGAGAAGGAAGCGAAGCGGTGTCTTGAACGAGCCTTTGCGAACGTGCACTAGAGCCCACTGGAGAATATGAGTAGAATCTGGCGCCTCGATCCAGATGTAGAACGGTTCCGATCCGCCATGCGCTTTGTCTGACCACTCAAAGTCCGCGGTGACCTGCAATTGAACTTCGAGCACGTCGTACATGATCGGCCGGAAGCTGCTCTGAATTTTGAGTTGAGGAAACTCCTTTGCAGCTTGCTTGACGAAGCCTCCGAGACGCTCGTTGAGATGGATGAGCTTGCCCAGATCTGCAGCATGCATAGCGGCAAGCTCTGCGATTTCAATGTCATCTGCCCAGCGTGTGAGGTTGAAGAGTGTGTCCGCCGATAGATTGCCTTGACTGAGGGGGTGGTCAAAAGGCCACAAGCGTTTCTCGACCGCTTTACTCATCGATATAAGAGAATGCGCCGTCGGTGCCCATTTGTTCGCTAGCGCAATCTCTATCATCGCACGCAGGATTCTTGCCGCATTCTGGGCCACATATGCTGTTTCAGATACGAGCGCAAAGTCCTCCACATAGAATTTGGAGATATAAGCTTGAAGAAGGATGTTGACCTTGCCAGGAGCGGTTTCGATTCCTCCAGGCACCTCGCAGGGTGCATTCTCCAGCATCTTCTTGAGCTCCTTCTCCTCATTGTCTCTTGGAATGATCTGTTCGAAATCGGACGCCAAGCTGAGGACGCTAAGGACATCAGCTTCACTCATGCTAGGTCGCAGCTTCGAATTGAATGTTTCAATCGTCTTCCAGCCGATATAGTAGCGCGCAGCGATACGGCCGAGGGGTGTGATTTTGATGGCCCCGCTGGTTGCATCAAAGGTGACCATCTTGTTTTCCGCAAGCTGCTTGGCTGCTGATGTGATCAGCTGCTGTCGCTTAGCGCCGAGGTGCGGGTCGTCGGATACTTCCTGATGTTCCATCCCATAGATGAGGGGCTGTTTGCGCATGCGCGTGTGCAAATATGTGTATCCGAGCCAAGAAACGCCATCGACGACGCTAGCGACTGTGCCGAGCGCGACTTCTGCGTTGAGACTGTCAGCAAGTCCTTTGATGAAGCTTGACTCGATTGGATGCTGGGACGTGATTGAGTCGACATAATGTGATAGCTTCTCCAGAGGCGTGCAAATGTAGCCGACACCTAGGTCTTCATACTGAGGTCGACCGGCACGACCAAAGATCTGTAGAACATCGAGGATGGAAAGGTCGACAAACTTTCCAGCACTAGAGTCGTAGACATCTGTTCCCTTGATGACAACGGCATAAGCTGGCAAATTGACGCCCCAAGCAAGTGTTGCAGTGCAACAGAGGACCTTGGTGATGCCAGCCTCAAACATTCTCTCGGACAGATTTCGATCAGAGCGCAGCATTCCGGCGTGATGAATACCAAAGCCAGAGTCAAATAGCTCCCTCATCTCTCGATTTCGACTGGTTGAGAGCTCGCTCTTGAAGAATTGGAATCTCGGGTGCTCGTCCCGGCCGTCTGTGAGTAGGTCCAGTAGGCCCTCTGCGCTGCACATTTCCTTGAGTGACATAGCTGATTTCACCGTCTCTTTGCGTGCGTGAACGAAGACCATCACTTGGTGTCCCTCATGAAGAAGTGCGGAGACCTTTTCAAACGTCACCTTGTCCAGATTACTGCGAGAGGTTGGAGAGCCAGCCTTGCCTTTGACACCAACGAAATGTTGTTCTAGAGGCACGGGACGGAAGCTAGAGTCGAAGTAGAAGAGCCCCTTGTAGCGATTGACGCGCAGGAAATCGGCGACATCGACATAGTTCGGCAAAGTCGCAGAGAGACCGACAATGCGAATCAAGTTCTGACTGGATTCGACAAGGCGCAGCGTACGAGCTACGATGGTCTCGATGACCGCCCCGCGGTCTTCGTGTAGCAGATGGACTTCATCGATGATGAGCAGCTTGAGCCTGGCTGCGATCTCGCCCTCGCCAGCAGGTCTGCGCGTAACGACATCCCACTTCTCGGGAGTTGTGACAATCATCTGCGTCTCGGCGATCTCACGCCGCGTGAGCTGCATATCTCCAGTAAGCTCTCGAACAACAACGCCAAGATAGGATAAGCGTTTGCTGAACTTGCGAACGATCTCAGATGCTAGAGCTTTCATCGGGGCGACATAGACGATCTTAAAATCGTCTTTGGCAATGCGAAAACCACCTCCGCTGCTGCCGCTCAGCTCGGAACTGGCCGCATATTGACTGATACAGCGCAGCACTGCGAGCATCGCGACGTCCGTCTTTCCTGCCCCCGTCGGCGCGCATACGAGAAGATTCTCGTTGCTGCCGTAGCCGAGTGGGTATACGACGCTTTGCAAGCGGTTCAAGCTCTTGTAGCCCGGGAAAGCGCCGCGACAAAGAGGGTCCATTTCTGGGATGGGCACCAGGCGTTCATTGATGCGCATCGGCACTGTCTTTGGTGGAGGAATGGTAATCTCTTCATAGTAGGTATGCTCTTCGCGAGTCGTGCCCATTGGTAGGCTGAATTTTGAGCCAAATACGGACAGTGTTGAGCCGCTTATTCCGGAAGAGAAAACATGGGGGTACTGCGGTCCGTCCGTTGAACGCCCATTCCCCGAAAAGAGTGGCTGTGGCTCTTTTGCGGCACGCTGCAGGTCCTCCTCTCTGAGACGCAGCATTTCCTCCGTAGAAAGCTCATCTGCATTGTGACTGCTGACAAAGTCACGGGCACGAGCATGTTGCTCTCGTCGCACCGCATTGCGCGATGCTTTTGCCTGTTGAATTTCCTCGCGGCTACGGATGGTGACTTGAGACCCAGGAGTATACGGCTTATGCGGGAACGCGCGTTTTGCACTGGAAGCTTGCTGAGGTACGGCCAGAGGGGTATAACTGCTTCGATTCATTGAAGGCTATTAAGGCGCGAAGCAACCCCTTAGCTCTCCGTCAAAAAAAAACATTTTCCTGCAGGAAGCTCACCTGCGCGCTGAAAGAACTGACAACTTCTTTTGGATTTTCCAGGAGACGGGTGACGAGCTCTACATGCTCATATCCCAGTAGCTCCGCCAATTCGCCGGCTGCAGATTCTCGAGCAGAAGTAGACGCTGTAGCTTTTTCAAGAACACCACATACTGAACTTAAGATTGTCTCGCGTGTTGTTTCTTCGGGGTATGTTGCGGTCAAATGCAAAGAAAGCGCATCAGCAGCACTCACTGACGACTCTTCATGGACGGGGAATTCTTCCAGAGCCACTGCAGCGTCAAGGAGGTCCAGCCAGAGAGATCTCGGGATCGAAGAGCCTTCGAAACCATCGTCTTGGTTTTCTGACCCGTTGTTTTGGCTAGTGAGAGCCATGTAGTCATCCACGTTCGCGGGCGCCGAGGCGATGAGGCCCTCGAGCCAGGCAACTTCTATTTGGCACAGCATGACGATCCCTGAACCTGGCAAGGATTATGCCGGTACGCTCGCAATGCATTGGATGCCCTATATCCTACCCCTTGCTGGGTAAGTTGAAGCGAGCTGCGACACTCAAAGAAAAGGTGGCGAGCTGAAATCAGACGAATGGATACCGTTCCGATATAACTTCGCTTGATGTGGTGAGACTTCAGAATAACTGTGATGAGATTTGAAATGACTTTTGAGTACTTGTTTCGGAGATTTGGAGCTCAGTCCCTACATTTCCGAAAGGTTTTCCACGATTGCTCCTGCTTACCCATCAAAGGCTCCATTATCAGAAAGATTCGGCATGGAATCCATTCTAAATGCATGATATTGTAACGTAATGTCGAAGATCAACCGCAAGTTATAATAACAGAAACGAACTCAGCGTGACTGTCCACTGTACAGTCAACGTGAGTCACACATCTAGGATTGCGTCCCGCCTAGAATGGCCAAGGCCATCCATTCAACTGACTTCTAAGGTCCCGACACTTCACACGGCCACTCAACGGTCGTGCAGGTATACTATATGCTACAATGGTCTGCGCTGTTGTGCAAAACCTTCACTTAAGAATCACTTTGATTGCACCATAGTCACTGGGATCTCTTAAGCGGGAGCTTGTTCGCTTATCTTGCTGATCTTGTGCATCGACCCAGGTTGACGCAACACCATGCACTCCTTTGCTCTCCCGTTCCCGCGATCCCGTTTCCACACGAGAGCGCATTTCTCTCGAGCTCGTCCTGCGAAAGGACGCATATTGAATTGACCCTTGGCCTGGCCTGATAATTCCGGACATCATCGGCGTCTCATCATCCCAGCGATCATCCCCTGCGCATTGCCCAGCCGCGAACGGCATAGCCTGTGGTCTCGAAGCACCACCAAGTCGCTGCAGCCACGTGTCTAGGTCGGCCCAGCCCACACCGAAGCGGACACAGATGTTGTCTTCGTGGTGCAAGCCATCCAGCAATGCTAAGAGTTCGTCAGGTAGCGGAAGTTGATGCTGAGCTCGGTACTCTTCTGATAGCCGTGTGAAGCCGCTAGCACATCCAGCGCCTGCACCACTAGCACCTCCGACACTGGCGCGGTATGTGCTACTCTGCCCAATGCCCAAGCTGGCTGTACTAGGTTGCTTACGGAGAGTAGCCCGAGAAAAGCCAGAGCTTTCCGTCAAATTCCAGGCGCTGTTACGCTGGAAATTTGAAGACGCACGGTCAAGCCACGGACTATCTTCAACCCTGTCCTCTTCTTCCCCTCGCGTGGCGCCCAAAGCTACGGCCGCGACGTCCAGGACGGTCGCAGTTGTATTTCGTTTCATAGGCCGGCGGTGGCGCCCATGAGGAGCGCGGTAGCGCCCGTGGTGCCGTCTGACCGGCGAAGATCCGCAAGGGGCAGACAGAGGAACTTTAGAGTCGCCTCCTCTTTCTCTTGACATACTTGCACATCTTGTTGGTCGTTCGCCGGAATCTTCCTCATGGCGGACCCCAACCCCTTTGCTAAGGGCACCGTTCGCCGAGTCTTCTTGCCGTGGAATCCATGTACCATGTTCGGATGCTGCATGTCTCACATCTTGCCGCACGCTTGTGTTATTGTCTTGAGGGGCGAATGGCGGCTCGAGGAAGATTGGCCAACGGTGCACCCGACGCAAAAATCCCTTGATGACACCAAAGGTGACCAGGCGGCGCGGGTCGATGCCCAGCGAGTCGACATCCTGCTCCTCGATCCAGTCGCTCACTGTCTTGCCTGGGCGGAAGGTGGAATAGAGCTGCAACAAGGTCGGATAGTGTGGCATCTGAAAACCTGGGCGTGTAACATAGGCTGCACACTCGCGACTGATGCCTTCTCCGTCCGCGATTCGAGCAATGACAGGTCGAACTGTGTACATGTTCGAGAATTGAAAAAGGTCAATCATGATAATGCATCCGTAGTAGCTGCAAAGACAGAAAGGTCTAAGCACATGTGTACGTCACGAATATACGGCAAAGGAATAGCTCACAGAAGATGTTCCATGCATTGGCGAGTGAGCCCGATGTCCGCATCCGCTAGCTGGGCAATCCTTTTGACATGATTGATGCCATCAACGAAAGGAACAATCTGTTGGAAGTCCCAAGTCAGCATTGGTTCTTGGTGGCTGCAGCACATCCACGTGAGCTGCTCTAACCTCACTTTTGCCATGGTCAAATCCCAAGCATTGTCAATCCGACTCTCGAGATCTAACAATCCAACTGGTACATCCCAATCCTTTGCTGTGGGAGGATTAGGATAAGTGGGAAATAGTTTGAGATTAATCGCGTCTCGCACTGTTCGCCCTAGACCATGAGGAGGCTCTCTTTTGCCAGGGAGAGAAATACCATCCGCTGCGCCTGCCGAAACGTCCGCGCCTGCCGCGTTCGCAGTCGCCATGTTCCGAAGCGTCATGATGCTGTCGTACAGGGCATCATTCTCCCCCGACTCTCCACCCATCGTGTCAATCGACCCGTGCTTGCTGGCGTTGGTCGCGCAGCCACTGCGGCGCATATGAGCAGCGCTGGGAGAGTCATTTCCGGCCTCTGATATAGGAGAAGAGGATGTTGCGGACGCAGCTTCGGTCGCTTCGAGAAGGCTCGCAGCAGATGCGCTGAGGTTCCTTTTGGGATTTCCAGCCAATGTGCTATCACCGCTGAGTTTTGTTGCACCTACAGCGCCACCCAAGGAGGAACTTGAATGTTCCAAGGATGACTTTCGCACCGCCATGGTCGTATCAGATACTGCCTTCACGGTAGCATCACGCGAGATTGCTGGCCGACTGTCTTTCTTACTCCCAGAAGCCAAACCACCATCACCGAGCTGCTGGCCATCTACAGGTGCGGTGGGTGAGATGGCGGCGTCGTCAAGGTAGCTTTCACGCTGGTTCGACCGAGGTGCCGGCTCCAAAATTGGTGTGAGAGCCATTGCTGGAATTGAAAATGGGATGACAGCACTTCCTGCGTTGCTGCTAGAACCGTAGCCGGTAATGCTTGCCAATGACCCCGCGCGAGATCGGCTCGTGTCGCTATTTGCCCCGCTCATGGCATTACGCTCGCTACTCCGTGATGAAAGCGGGTCTTGTTGGTCAGATCCAAAATCTGAGGAGCCTTTGCGAGACGTTGAATTAGTCTTTAGAGCAGCTGAATTGGAACCGCTGCGGATGAGACTGGCAATGCTTGCACTTAAGCCTCGTTGGTCGACAGGACTGAAGGTACCACTTGTGCCTCCTTCGTCCATTGAGCCTCCACGCGACCCATGAAGACTGGCTTGCTGTGGTACAGAGCCAGTGCGTCCCATGTCCGGAGCAGCTCGGACTCCCGACGGGTCTCTCTTTCCGTAGAGCGTGTGAGGTAGGACGGGTAGGGTAACGAATGACTCGCAATATGAATTGAGATCTTGGAATAATTGCTCGGTGATCCCGTACATACGCTGGAGGGACTTTGGATCTGACAAGAACGACGAATTCAACTGTATGAACAGAAAAATGTTAGTATCAAAGAATAAAAATTGCTCCAGAGCTATCGGCGCACCTCCAAGTCACGCAAGACACGTGCGCATTTGCGGACGATAGGCTCATAAGCGCGAACGTCCGCATTGCTATCGAAGACAAAGCAAAGATTATAGACGAGCATATTTCTGGCGTACTTGGACGATTTGATCACCATGGGGTGACCTAAAATCTTATAGCCCTGCGATGGTGCCTTCGGCAGTTGCCCTTCAGGCGACCAGTCACGCTCAGCATCATCTCTCGGTAGGCCGCAGGTAGTGCAAGTCACGAGGCGACCGCACAGCGGCGCCTTCGGAATGAGATAGTCGGACAAAGCGCTGAAGTTGAAGAGCGGTTTAGATTTTTCTTGAGGCTTCGGCTGCTGGTCAGCCTTGAAAGGGGGTCGGGAGGATGATCTGGATCGAACATCGCGTGATGTAGATCGAGCGCTTCTCTGTTCAGGTCGAGAAGGAGATCGTTTTCTACCTCTTGAAGGTGAGTGGAGTCGTGCTGTTATCAAGATCTGCTCAAAAGATTGCTTTCTTGAATTTCGAACCGTGATTATGCTGTCCAAAGCTGCTGTACTCGCATCTTGAAGCTGACTTTCGTTCGGAAAGGAGAGGACACGACTTGGGGGAAGGGTATGGTTCAACGGCCCAAGCTCATCATCTCCAGCGGCGACAGAGTCTCCGTTCTCTTCTTCCTCCGTGATGCTTCCCTCTGGCACTTGATACAACACTTTGGGACCGTCGGTCGGGTGGAAGATCGCAAAGAAGACGGAGACCAGGCGGGGGAGGAAGTGACCTTCGGCTAGTGGGAGTGTGGTCGCCATCGGCGCCGACAGTGCTTTAGCATCGACTTCGTCGCCTTCGGGGGAGCTCTTACTAGTTATCAATGGGCATGCACATGCGCGAGCTGCGCGCCTGTGATGATCAGCTTTCTGGTCCTTGATGGTATGCGATACGAGGTTCGAGGAGATGCTTCCACGCAGAGGTCGGGGGAAGCTCACATCAAGTGCATCTCAAGCGGAACTCTCGGATAGTCCGATTCTCCATCTCTCTGGACCGCACGCAATGTTTGATCACTCTTCTCATGCTTTATCATACCAATCTCAACAGCGATAGTGCATATCTTTGACCCTCGTGCCAAGGGCGGCGCAGGTCCAGATTGCTGACAAATAAGGGTTGTCCCTGCATCTAGACTGCACGGAATTAGCACACGGCCGTGCGACTGAAGATTACAGGCTCTGGCGTAGGAAGTTGCCGCGATGCCTGCGAGACAGGCTTGCGAAGGGGCTCCAAAAGTGTGGCTGCGACCGGGACGACGGCGGACGGGAGGGTGGCCAGGTGCTCTCGTGGTCCTTCTGGTCGCCTTCCTCGCCCTCACGCTTGTCGATCTGCCGTACCTCGCAGGCGCATCTGGTGCCTCTATAGGATCACAACGCGAGGTATCTCCGCGCGCACGAATCTCTATAAGAGACTTTGAGAAGCTGTCCGATGAAGCACTTCGGAATATAGCACACCTTTCGGACCCATCACCGGTGCTCGATCACCGATTATCGTCCTCGCTCTTGTCTGCGATACTTATTCCACGCCCTCCAGATACGCCGAATAGTAAGAAGGTTCGCGACTTACTCACGGAAGTGTTCAAAAATCAGCTCGGGAAAGATGAGCGAAAGGGCCGAACAGGGTGGCAGATCGAGACACCAGAATTCATTGCAGCTACTCCACAAGGGAAACGCAAGATGACCAACATCATCCTTACCAAAAATCCTGCAGCCCCGCGCAAGCTGGTCTTAGCGGCGCACTACGATTCCAAATGGTTTCCTTCCAATTCGGCCATGTCCGAGTTCATCGGTGCCACGGACAGTGCCGCACCATGTGCCATCCTTGTGGACACTGCACTAGCACTTGACAGGCTGCTCGACGAAAGAGACCGAAAAGCACAAAGCAGTGAGCCGAGGGAAAGAATCGATGACACGACCCTGCAAATATTGTTTCTGGATGGTGAAGAGGCGTACGAAACGTGGACGCACCAAGATTCGATTTATGGAGCGAAGTGGGTAGTCTATTGCTTCCTCGCAATCGCAGCGGATCTTGGTCTGACTCAGTTATGCACGCAGAAATCTCGTTTCTCAATGGGTCAAGGAGATGTGGCAGCCGAAAGTACATCTGTCAGCGCATCAGTTGGCGTCCAGACGGTACGAGCCGTACAGCTATCCCACGCGAAAGATCGACACGATCGAGCACTTTGTGCTCCTGGACTTGCTCGGCGCGACTGAGCCTAACATACCATCCTTCTATCCTTCGACTGGCTGGCTCCATAGCGAGCTAATGGATCTCGAGAAGCGAATGAAGCGTTTGGACGCGCTTGCGCCTCCAGGGACCCCCGCGTCCAAGCAAAAAGGTCTAGGAAGCTTCTTTTCTTCGAATGAACAATACGGAGGCATCGAAGATGATCATTTGCCCTTTCTGGCCAATGGAGTCCCAATTTTGCATCTTATCCCCTATCCCTTTCCCCACGTTTGGCACCGAATATCTGTGAGCCCACGACGGAGCTTAACTCTTGCGAACATTCTCTGTTGACAATACTCACCCTGTCATTCTCAGGATAACGCAAACGCGCTCGACTACCCAACGGTGCACGCCTGGGCCATGTTGATGCGAGCGTTTGCTGCAGAGTACCTTGGTCTGGACGTCTCCGTTGCGCAGAGCGCCCGAAAGGTCTCAGACGTAATAATTGACCATGACGAGCTCGTGAGTAGGATCTCGGCATATCGCTCAACCGTTTGCTGAGGACAATCTCGGGTGCAACCCTCTTCTCGTTGGGCTTTGACAGCAGTGATCTCATGTTGCAAATGCGCGCGACTTTTCAACTTGCATACTGTATTCTAGACAAGCACGGCAACAGATCCTTTTGCAGCATTGCAGGCAAGTGCATAGGCTACATCCCTTGTTCCTTGTTCCTTGCACTCAACTTCCGTACTTGACGCCCCTGTAGTACGCAGGAGGCAGCGAGCCAGCCAGGCTGAAGTAAGGCCGTTCGATAACGACCAATTCGTGTTCATCCCCGGGCTTCGAAGCCGATATGGCGTCGACGAGCAGGTTGGACTGATACTGGAAGGTGATCTTGGTGTGATACTGCCTGCCCTTATTGCTGATCTGCTTTGGCATCGCAGTTATGTCGCCAGCATCTCCGTCATCATCTTCAGCATCGCCTCCGTCGTCCTCCAATTCGATTTCCTCGTCTTCCCCAGTTCCGTCCTCTGCATCTCCCGCATGATGTCCTCTTTTGTATCCATTCACCAGGCCAGCAACCGCCGCGCCATTCGCAGCCGGAGCTGCCGTTGTGCTGCTGCCACGCACCGTGACGAGCCAGGTTGGGCCCCAGAGCAAGAGCGGATGCGCATCGAGGGGTGCGTTCGCTGCAGCAGCGGACGATGTGGAGCTGGTTGTCGGCAGCCAGACGCCACCTACGACCGTTTCTCTGATCGTCCGAGTCTTCCGATGGATAGTTTGCTCCAAACGCGTAATCCACTCATCGTTGCCCGCGCCAGTTCCATGAGCGCTGGAAGGGCCCATGGAGCCCTTTTCGATGTTGATGATTGTTACCTTGTTCGTCGGAAGCAGCATGAGTACGTAAGACGGGTTTGTGGGATGGAAGATAATAGCAGAAGGCAAGTGTTGGGGCGAAGGAAGGGCTTTGTGATGTGAGAAGAGGTCGAGAGAGAAGATGTGCGCTCGTCGAAGACTATCCATGGTCAGCAGCCACTGTCCATCTGGCGAGATCTTGGCATGATGGATGACAGCATAGACTTGCTCCGTTGAAGGGTTCGGTGAGACTTCATCGCCGTCGTCATCGTTGCCGCTATCGTCACCGTCGTCGTCGTCGTCTCGGATATCGTGAGATAGCCGAGAGGCAGAGCCGTTGATCTGCGTCTTTGCCAGCCGGCCTGCAAGCTGCCGCCCCGAAGGCGTCGGCGCCCCTTTGCGACGATGCGCATCGAGAGAAGCTGCGATTCTGCATTCCGCAGTGACAGGTGTCAGGAACAGGTCGATGACATAGACCATCGCAGAAGCGTAGGAACACAACACTAAGCGCTGCCCATCCGGTGTGAACGTCAATGCCGATGCACCAGGCGCGCCGCCCGTGCCTGCGCTACTGCTACTTTTGCGCACGTGTGCAAACGCCTTTCCAAAGGATCCAAGACGGCTCGGCTCGATGGAGTCTGCTGACATGCTACCGCTGCCCCTGCGCCGCATTCGTAGGCGGAAGAGCTTAGTCTCATACAGATCCGAGACGGCAAGCAGGTCGCCAGATGGCGAAATGGCGGCACAGATGATAAGGGTGCGGAACTTGAACTGCAGCTCGATGAGCTTGCGCCACTGTTGGTCGACATCATAGACTCCGCCGGCGGCAGGAGGCAGACCCAGCTGATCGCCCTCAAGCGCCTGAGATTTGGTCTGCGGCAAATTCGGTAGCTCCCAAATCGCTACGCTGTCAGCGCGCCGGAGCATAATCCACCTTCTTTCGGCGCAAAGCTGCGCAGCGCTTCCGCCGCCCAGTAAACTTGAGCGGCTCGTAGGAGGCACGTAGGCCAACTTGCGCTGCGTCGTCTCAGCGAACGTCACGAGCGGATTGTCGGATATCGGATTAAGGCTATCTGCAGGCCGGTCGCCGAGAGCGTAGCTGGAGGCTGCCTTGGCCGCAGCTGTGGATGTGCGCTTGCGACGCGACGCCTTCTCTTTACTGTCACCGCCCTCCGCTGCAGCAGAAATGACTGCAGCAGGTGGCGCAGCAGCATACACACCGGCGGACGCTGTGCCAGCAGCGGGGATGAGCACGACGTGAAAGTCGGTCCCTCCACTCGCAAGAATAGGCACACGGGATACAAGCTGTGGCTCAGCGCGGGATAGAGATGCGAACGCCGCGGCTCTCATGTCGAATTTGGGCTCGATGGCCAGCGCACGTATATCATGCGCATGCAGCCGACGTGTACCGGTGTGCACCCAGCGTACTTGCTTGCCCTTCGATCTTCCCGCTCCCCCTACGAGCGAATACTCTGCGACTTTTTGATCCACACTGGCCGAGTAGACTTTTTTCCCATCTGGGCCGATGCAAAGCGCCAGCACATCCGCCTTGTCCCCATGCACCTTGAATGTCGCAGTCGGTAGCGGCAGGCGCGTCCTGGCGTCGTAGAACGTCACTCCGCCGTTTGAGTCGCCAAGTACTATTGTTCCGTCGGCGAGGATGGCGGAGGACCAGACGATCGTGGACTCGTGACGATTCTTGAAGACCAAAAGACGTGAGAGCAGCCGGCCGGTCGAGATGTCCCAGATGACTGCGACGCTAGAAGAAGTGCCGCCGAGAAGAAAGGACTCGTCCCACTCTTCTTCGCCTTCGTCATCATCTGACTCAGAGTCGGAATCAGAATCAGAGGTCGTACCAGTGGTGGAGCCAGAGTCACTCTCGTCGCTTGCCTCTCGTCCAGCAGCTCCATCTCGCGCCTTGTCCTTCCCATTTGCATTCTCCTGATTGCCCTTGGTCAACGCGGCGGACGGGCCGCTAATACTGCCACTGACAAGCCTAGGTGGACCCCAAGAAAGAGTCATGACCCTGCCCTTGGTTTTTTCCATTCTTCCCACCGCTCCGATTCGCTCGACACCAGCTGCTGCACCCCGCGAGCGAGCAAAAAGATCGCTGGAGCTGTCGAGGTGGGCAAAGGCGTCTGCATTGCTGACATCGACTAGGCGTACCTGTCCACCTTCGCAGCCGATCGCAAGGAAGCGCCCCAGCGGCGACGGAGCGAGAGACCATATTGTACCTGCATTGGAGGAGAGAGTACGTGTAGTACCAGCTTTGGAGCGATGAACGTGCACAGGGGTCGCGCTGGTTGAAGGGTGGTTCTGACTGCTTGAGAAGGCGAGGTCCGGAGGGAGAAAGTGCTCTGTGAGCAGCGAGCCGCCCGAGGTGCTGAAGAGGCGAAGAATGGTAGCCTGAGTTGAAGAATAGGAGGAAAAGGCGTAGGGAGAGTTGAATACGCTGCCGGCCGACTTGACTGGAGAGCGGACAAAGCACAAGTTGTCGATGGACGATTGTTGTGGAGAGACCAGCACCTGCGTGTACATCAAACGAAAGTAGAGGGCATTGGGATTCCAGCGCCCCTATAGGAAAAGTTTCGTTGGCTCATGCTCACCGTATGCACCACCCATCCTTTTGCGAATCCGCTTCCGGCCGGGCTCACACCGACCGTGTCTTGGGTCCAAACGCACAGCTCGATCGTCCCGTTCTCGCGTCCGATGGCCATCAAGCTCCGCGCGGTGCTATCCGCGCCGTCCGTCACATATCTCGCGTTTGCCGAACCGACATGCTGCGAGCTGACGAAGCTCGAAGCGGAGGGAGCAAAATCGATCGAGGTAATACCGGACGGTGACCAGTCCACGAAACGAATGCGATGAACTGCGGCGCTGGTTTGCCGCCCCTGGTTTGGTCCAGATACAGACGCCGACGTCGGGCCGTTTGGCGGACGATCGAGCATGTCGACGTCCATTATGTGCTAACAGAAGAACGTTATGGGCGTTTCCGACTGAAGGCACCTGCGCAACCCACTGTGGCAAAGCACGCAGTCAGCCTCTGCTCGAGAGAAGTATGCGGTTTGCATGGCATGTGCCATCATGCCCTTACACATGTGCCTGGCAGAAAAAATGATTGAGCGAGATGGAGAGCGTGGGTGAATGGATGAGGCGGAAGGCAGAAATTTCAGTGACGCAGACAAAGGTTGCACCGAATTTCCTAATGACCAGTTTTTCGACTCATGATCGCATCTTCTTTGCTCTCGGCCGGCAGCTACTCAGTACAACAATCACATCCCTTCAGGGCAAAGTATGGGTCCATGTAGCTGTGGTCACGGTACACGCGGCAGATCACTGCACGATCCCCTCTCCTGACGCATCGCCGCGCTGACATACATACACCAACCTTACCACGCCACCTGCGCCATCGCGCTGCGGTCTCGGTGGTATTGACGGAAAGCAGACCTTGCCAAGGTGTTCTCCGTAGATCAGTGGCGCGCGAGAGGACCGCCGCGTTCGCAGGTATGCGGTTTCGGCAGTGCAGCCTATGAGAAAGGCGCGCTCATCTTCGATGACCGTTTGCCCCCTTTACTTGCTGAAGCCCTCCGTTGGGTGATCGCAGGGGGCAATGGTCTAGAGTGGCTCGCGCCCATGCATTTCCCTCTTCATTCGGGTAGTTCAGCCAGGGGCTGACTCTTATCACACACTTAGGTCTACATATGGTCATTGATGGCAAGCGCTTGTCCTCGACGGGTGCTGGGCGAAGGTTCTGAGCGGGATCGATTTGCAGCAAGCGGCATCTGCTGGCACGCTGGCGACACCCACATGTATCTACAAAGTCTGGTTGGTATGCACCGCTTCACCATCGTTGCCATGCCCTGCAACCTGCAGGCTGGTGTGGAGTGTGCACATGCGGCGCTTACAGCTCGCACACGGCGGCAGCGCAAACCGCCAGCTACGTGAATACAAATATGTGTAGTGCCGAAAGGGCGGGACAGCGCTGGCACTCTCAAGAGTGCTCCTGCATGCGCTAAATGGTCCCGCGAGTCGCGACGCGTGGCACCGTGCCGCGCGGTGCGTACCGAAATGGGCCTTGGCTGGCAGCCGGCCAGCGGCCGCAGCCTCAATTGCATTTAATGCAACAAGAACGAGGCAGCAGCTGTCATAATGGAGACGCATATGCTGATTGCTTGCTACATCTGGAAGCATCCTTTGTACAGAGTTCGTGGCCAACAGGACAGAGGCCCGATCCGCCGACAGGAAAGCTGATGATACGGAACGAACGCCATCGACAGACTTGGGCGACGGGTGCCGACGACCGGCCATTTGCCGCATATAAGCATGCTAAGTGCCCTGGTTGATTTCGGGTGGTATTCAGTGAGTAGTCCGTGGAATCCGATAACATGACCCCGGATTGCGGGGTTGCCGGTCCGCACCTCGGCCAACTCTCGCATTTTCGTTATCTCTGCTGCGTGACCTGCCTGCCTATTGAGTGCGGGTGCGACCCGCAGGCTGTCTGGTTTTCAATACTTCGGGGCTTTGAATTCCGAACTTGTCCGTGTCAGCCACCACGTAGACCCGGCCTTCCCGTCCCGCACGGTGCTTGGTTACATGTCCACGCGGACTGCTCGTCGAAACTATTCATCACCTTTGTGTACTTGCTTGTTGAATGCTGCTTGTCAAAGTATCCTTTCCTGCTTGTTTTTTGCGGTGTCGAAGTCGAGTTCGCAAGGTCTTGACCGTGGACAGGCAGGGTGACTGACGAACGAGCTTCCGCGGGACATCCCCAAATATCGATCTAGTTCGTTGTGATCGGTATTCTTCTAGCGCACATACAAGAACCTCACCTCGGCCGTCGTCATCGCCTCTTAAAGGGCTTGAAGGGGTCAAGGTTCAAGGCGTGCCCTTCCATAGTCCATGCTCTATCCCTACCAGCACGTCAAAACTACATTGAAGGGCCCGTGACCCCCGAACAAGGCGGCAGGCGCAAGGTGTACAAGCCACGTGTCGTTCAGCATCCACTAGTCTTCCCTCGGACTGCTTCTCCGTGCAGACCACATTGCTGGGGTTCGAGGCACCAGCTCAACTGGCAAACATATATACATATCCCCCACTTTGCTTGCCAATCGTACTCCGATCGATACACTTCACTTTTTAGAACCGCAAGCTTCACTCTTTTTGCTCCATTTGCGGCCTCGACGATCCGCGTGTCTGCCCGAACAAGCGCTACTAAGCAAGATGCAGCTGTACGCGACCCCTCCTCCAGGGTACCAGCAATATGAGCCGTCCACCGTCACCCCTTCGCCAGCAGATAGTCCATCGTCGGGTTCTACACCGCGCGCGACTCGGCGGTTGAGCATTGCGTCCCCCAACGGTGAGGCTGCCTCCCCTACCCGGGGCAACGCAGAAGGAAACAGTGGAGCTGCTGCAACAGTCGCGCCGGCGCTGCTTGCTCGCTTGGTAGCACGAACTCTCAATGTAGGTGCAAGTCTGACGCAGCCTCGCGGCGTTCCGCTTGAGCCTTTCGCGGTCGGGAGTACGAACACTGTCACGAGATACTCGGCCGCTGCATCCCCTTCAACGCCTTCTATTTCTTCCTCGTCCTCGCCCTCACCCATGCAGACGAATCCGGCTCCCAATTCCAGCGGCAGCATATCAAATCGACCTTCACGCGTCCGTTTCCCCATTTCGGCCGCACGAGGGTTTTCTTCGCGTGATGCAGCCACGTCCGCGATCCCCTCCGCCTGGCCGCCGTCCTACAATCTCGATGCGCACGACGCCATGCCGTACCTGCCCGCGCGCTTGCGCTTGAAATCCACACAGCTGCTTGCCTTATCACCACCAGCGCAGTCTGCTCTGCTCTTGCAAGCGCAAGCAGAGGCACAGGCACAGGCGCAGGCGGACGCCCGAGCTCCACTTCGCTTCCTCGGCAGCACGACAGGCGTGTACGAGCTCAACGTAAAGTTCTGGCTGACGCCGATCTGGAAGTTCCAGTTCCCCTGCGCGACGTACACCGATCCGGCGGGAGAAATGCTGTTCGAATTCAACTTCAAGCGCATGGCCGGCGCCGGCAGCCTCAGCTGGGAGATGCGCGATGGCCATGCGCAGGGAAGGCCGATAATGCGGTATGAATCCAAGCGCAAGCGCGAGAGGCTAGTCATGCTGGGTGGAACGAACGGGCAAGAGCCGACGCATGTCACAATCAGAGTTGGGAGGGTCGGTGCGCCAAAAGGGCACGTCAAGGGTGCTTCCACGCGATTGAAGAAGTCTCTGAAGGACAGATCTAGTGGGACCAAGTACGCAAATCCAACACCGCTTGATCAAGCAACATCTGCGAATGTACTTGCGCTTCACCGCTCACTCAGCAACGCCTCGATGGCATCCAACGCGACGGCTGTGCAGCTTATGGAGCAGACGCAGCAGCTTCTCAACATCTACCCCATACGTCATACGTCGCTGCTTGAAAGTGAGACAAGGCGCTGGAGGCAGAAGGGGAGAGATGCCACGAGCAAGTCACACGGTACGAAAAGTACGAGCAAAACACGGCCGAGCGTGCTGGGCAGAAGGGTGCCTTCGTTTGGTTCTTCCGGCTCTGCTTCACAGGTGCAGGATCTAGTATACGATGCAGCCACCGTCACTAGAGTGCACGGTCCCCATGCCGGGCGAGCAGCGCTACCCATGGAAGAGCAAGAGTGGGACCTTGACGAGAGACTCGCAGGTGGAGCAGAGGATGACGCACGCAGCGTTGCCAGTGAAACCTCGTCTTCGTGGTCTTCGTCGTCCCCGAATAACAGCATCAACCAAAACGCCAGCACTCTATTTACGTCTGAGCTTGCAGCTGCGAATAAAAAGACAGTGGCTGCCACCCAAGACTTTGGGTACGACTACTGCGAATTTAGCATTCCACACTGCGCCTACGCGAGAAAGGGCGATGCCGCGGTGGCCCCCAGTGGCAGGTGGACGTGGGTCACGAATCGACCTATGGTGAGCAGCGCCTTGTGTCGCTTGGGACCCTGGAGAGTACGTACTACTTAATGTTTACCCAAACAGCGTTCGATCGACGGTTTGCGCTTCGACACAATCAAGTTCGCGTTGATCGAGCATCGTCAGCCTGCCACATCAGACGTCGTCATTGCTACGTTCAGTATGATCGACGAGCTCTCCGAGCCCAATTGGAAGCTCTGCATCCGCACGGGTGTTGCGTCTGAGCCACCGCAGCCGTCTACAAGCGCGTCGACTTCTTCGATCCCCGCGCGCTCTCCACTCGCGGACAACCCTCCGCTGATCATGGCGACGTTGATGATTCTCTACCGCAGCGCGTGGACGCGCATGAGCGCCGAAGCGCAGTCGGCGGAGAATCGGGCGCGTAACGCGGTTAAACGGTCGCTTGAAGCGGCTAGCCTGAGCCACTCGGGATACGTCAACTATCAGCTCGGGCGCAGCGGCGAGGTCAAGGAACACTTGATCAGTGGGCTGAGGCGCGCGGCTGACCGTGCTGGCAATGGCGCCGCTAGACCCGCGAGAGCGGTGAGCGGCGTGCGCGATACCCAGGCAGGACCGGGAGGGCGTGCAGCAGCAGCTGGGGACGCTGATGGCGATGAAGAGCTGGCAAGGACCCGCAAAAGTGCCGCTTGGGCCGAGCCACGGCCGCCGTCTTACACACCAGCGCGGCCTCTCATGGCGGCGACATGCTAGATGCTTCTGCATGCATCGCAAAGAGTCGCAATGCAGGGGCACACGTGAATAATAAAACAATGCGCCCGTGCAATCCACAGAAATCATCTGCACTCGTGGTTTGTGGAAATGCAGGAGCCAATGCACTCTCCTTCTCAACACACGTCATCTAGTATCGCATCAGGGATAAGCGCATCTCACTCCTGTATATTCCTTGTTCTTTCCACAAACCAATTCAGCATCTCCCCCTGTGTAGCATTCATTTTTCTACAGCTGGGGCTTGCTTCGTTTCGAAGTCAAAAAATGTGATGCATCGCGTACGGGTATGGATCGAACAGATGGGGAAATACATGGTTTAAGCCAGTGTGGGGTCGGGCTTCAGTGGATTGAGGTAAAAATAAGAAGCAGGAGTACCTGTCATTTGGCAATGACATCACCATTGGTCAGCCCGAAAGCCTTCAAGGTAGCACAGTGAGGTTGGCAAGGAAGCCTGACACGCACCAACACACAAAATCCCGCCATTCCCAAGACCTTGATGTTTTTCCACCACATCTGTCTTCGCAGCCCCACTGCTCGCCGGCGGAATTGCAAGCTTTGATTGGCCGCCTGATCGGTCCGATCGACGAGCAGCTCGAGTCGTTCTCCGCGGTTAAGAACCTGCTCTATGTTCGCTTGCATGATATCCTTAACACCCTTGAGCTCTGCTTGTGCTGTTTTTACCGGGTCCGCGTTGGATACGTTGTTGTATGTCGTCAGCAGATTGGAGAGGTAGCCGGAGAACTCGCCGTAGGATTCCGAAGCGGTGGACGGATTTGCAGCTGCTTCAGTTGCATCATAGCGTGCTGTGAACTGTTAGTCCGGGGAATGTCCAGTACAATATTAACATTCTTGTCTTTGAAAATGATTAGTCTACGCCGCTACGGCTGCTTCCAAGCCAATCAGGAGGCGGGCCTTTCCGCAGCACGCACCTCGTTTTGCATCTCCGTCAGCGCTGCAAAGGGAATTCTGCGTCCTGATTCAGCGTCCGAGACGTTGAGAAAGACGAGCCCGTCCTGCGAGATGAAGTGGAACATCCATTGTTCGTTGGGTATCGCGTACGAGAGCCGTGATTCATTTGGAGGGATGCGGGAGAGGATCGTTTCGGCTGCCGTCTTTTGTCAGGCAAATGGAAGCAGTAGCAGCCAAAATGATGCAGGAAGAAGACTCAGCTGATCAGCAGCTATCCAGAACACGGAAGAGAGGGACACGCGTAGAGAGGCAGACCCGGGAAATGTTGGACTCACAAGGAAGCGAACCTGGTCCTTCTGATGGGTCTCTGCGAGGATGGTGGACCCGCTGGCCACAAGGGCGAGGACGATTGTCATTCTTGCAAGATGCACTGGGACCTGCGAGCCACTGAGCCAAGAACAGCGAGCCTATGGCGGTTCTTAGCGTTTATTTTGCCAGCGGCAACAGCAACTTGCATTCTGTATGCAAAGCCCAGGTCGTAGAGACCTCATCAGCGTGAGCATCAAAGCATTTCCATTTTGTGGTCAGTTAAATCAGTGATGTCGAGCTCCTGCCTGTGAAAGACAGTGGTGCAGTGCGCGGCGAATCGCGACCAGCGTCTCACGCATTCGATCGCGTCTCGTGGGACTCAGGCCCCAATGAACCCATCATCACCTCACCTCCATTACTTTCATCGCGCTCCATATATCCTACGGAGGGCATCCAAGACCCAGGTGACCCCCATCACGTCGATCTCTGCGAAGCTGTGGTTAAGCTAGGGACTGCGACCTTCGAAACCGCGCAGCAGCGCCAACATGCCCCAAGCAGCGCGTCGCTATCATGAGCCGGGCGTTGGCTCGCGCACCGGCTTGCGCATCAGCAACGCGCCCGATGACATTCAGGACTTCCTCGCTGCGTCCAAAGCGCAGATGGACGCGCACAATCGACGCGGCTACGACGATGATGACGATGATGACGAAGAGGACGAGGTCGATGACGAGGAGGAGGAGGATGATGGGTATCCGTCGCGACCACGCGCATCCATCGCGACGCGAGGACGGCGCAGCTCGGGAGCGGCAAGTAGAGGTGGCCAAGGAGGCACCAGAAGAAGCGCGGCACGCGTTAATGAGGCTCCGGGGCGTGGAAACAAGAATAGCAGCTCGATGGATCTTGCCAGCAGTGAGTTTTGGCGACGACGCGTCCTTTGTCGTGTCGTCTTTGGCATGCGAGGATGATCCAGCGCGTATCCGTGCCCAAACGCGTTCCACCTCGCGTTCATCTGTACGAAATGCAGCCTTTTGACATCGATGGTGTTTTTTTCCTTTGGTCTAAAACAGCCAGCGGACCCTCGCCACGTAGCACCCTCCGAAAGTCACTCAGCAGCAAGCGAAGTCGTGACTCATACTCTGCCACATCCGACGCCGATGATTCCGGGACAGTTGAGCGCAGCTTTAAGCTTGCCGGCAATATGAGCTACGGCAGCGCGGACGTTGAAGAGCTGCTCGAAGCAGATCAGCTTGCAATGCAACAAGCAGAGGATGACGACGAAGAAGACGATGGGGCACATCGAAAAGGACGCCCATCGGCGCCAGGCTCCACCCGCAAGCGCGCTCGCGCGCCTGCTGCAGGCTTTGCAGCACGAAAGGCGGCCAAGTCATCGCCTGCAGCGGGAGGCGTAGCATCGCTCTTTGCGCCGCTTGCGCGATCACCTGCGAAGGCCGGCGCTGCCAAGAAAGGTGGGGGACAGGGTGTCAAGGCGGCTAATGGGACGATCTCGCGAGGAAAGGGTGCGAACACACGCTATGTGGAATCTCAGGATGAGGAGGACGTGGAGGACCCTGGCTATAGCAGACGAGGCCGCGGGAGAAAGGACGCGTCATTTGAAGCAGTCGCATATGGCGATCAAGATCATGAGTACGATGGCTATGCCGGGGACGACGTTGCCGCCGACGAATATCCTGAAAATTATGAGGAAGACCGAGATGATCGCTTACTGGCCGAAGAGGTGGAGGAGTTGACAGATCCGGAGATTCTAGAGCGTACGACCGCGGGCAAGAGAGAAAAGCAAGGAGCCAGAAAGGCGGCTGCTGCGCGCTCCAAAGTGTCCGCAGGTCAGAAAGGCAAGCCTATGAGCGCCAAAGGCAAAGAGCGGCAACCAGCTACAAAGGAGAAAAGTATCAAAGGACGACGGGCAGCAGCTTCATCTGAAGATGAAGTGGACGGCAGCGAGGTGGAAGACGACGTGCCAGAATTGCATGTCGTCAAACGAAGCGTCAAGACACCCTCAGCGCGACGAACCCGCGGCCCATCTGAGGAAGCCTACGCGCAGCGCCAAGTTGTGGAGCGCGTCACTTCGCAAGCGCAGCGCATACCTGCCGACGAAGACGCTGAAGGGATCCGGCGCAGCAAACGACATAGGTATCAGCCACTTGAGTGGTGGCGCGGCGAACGGGCTGTTTATGGGCGGCCGAGCCTGCCGAAGTCAGGTGGTGGGGCGTCCGCAAGGCAGTCACAAGCGAGCAGTCCGCGCCGCCGAGTGGTACCGGTGCCTGTGCTGAAGGAGATTGTGCGTGTACCAAAGCGTCAAGGTGAGGGTACGTTCTCGGGGATGAGCGTCTTGCCAAAGAACAGGGGCCGTGTCAAGCGCTCGACCAGCGCGCGCGGCGAGTCGAGCGAGCCGCAGGCGGGTACCAGCGGAGCGAAGAAACGCAAGTTGGCTGGCGAGGCGGACCTGTCCGCCGATGCGTTCATCGAACTGGACCCTACTGCCGACTCGGTGAATGTGGAGGACGGATGGGACAAGGATACGGAGCCATACGGCCTTGTCTGGGATGCAGACACCGTTAAAGAGGTGCAACGACGTGAGTTTTACCTCGAAATACATACTACCGGTCGAGCTCAAAGCGTGTGCTGATTGTCTGTGAATATCCTGCAGACATCGCATGCACCTCGAGCCAGATCCGTGTCCGCAAAGCGCATAATGCGACCTTTGCGTTCGAGAAAGTCTTTGGAGTCGATGAGTTCATGGCCGCGGGCGTTCTGCATATCGAAGTGGATGGCCAGAAGCCGGTCAAGCCGAGCAAAGACAACAACTACGTGAGTTCGCTCCAATATCGGTCAACGTCCATTGTTTCAATTCCGGCTCTCATACGGTTTTCGCTCCTGTTACTCTACATATCAGGTGTTCGTCGTCCTGCAGGGTGCAGCACGCGTAACGGTCAACCGCTCCACATTTCTCGTTGCTCCAGGTGGAATGTTCTTCGTCCCCAAAGGCAACAACTACGGCATTGAAAATGTGTCGAAGCGCGAACTGCGGCTCTTCTTCTCGCAGGCGCGCAACGTCCATCCGGCCAACCTCGCTTTGCGCGCCTCGGTGCAACCTGTAGCGCTCACGCTGCCCTTCCGCGGGATGCCAAATGGCGCCACGGAGTACAGTGGCACGTCCATGATAGGCGGCGCAGCATTTGGCGGGGTTGGAAGTGCGATTGGTGGGCGCATGGCCGGCGAGGCGAGCTTCAGCGAGGCACCTATTTCGCGTCCGCCCCCCTCGAGGCTGCGCTACACCGAGACAGGCGGAGGCGACGCTGGCGGCGCCGCTGCGAGCAGTGGTCGCATGCAGGACGCGTCTTTCCAGCAAGGCGACGAGCAGGAAGAAAGCGAACGCTCTGACCCTGAAGAACAAGGTGAAGAGGAGGACGCGGAACCGCCGGAAGAACCGGAGGAAGATGAATCAGCGCTGTACGTCAACCCGCCGCGTGGCGGCAAGGGTGCACGAGGGAAACAGGGTGGTAGCAGAACAACAGCAATAACAGGGAGAGCGAAGGGCAAGCGATAGCTTCCTTGCGAGAAAGATCTTGTATTGCATACTTTGCAGTGGTCCATGGGCTATTGCAACTGACGTGCCTAATTACACTACGATCATGATCGTATTGTTTTCTTTCGGGTTTGACGGCTACCTCTCTGCATCGTGGACCGTTGCGCGTTGCGTGTACAGAGCCTTTCAACACCCGTAAGGATAACTTTGATGAGCTCATCCATTGGAGCAGTAGCGCACTGTAACGTGAGGTGTACAGTAAGGACATGTCCATCTTTGGCCCACTGGCTGATGGCGCTGCGCAGGGAGGTGTTGGGCTGAATTTCAAACTGCCCAACGCGTCGACCAGCGAGGACATGCTCGAGTGCAAATATGGTCCGTGTCCTGCATTGGTTGCGCACCACGGCGGCTTTGTGCACGCGTTTTTTACCGGCGACAACGAGGACGCGCAGCACCCGCTGCTCAGCCTCGCGCAGAGCAGCCTCTTGTGCGGCGAGCAGAGCAGAGCGCGCGTTCGCATCGGTCAGCAAACTGACAGGAACGCCGAAACGAATATTGTCATATTCTGAAGATGCGCTGGGGACGAGGCCTTCCGGCAAGGACACTTCGTCGAGCTGTGTCGGACCGAAGAGCTGGGTGCCATAACGCGCCTCCGCGAATCTCAGGGGATCGAGCCATTTGTCCTTAAATGCGCTTCTTGTGATTAGGTCTGGTAAGAACGGTGGCTTGTAGTGGGAAGGCTGCCGTGGGACACGATGCAGGACAAAGCTCAATAGCGATGATCGAAAGCTACCAATGCTGAACTTGTTCCCAATGAAGGTTGCAGGAGGGAAGGCTGCACGCTGAACTGGTTTCACCTGGTTTACGGGAGCGGGAAAATCAGTTTGGTGGCACACAAACTAGATCAGAACACAAGCTTATGACATACTTTGACGGGCTTGGAGGACGTAGAGCTTTCGTTATTTGCAGCATTTAACCGGCTGGCATATCGCGGGGTAGGCGATAAAGCTGCTTGCCGGTAGGTCACACGAAGGAATGAAAATGCCTTTGGACATTGGAAGCCTGTCATCAACCTCCCTCCAAAGTTTGTCCGATATGAAGAGAGGAGCATGACCGTAATGAAAGTCTCATGCTTGAGCTGCAGGTGCCGACTGATTAAGCAGAGGCGGAGAGGATAAAGAATTGAAGGGATTGCCCCAAGCCTGCAGGAGGGAATAGTAATATGGGTCAGTTGAATGCCGAGTAACCACGGTACCATGGCCTGTTGTCCCGATAGTTCCCTCCATTTCGAGCTTTTGCGACTAAAAGTCTGTGTTCAGAACGAGTAGGCAATACGTTTGTGTGTCCTCCTGATCGATGGCTTGTGAGGCCATTCGCTCGGTACAGGTCTGTGTTGATATTATCATCCTATGAAGCCCTCTGTCGCTTGGCCCGCTCCATCGACATCTGCTGCGATCCAAGTACTCACTTTGATGACAACTACATTTTCTTGTTTGCGACTTTAAATCAAAGTAGATGGTGGATGGGGGGGTAAAGGGGAAAGGCAGGGAGTGAAGAAAGCGATGGTTAATAAATAGAAGAAAGAGAGCAGAGAAAGTCAAAATTTGCCGTCTGCCGCGGGACTTGCGAGCCAACCGACTGGGATTTTGGTCACGTGATGCAAAACGCGTTGCGCGTTAGCTGGGGAAGCGCCCATTCAACCTGTTGGTGTCGAGAGCGCCGCGACTGGTCCTAAAAAGCCTCTCTCTTCCTTGCTTCATTGGTGACCTATCCCGATCATGACCATGGTCCGTGGTAGTTCTCTCCTTGGGTCAACTTGATCTGCAGAGACCGCTGCGCATAACACAGGCCGATTTCAGCACCAGTTGCGCCTCCCGTCGGGAACTTTGTGCACCCGAGGAACGCGAGCTGCGTGATAGGTTCAATCTGCTTTTGGCAAGGACTCGCGCCGCCAGCATGCCCCCAGCGACGAGGCGCGAGCTCAGGATCAGCGGGATCAATGGCATCAACAGCCATACACTGGCAATGGATGATGTGTTAGATACATTCGAGCAGTGTGAGTCTGGTCGTGTCTGTGCAATGCTGCTGTTCTCCGTCTGCCTTTGCTGCATTCTGGCGAAGGCATTCACTGACATTCCGCCGCGCGCCCTTACATTCGTCGCATCCTACAGTCAAACGCAAGCACATCACCCAGAATCGTGACATCATAAAAAACAATGCACTTGCTCAGCTCCGTATCCGCGAGCTGGAGAGTAGAATGCAAGATCTAGAGGCCGAGCGGGCGGCACAGGCGCTCGAATTCGTGCGGGCCCAGGCCCAGCTCGATCGGTTCGAGCACCAGATCCGCTGCGTCGAAATCGGCTGGAAGGTCATGAGTCAGGGATTACCGCCGGGGTTTCGAGACCTGGCTGCACAATCTGAGGCCAGGAGAGGAGGAGTTGCTGATGTATGGAGACAACTCGTCCCGATCGAGCCACATCGTCGACCGCCACGGCACATCTCACTCGAGAATTCGACGCTTCCCGCAGGTGTCGTCCGGTCCATCGCTCGGAATCCATCCGCAAATCTTCAAACTTTGACGGAAGTGTCCTCCGCGCAAGAAGGCTTTCGTGACATGCCACTCAGTGCCGCTCCCCACGGACACCGCTCCATCCCCGAAAAGTGGCAAGGTCCCGGGGCGCACCAATGGTATGCCAGTGGGGTTTCCCACCAGCTGGCCGAAAACAAGTCTCGAAACCCGACACCACGGCAAGAGCAAACTTCCCTCTTTCCCCCCTTCTCAGAACCAGCGACTCAGAGCGATTTGATGGCTGTCTTCCCTCCATCTTCGGGGTCGTCCGACGTACCTGACGATGACTCGCAATCTGAGTATGAAGAAGACTTCCGAGGTGCATCCGACACGGCCGGTCTCTTTGGCACATCCATGCCGGTGCAACGCCGAGTGCTTGGGCGCGACCGAAAGCCTGCACGGTCGCGCGACCCATCTGCCCTTCTGTGGTCGTCTACCGCTGGTGGGCAGGATCGCCAAACGAGCGGCATTCCCGATCCACCCGATGCAAGTATCTCTGGCGCGGTTGGTGAGCCGCGCATGATCGATATCGACGGCGCGCCTAGCCCCATCAGCTCGCCGGCCCTTGATTTTGACGCGCATTGGGCAGCTGTGGCAACGGCTCCGATTCTACACACGCAGGCACATGTGCTGGAGATACCCAGCGAGAGCGAGGATGAACATATCGCAACAAGCGGTGCGAAGAGGAAGAAGCGGGCCGGAGCTGGTGCCAAGGCTGGCAAGCGTACTTCTAGACGAAATAGCGGCATGCTGTCCGTACATGCGCCACGAGACCATGCAACAGGAGGTGAGGACAGCGAGGCGGCGACCGATTCGGATGCTGGGTTATCCCGTATGTCATCTTTCAGCTCCTTGCTATCTGGCCTTAGCGAATTTGACACAGAGGAGGAAATGGATGGTGAAGTTACGCCGGGGGTCTCTATGACCAAACTTCCAGAATCGAACGCAGCCGGCCTGAACGCCCCGCTGACTGCCGGCGCGCTCGGGGCATCATCAAAGGCAAGGAGTGACGCGGACGTTGGAGATACAGTCAAGGGTGCGAGAAAGAAGGCTGCAAAGGCTGACTTCGAAGGTTCAAAATCATCTGGTAAGTTTTGTTGCCGCCTGTTGCAGCGCAATGTTAATTTATCGTCCATTTTAATAGCAGGTGGCATGGCGCTCGGAGGCCGAAAGCGGAAAGTTCCTACCCTGGAAGACGAAGAGACTGTTCTTTCATTACCGAGGCCCTCAACCGCATCCACACTTCTAGCTGACGGCGAAGAGCTTTTCGGGCGGGCGCAGCGCACGCGCAAGAGTGTCAACTACGCCCTTCCCAAGCTCAACACCAAGATGCGCAAGCCAGATCCAACGGACCTCGTTCCTGCCGCCAACGACGGCAGTAGCCGATCAAGCACCCGTGGCCATCCCTCTGCCAGGCACGCTGCCTCCACTGGTGACCTGGCCGAGATCAGGAAGCAAAGATTGAGCAATTCGGCGGAGAAGGACAAGGGGAATTCGAATTACCAAGCCGAAGCGGCCACACCGCTCGTCAGAAAGATTTCCAAGATAGAACTGCAGGGCAAAGACGATGAGGTCGTTGAAGACTCCCCTACGGGCGAGGATGCGCACGACACCCCTGATGCAGATACAACAGAAACCGTGCGCTTACTACAAAAAGGTCGTCGACACTCAAAGGCAGCATTGGTGGCCAATACTGACAGCAACAGCGCAAGAGGCGATGAAGCAGAGTCCAAGGCATTCGATGACACCACCGTAAATCCTATGAAGAGGGCCGGTCACAACGGAACTGAACGCCCTGCACTGCGGCGAGCTTCGCAATCCATCAACATCCCCGTCGATGAGCCCGCGACGAGAAGCGGCCTCTCGAGGTCATCTTCAGAAAGCGTCGCCACGGTTAAGGGCACCATCAGCGCCACGCCAAGCAGGGGTGCTCGCAAAGTGAGCGTCACCACAACAAAGCCGGTAGCGAGGCGCGACCGGCCGAAGACGCTCTCCGCTACGATGGTAGCCAGGGAGGGCCTCCTTCAAGAATCTTCCACCGTCGGCCCTTCCGGCGGGTCCACTTGGAGTGGACCTCAACGGCCAAGCTTACGCGCTGCGCTGGCGAACACGTCAGGTGACAAGGCTGAACTGGCGGCGGCGCGTAGCTTGGCGCCGCCTGGCAATACTACAAGTTCAGACGGTCGGATCAGTCCGGCGCTTTCCACCACTTCGAGCGCAGGATCGTCGGTGGGCACAGCGATGAGGTCCGTCCAGCCGTCGAGCTCCTCTCAACCGGCCTTGTCGCGAGTCTCGTCGATGCAGAAGAAGCCAGGAGCAACGGGAATGCTGGCGGGTAAGACAGGTTCGAAGGCGCCTAGTGCGGCCACCACCGGTCTGTCTTCTGATGCTGCAGTCAAAGATCAAGGCGAAGGCAAGAGAACAGCACGTCGAACGAGTAGCCAGGCGGCGGCTTGAGAGTGTATGTTACATGCTCCAGGATAGAATTATTTTTCACCATAGGCTCTTTCGTTCTCCTTATAATCGCTGCAAAAGATCCTCAACCAGAGATACCACCGTCTGTAATCCTTTCAAGACACCCTCGTCCGGACCTTCTCCTTGCGCTAATCGTGCATGAGCAAAGTCGATGAGTTTTACATTTGCGACTGGAATAGCGGATCCTGACGCTGTCCATGTTGACAACCTGGATGCCAGTGTGTTGGAGTCGCCTTCATAAACAACCAATAGACTTCCTCCCCGCATCCTTACTTCTAAGTGTGAGGCCAGGTCCGCCGCAAGTTTGAGCTGCGGCAAAATGAATGACTTGAGGAGCTCAGCAACATGCAGATGGGGAAGCGCCACCGGTGCTTGTGCAGGCGCTTCTTCTCCTGCTGCCGTGACTATCGTCATAAATTCGTTCCAATCGTCGTTGTTCGCGCAACCAAAGAACAACCTAACTCCAGTCGGGAGCATCTCCGTGACAATCGTCTTGCCGAAAGCTTTTGATGTGGGGATAGCGCATTGAGCGGCGTTGTCCCAGACTTGCCAGCCAGTCAAGCGGATGCCGTCTGTCCACGAAGTGGTGCTTCTAGCTGCCGCATCCATGCGATCGCGTTTCTCTACCGTGGCACGCTCATCCCACAATTGCGAGCCAAGCTTGATGTCGAGCACATTTGGATGCACGAATCCGTGGGTGAGATTTTCAATGGCGACTGCAGTGTTTTGTTTATCGGAGCCATTTGGTTCTTCAGATGCGGGCTGGGATCCGTGGTACGAAGGCATGAGCGCCAGCAGGCGGGTGAAAGGGCCGGTAGTGCCTGTTTCGGCACTTGCAGCTTTTTGAACTTGCTCGTAGAAGTCAGCTTCGTACTTGCTTGTCAACTTAACGATCCTTGTCCCTCCGTCCAGCAAAGAGATCCCTCCAGGATGCCCTGCCACCTGGAACTGTAGGTCCATTATAGCTAGGGCACGTGGGCCGAAGGCTGGGTCGATTATCGAAGGGACGGTGCCCAGCACGGCCTGCCACGGAGTTGACTTTCAGGAATCCAGACGCAGATTTCGAAAAGTTCAAAATGCAAAGCTACGGTACACCGGGCTTTCGGCAAGCTCCCATGAGTAGCGATCAGTCACCAGTAACAGGGCTTTTTAGGGAATAGAATGTACCCGAGTTGAGTGTTTCAAGAAGGAAACCTTAATGAAAGCGATGCAGTCTTAAGGTTGCGTTGCACAGTCCAGCCGCACCCAGCACCCCAGACGAAGATGACTATAGGCTGATGAGGTGTTGAATATCCAGCAACAATATAGTTCCCGCACAGAACCCACAGTCAAGCGCACTGTGCACAAACAGAAAAACCCTCGCCTGAGAAGTGGGACCTAGTGAGACGTCACCCGCTGATGGCGGTGCAATGGAAGCAGTTCAGCTCCTTCTCGAAGCCGGGCCTTGTACGCCCTGCTCGACGAGAGTAATCCTTGCTTGGCGTGTGGCACTCGAAGTTTCGTGCTCGTCCTACCTCGAATTGTTGTACATCCAATGTGGTGAAACGGTAGCAAGGTACAAGCACATAGGGATTGCAAAAATGACAACAGGGTTGATCGATTGAATCGGAGCTCAACGAAGCTCGAAGTAAGAGCTGGAACGCTCTGGCACGTGCGCAAGCGATAACTGTTGGTATCTGCAGGAAATTGAGAGTCCAAGAACAAAAAAGACGAATCGCGAAGGAGTGGAAAATGTCAAGAAGTGCATGGGCATATTGAGCTCAGTAGGAGCGGAAAAGGGGACCCCGTGCCGGCCTCTTAGATACTCACGGTTCTGAATTCTCATGGAAATAGTACCCGCTCATCCTACCCGCCATACCACATGCCTCTGCAATCGATGCCATGTCGGGCAATGTTGGGCTTGTGGGCGACGATGGGTCTGTCATAATGGACGATACCGTGACATTGCCATGCGCGGGTGGTGCAGCGCCGACGGTGGTCCAGTAGCCCGATGTGTGCGCATCGGACAGACGTCCGCGGGTCTGGCTCTGCGGCCGGCGTAATTGCACGCCGGGCGAAGTGGGTGGGCTGGAGCCTGCGGCGGCGGCTGATGAGGACGATGGCGAAGTAAAATATCTGCTCAAATTATCGTCGCCCAATTCTACGCAGACATAGTAAAATCCGGCATAGCTAGCACCATTGATGTCGCGTTCGCGCACGCGATGATCAGGCACGAGGAAGCGTTCCTTCCACCGCATGAAGACGTATGGCTTGTTGAGGTGGTTGAACGTCAGCGCAGGCTTTACGAGCGCAGGCTTCAGCGGTCGAAAAGGCAAGAAGCGTGACCAATGCTTCTGATCGTCCGCCTCCGTCGCGCCCCATTTCCCCGTGATGAAGCCGTGCTTAGAGCCAATGATCTCAGCATCAAAGTATGTTGTCAGCTCCGGCCAGTCCTCCGTCAAGCCGCGGATGTTGAGGTACCCGCAGAGCATCGACGACGGCAGGTCAACATTGACGATGCGCACGCTGACATCGTACGTGCTTCTTCCGCTCCTTTGTGTCCCGGTAAACAGGGCTCCAGGGTACAGGCAGCCGATCCCTTGAGGCGGGAGTCGCTTGCGAGACAGCTCCGGCAGAGGGTCCGGCTTGCGCACATTGAACCAAGATGTGTGCTTGGCGATGCCCTCTCCCTCCTCTTTGGTTGCGTCCTCTCTCATGGCATCATCGCCATCGCCGTCCACGTAAACCTTGGCGTCAAGAGCATTCGGCAGTTCCTGATGCAAAGGCGCGCCAGTTCTGCTGGAAATGCGAGCTCTGAGCTGCGCTGCACCCAGCGTGCCAATCCTTGGGCGCGTCATGCCCGCCGGACCGTACTTGCTGTCAAACTCAAATAGCGGTATGGGGGTCGTCTCCGCCAAGGATGCAGCGAACGACTGCGCGGTGGGACAGGTAGAAGAGCCAGAGCGACTAAGCCTGCGCGACGACAAACGCCTTATCCGGGATCCTCCGCCACCGCCGGCGGCACTTCCACTGATGCTGGAGCTGGCACTCATTGCCCCCGAGCTCACAGCCCTGCTCCTTCCAAAGTTGACCATGGGCTCATTTGGCCCGTCCCCGACATGGCTTTGGCCCGTCGAGCTCTGGCTGCGCGAGAAGCTGCCCGTGCGTCCCTCTCTGACTGCACGTTCATCTGCAATGTAGAATCCCGCAGCCAGAGACGGCAAGGCCGGCTGTTGCTGGGTGCTACTTGCGAAGGAGCGTCCACGCGTGCGCGTTCCGCTCGCACTGTGGATCGAGGTGGGCGACGCACTCGGGGCCCACACCGAGGAGGCATGGGCAATATTGGGCGGCGACGACGTAACTCGTGAGAGCGGCGGGAAATCGAGGTCTTCCGCTATGGAATCGACGCTGCGAGCAAGGCTTATGTCGGCCGCATCTTCCCGAGTATCGTCGCCGGCTCCAATAGAGATGGGGCCAGATCGAACGGGAGAGGTAGTTAGATTGGCCCAGGGTGCTGGGCGCCAGGCTCTTGTCGGACTTGTGCGGGGCGAATTTGTTGCCTCACCGGGAGCAGAAGGTGCAGCACCAGTATTAGCAGTTTCGTGTACGCTGATTGGATCCAACGTAAGGGTCACGTCAGCGCCACTAGCTGTGTCGCGACTGCTAACAACGCGAAACGCCGGTGGTATTGAGATATTCGTTGGGCGAATCTGCATTGAACGCGATGCGCCGCTCGCGCCACCAAGCGTGGCTGTTGCTCGCGGTGTTGCGGCGCCACTTGGTGTTTCCGAGAAGATGCCATGCTGGTCCAATGCAGCATCGTTGTTCTCCGACGCGTCAGCCTGGAGCCCCCGAGGCGCTGCGACCTCGACCGAGCTCACAGCAACAGCACATGCCGTGCATATTGGCCTGCGCTGCCGGTCCGCATGTATGTTTTCCGCCAGTTCGGCCGCTGAAGCAACGATACTGCGGGTTGCGCTGCCGCTGCTGGCTTGTAGCAATGCTTGCGCTAAGGATGACGTATGGAATCCAGGCGGCGCGAATGCGATCGATGACGGACTGGGTAAAGGCGCCGCCGCAGGCGCAGGTGCTGTTGCTGCTACTATAACTGTCGTGGTGGACGATGTTGGGTTAGTCAGCAAATTTACGTCTTGCAATGATGTAGCATCACGCGAGCGTGTTGTAGTAGCTTGCGCCTCGATGACGTTGCCGCACGCAGCACACCATTTTCTCTGTTGTTGCTGCTGTTGCGGCAGATGCAGAGGCTGAGAAGATTCTGTGTCGTGTGATGTACCTCCATGGGCTGGCACTGAGGGTGGTGATGTTGCATTGCTGTCCACGCGCGGTGCCCCACCCGCTTCGGCTGTGGCATTGGCGGGCGATAGCGATGGTATCGGTGCCATCTGTTCGTCGTTGCCGCCACCACCGCTTCCACTGGAATGCAGCAGCAGCGAAGGACCGGGTGCCATCGTGAAAGCAGCTTCGGGTGGTGAAGCGATACCTCGACGGTGATGCGACGGAGAAGCGCGTCGTTCTATCAATCAGCGGACTGGGCATGAGACTGCTACTTCAAAAGGGGGCGACTGAGCGCCTGCTCAGCGGCGGCAACGTCGCGGGGCGAGTCCATGATGGGCGCAACTCCATCCACAACAGTGAGCACGACTGGCTTACACACCTCTATGAAATGTGAGCCCTTGTGCAAGAGAGCCTGGCAGTCTGGCGTGTCCAAGGGTGATACGCTCACGAGGTCGAGAAAGGGAAAGCGAAGATGGAGTTGGGTGGCTGGGGTTGTGCATGTGGGAGGGCACATGCAAAGCGCCAGTCTTCAAGGGACTCCCCCCGCAAACCACTTTAGAGAAGGCGGGCAATTCTCTATACCTCAAGGGTCCTTCATCCTTTCTAGCATGTATTGCATCTAGCCGCACCCCTTCGTCGGATGGCGCTTGAGCGGTGTTTCGGCTCAGAAACGAACATCTTTCAGTACTATGTGCGTGACTCTTCGTGTGATCAGATGGTTACCCTATTGGCAGCTCACGAGCAGCTTCTACGCTGTGACGCCGAAAAGAGGATCCCAGAGCGCATGGCTGTGAACCCTATAGGATCTGAACGCTATCGCACCGCTCAATCCTAAAAGCGCCGCCGACCAGTTTCGTCTAACGAGTACTGCTACCCACTGCATCCACTTTTTTACCCAATGCACCGGTTAACCCCGCCTCTGCCGTCATGTTCCCTTCCAATAGCGAGCGCGGGGTTCGCTTCACCTCAAGTGTCGTGCACACCCTGCCATCATCCGCAATTCTGACCCACCTTATGCATCTATTAATAGCTATAGCACCACTTCCAGACGAATATGCTTATCTCACGACTGTGTATGGCGTAAACAAGCGCCAGCGGGCATGCCAGACCCAAAGCGAAGGCCAGGGGTTATAGCGTTGATGGGAGCGGAGCCTCCAGGTTCCAGGCTCTCAGCTTGCGGTCTGCGCAGAGGGGAGGCACTGGTACAGCAGAGAAGTAAGACTTAATACTAGATTTGTGTCTTTCAACAAGAATCGTTCAAATAGACCTAGCTCCCCTCGAGGCGTCGACCCCTCCAGCTAAAGTCCTGTCGTCTCTGGGTGGAGTAGACGGATATGGTTGAGCGTCTGTATTCTTCGGCCGAATTCAACTTTTGATGCTTGTTGTCACTCGGCCGAGAATCAAACCGACGTCATTGTCTCGCGGTTGACCATCGGTGGAAGACATCCCAACATGAGCATGGTACACTGCACTGAATGTAACACGGGACTCCATGAGCATGATGAATCTGGAACTTGTGAAGACACGAAGAGCATAGTGGACGGACTGTTTAGCAACAGGCATCGACGTAATTTCCTTGACGCCGGAATCATGGTACCATGGACGTTGTTGCGAGCGTCTCTGTTATGCTGAACAAGACCCTGCCAAACGCGACGCGAACGAGCGAGCCGCGAAGCATTGTATATGCGCGCTCGAGCGGATCGCAGCTTCCAATATCTCGATCGCAATATTTGACATTCAGATTGATTCTGCTGCAGTACGCAAGGCCAGCTACGAGAAACCGGGCGAGACAAGTTCGCAGAGAAATTCACTCCCAGCAGCCATGATTGGCCACGCATTCATCAAGCTGACCAGGAGCCATTCGAATCGGTTTTATTCGATAAGCCCCTGCTTTAAAATTATCAATGACTACCGACTGCTCCACTCCTCCAAGCTCTGCCTTTCTGCTACGCTCTCAGGAAGAGCATCAAGGGCATTCATCTCATATACTACTACGACATCGAAAATCTAGAGATGCCCACCCCTCAAAAGTGGAAACAAGGGATGTGCTTTGTGAAAGAGTCACAGTGGGCGTGTAGCGCGACGCTTCCATTCTGCGATGTCCAGGAGAGACCAAGCTGAACCATTACTGTATGTTGGCCTTAGTGAAAATCTGCAGTTGTGTATGAAGTTCACGGTGGCCCAATGGTGGGGCGCACGAATTACCATGCGGTCGACGACCAATACATCAGGCCGGGCAAACTGGGGCTAGCCAACTCGCTCGAATAGATGCCGCTCTCATGTCGGACCCGTTTCCAACACATCCACCTACCATCAGATCCAAGACCTAGGTTGCTCGCTCTTTCCGCGTCCTCATGACACAACAGAGACCGGCACGATCTGTTCGCTTGTCCGCGACACTGCCAACGGCAAGATCATCACGCATCTTGGTTTCAGGGTCGGGCGCTAGATGCACGTGGAAGCCGCGCACGACGACAAGTTCAACGCGGATGGTTTTACACGGTGGTGCAAGCTCGCGAAAGTGGGCAAGCAGACAGACCGGCATTTCCTGCAGGACCAGGCCAAGATCGCAGGGAAGTTCAAGGGTCCGGGGGGATCTGACGCATATCGACCTGAGCTGGTCGACGCTGTGAAGGACTTGACGGGAGGTCCAGAGTGATTCCATGACTCTATTTGTGTTGGGCTTGTTGCAATAGCGCCGAAATTTGTGTATGCATCTCCTGACGCTGCGCAGATCCCGGGCGCTGCATAATCAACATTGCTCGCGAATCCCAGATCATAGAGCAGGAGCTCGCTCACCTCCCCTGCCATCATTCATCCGCCAGTCACCCCGTACAAGGTATTAAGCGTCTATGATACATGAGACAGCAACGGTAGGCTCGGGGGCTGCATATTCGTTCGTCGAGAGCGCCCTCACGCAAGGTCAGCTGCGAGCTTAAGGCAGAGGTTAAGCAGATGCAGCTCCTCATCTCCGCCGTCGATAAATGCCTTGTCCGTGTCGCCGAGGTGCAGCGAGCATTTCGCCTTGGCGCGCGCTGGGATGGTCGGATGCAAGATGAGGTAGTCATGCAGCTGTTGGGACGCACAAGGGGGAGAGGAAGAGTGTGGAGTGAGACCGACGTGTGTTTCTGGCGCGAGTTGGTAATGAAAGACACCGTGTCACCTACCTGAATCAGGACTTGCGTCCCTGAATATCCTTCCTGAGCGATGTGCTCCACCTGCTTCTTGATGACGTTGAACCGTGACGAGTTACCAATACCCGCCTTGGGCACCTCATCGGCTTCCTCCATGATGTGATCCATCTCCTCATCCCCGTCTGCCCCAGGAGGCGGGCTGACGCCAACCGCGCGGCCGAGCGAGACAATCACCTGTGCAGGCACGACGCCGGCGATCTCGACGATCGAGCGCTGCGTGACGGCATCGCTGTTGTGCAGACGCGACGCAGACTGGAGGTACGTGATGGCGCGGCGCAGGTCGCCGTCCGACGTTGAGATGAGCATGTCGAGCACATCGTCCGAATCGAACTCGACCTTCTCCTCACGTGCAATCATGTGCAGCCGCTCTTTGGTGCTGGATGTGCTGAGCATGCGGAAGCGGAACTTGCTGCACCGCGATGCGAGCGGCTCAATGATTCTATTTGGGGGAGGCAAGAAGAAGGGGGACGAGCAAGATTAGATCGAGTTTCAGACGAATGTAAGTGTGCTGAATGAACGCACCTCGTCACATAATTGCACACCAAGCAGAAGCGCGTGATGCGACTGTACTGCTCCATGATGCGTCGCAGCGCGCTCTGCGCATCCTGTGTCATGCTGTCCGCCTCGTCTAAAATGATGATCTTATACGGCGGACACGGGTACCCCGACTTGGGCTGAGTCACGCTGAGCTTGGCAAAGTTTTTAATCTTTTCGCGCACAACGGATATGCCGCGCTCGTCAGACGCGTTTAGCTCCAGAACGCGCGTCTTCATCAGCTCGGGCCTATGTGCGAGGCGTACGGCGCTGCTGTGTTAGCGATGTGACGCGCAAAAGAGATATGGCGGCTTGGAATGGAACCTCACCCGAATAGTTGCCGCGCCAAAGCCAGAATGGTCGACGTCTTGCCTGTGCCCGGTGGTCCGTAGAAGAGCATGTGCGGAAGCTAGACAAGATAGAGAAAGGAGAGCCTATCGTCTGTGAGCATTACCGCCGTTCACCAGGCAACCGCATCATCGACTCTAGCTCACGTTGGTAGAGAGCAATGTTTTACGTAGAACGCTGACAGTATGTTCTTGAGCTGCAACGTCGTCGATGGTCTTTGGACGACTGTATACCGGGACAAACTCACCAAGAGGTCAGTCAGTCTGCCACACGAGTCATCATGGCCATGGATAACGCACTATTTCTCCACCCAAGGCTTGAGCGCTGCTGCCTCCCCGGGTTCTTTTCCCTTACCTCCTGCTGCCTTGCGCCCCTGCTGCTGCAGGAACATCTTGTGCATGCTCTTCGGTGGCGCTGCTGCTGCTGCTGCCGCCATCTTGGCGACCTGGGCGAGCGAAACGCTTTTCTCTGGATCGGGGGCGATGAGTAGTTCCGCCTGGGTGCAGGCCCTGGCACTGGAGCTGCTATGTGGGAGGTTGCAAGGGAGCAGAGTGCGCCTGGCCGAGCTACACATGAGCAGATGCCAGGTAGTCAGTCCGAGCTTGCTGCAGCTGGTGCAGCACCTATTGCTTGACGAGACTCCGCAGCCCAATCATAGCTCATGACTTGGCTCGATGTTCGCAGCGGCGGAACGGTCCAAGGCGCGTCACGCGTCGCGTCTTTTGGGGAGAAGAGACGCGTCGATTGGCAGACTGTGCTCCAGTGCCGCACCTCTAGGGCTTAACTCTCAAGCCAATCAAGTCTTCGGTGGCAGTAGACTCAACTCTCCAACTCTTCACGCTGGGCCATGTGGGGTCTTGTTTGATGTCCTCATCAGGGCGTGCGAGCAGGACGAGCAGATGGGCTTCAGCTTTGTTGGGCTCCTCGAACATCACGGTAGCAAGTGGGCTGCATTTCCGGCACGCAGGAAGGGCAGCCATCCCCGCCAGGCGCGACGCTCTCCTTCACCCGTGTCAGCGCCGGCGCCACGTCGCGTCGAGGTCAACATGACTGGCGTCATGGCAGAAAGCGACTTGAACAAGCTTTCGCAGCAGCCGAAAACGAAGGGAGATAGCAAAACGAAGATGAAAAAGGCGAAAGCGAACACAGATAGCAATAAGAGAGCACTCTTTGTGGACAATGATGGTGATGCGGACACAAAGGCCAACTCCAAGAGACCCAGGACAGGTGAGTTTCCGCGCCTTACTATCAGCCTGCTCATTTTTGCGACTCCTGACCATTGTGACTTGGCTTTTAAGCAGCCACTGCAGGTTCGGCAGTGTCAGAAGGCAGCCTCGTCGCGTACGAGAATGGCCGCCTCGTCATGAAGCAGAAGGCCATGCCATGGGCCATGTGTCACGAAACCTTGCAAGGTAAGTGCATATCGTTCGCTCATTGTTGCGTAATGGAAGAAATGTGAATTCTGACCTTCGGGTTCCGTAGGTCTTCTTGACGCATCGATCATGCTCGCCAACCAGCAAGTTCTGCAAAAATGGCCAGATTCACTCCTCTATCTGGTGGGCCTTCTGGCGCAAGATAGGTGGGTCTCCCCTAGTCAAACTACAACTCACGTCGGAGCTCTGAAGCTCACACGGTTGAAATTAACGCAAACAGTGACCAGTCAATCGTGCCGTTGTCCAAATGTATCCAAGAACGAGTAGCATGTGGCCAGATGCTCGACAAATCTGCAGATAATGTGGAGGAGTACCTGCCCTGCTCCTGGATACAGAACGCACTCAACAGGATCGCTGAACGAGTCAACTACGGCCTTGAATCGAAGGACATTGTTGCTGTATCTGACGCTTGGGGCACAAGCCCGATCGTACCCGCTGTGAGTTGCAGCCGAGGTAATCGCTTCCGCGCATGGGAATCACACAGCAGCTGACTCTAAGGAATCGCTTACCTTTGGTTCCACAGGCGTTGCAAATCTGGTGCTGGGAGATGAAGGACACCAGTAACTTACCGCCCGAGATGCAACAAAGGCTGCAAGCGAGGCGGCAGGAGCGATCGAATGCTAAACAAGAATCGCTTGCTGCCTTCTTGGCGCTCGAGCGTCGCGATCAAGATACCCTACTGTTAGGGAAGAAGCGCGCGGTGCTCATCCATGGCATGCACACACCAACCATAAAACGGCCACCGGCGAGCAGCGGTAGCAGCACTCACAACACTGAGAAGCTGAAGGCCACAGGCAAGCGGAAAAATGATACTAAAGCCATCGAGGTCGCCTTGCTTGAGAGCAGTGATGTGGAAGATATCGCACCAGCTGCAGTCACGCCGTTGAACAGCTGCGTCAGCGAAAGCACTGAGGTTCAAGGGAATGTGAAAGCACAACAGCAGAAGGAGACAGAGCAAGCGAGGCATGACGATGAGCAAAGCTCGGCATCCGATGATGAAAGTTCCGATGCTGACAGTGAAGACTGTGATGATAGTGCACGGCCTAGCCCGATCGGCAAGCCTCCGTCCGTGGCTGAGAAGGAGAAAGGAAAGAAGGGCAGCAAAGCGCAGAAGCTAAACTCGTCGTTGAAGCCGGCTGATGGTGGGAAGGCCGAGGAGGGGCAGAAGCCAGATGCAGAATCCAAAGCCAAGGACAAAGAGGAGAGAGCTATGCTGCGTGCGCAAAAGGAGCAGGAGAAGGAGGAAAAGGCGAAGCTGCGCGAGCAAAAGAGGTCCGAGCGCGAAACAGAGGACAAAGTCAAGGCAGAGAAGAAAGCCGAGCGCCAGGCGGCGAAAGCAGAGAAGCAGCGTCTGGAGGATGAGAAGCAGGCCGAGAAGGAGAAGAAGGTGAAGGAGCAGGCAAGAGCCGCCAATTTCTTCGCGTCGTTTCTCAAAAAACAGAATCCGGAAGGTGAGCGCCGTGCGATGCAGCGCGCATGCCGGGGCACGTGTAGAGCTAAGTGCTTTTGTGGTCACCTCGCGTTTAGATAAAGCTTCGGCCCCTAAGGCGCCAGAAACGCCCAAAACCGATTTCGACAAGACGTTCCTACCGTGCATCATCAAGAATCTCGCGCCCATCAACAGGTTCAACAATGATCTCGGGCGAGATATTACCACCGAAGTCTGCTCGGGCGCGTATGGGGGCACGCAACCGGGCGAGCTGCTGGCCGACTTCCGGTCCCGCTTGCCGCTCCCGCTTCGCCAGCGGCAGACGAAGGCGCCACTTAACGTGCGCCGAGGCTTCCAGCCCGACACGAGCGTTCGTGAGGTCATGCACCTCGTCCGCGAGTCGGACGTGCTGGGTGATGTCGCGGCTGAGAAGGCACGCAAAGGGCTAGCGAAGCTGCGGAGCCGCAGGAGGGTACCAATCAAGTTGCTCCAGTTCCATTCCGATCGACGGCCCGGCTGGTACGGTGAGTTAGCGCAAATGCGTGAAGCCGTCTACCAATTAGATCGGCTTGGCAAAAGATCTGACGAGATTACATCCTCGCTTCCCCGCGTCGTACAGGAACATGGACAAGGTCCACGAAGATCATCGGCCCGCGCACGCCTTTCGGGCAGGACTCCGTGCAACTCGACTATTCGTTGGACAGCGATGCCGAGTGGGAGGACGAAGCTGGGATCGAAGGCGAGGACCTGATGGAGCTCGAAGAGGAAGAGGCAGAGATGACCGGCTCTGACTCAGATTCGGACATGGAAGATTGGCTCGACGACGACATGGTGCTTGAGGATCTGCCCGAGGACGAGGAGGAAGATGACAACGATGTCATCTCCCTCGAGGAGCTCTGCCGCCCCGGCGGAGGAACATCCATCTCACCGTTATGGGCACGTAAGGCCCCCAGCAAGCAGCTGGCAGGTGCCGCAGGCAGGGGGACGGTCGGGCCCAACAAGAAGAAGGGCAAGAAGAGGAGACAGCTCGGAAAGCGCTTCGATTCAAAACTGATTCCTTTCTCCGCTGGTCCGCACTGGGAGACGACACTCGGCACTGCGTCCTACTCAAGTTTCAAGCCGTACCAAATTGAATTTTTGAATGGTGAGTCTTTTGGTCGCTATTGTGAGCATAGTCCATGCGACTCATATACGAGAATTGGCTCCTGCTGCTGCCCTCACAGATGCATATCCCGGCCTCGACCCCTTCACATTTGGCGCAGGCGTCAAAGAGACGGTCGTTGCGCGGCCTGAAGCGTCTGACTTTACAGCTCCCGCCGAAGTGGACAAGGTAACAACAGCGGCGCCGGGCGCGAAGAAACCTGTTGCTGCACCCAAAGCGCCATTCCCCGAGACCCACACTGCGAACTTTGTGCGCGCAATGCAGGGCACCAAGGAGCGCTATCGGCTTAGCAAGAATTTGCTCGTCGCCGAGCTGCACGAACACTTCGCGGAGAGTATAGGCAAGTGGATCACAAAGCGGGCTATCGAGTTCAAGCTCGACGAGGTGGCCATTAAGCCCAAAGGTAAAGCCTGGCAGGCCAAACCTGAGTACCAGGTGAGCGCGCTCATCAATGCCTTGTTGGTATCCCGGATTCCTGAAAGCTGACAAACATTTCCTTTCCCCCAGAAGTACCTCTAAGCTATACTGCTGCTATTCCTTATCCTGCATTTCCAGACCTCGCCACCAGGCATCCTCAATGTACTAATATTTAGGGCCATACGCACGACAAATGGGGCATGTTCTCCTCATACTCTTTGTTGCAGTGACATGGAGGTAACATTCCTTTCATTCGTGGAAGTTGTCTTCTAATTGCAAGTTATGTAGTGCGATCTGATCGGTGAGGTAGTCCGAGTCGGCAAAACCCAACGTCGCCGCGATTTGCGAGCTTTTCCCCAGACCCGAATCAAAAAAGAGACGTCAGCATGGAATGGCGGCGCAAGTGTGAGTTCGCCATCGACTCACCTCTTCAGCCCTTTTATACGCTCGCATTCGATTGAGGTGTAATTTGCCAACCCGCGCCCAATCTCCACATCTTCCACGTCTTTTTCGTCCTTTCTCTGTTCCCCGCGCTCCTTCTCTGTCTGAGTATCAGCCACCACTTTTCGCTTCCGTCTGACAACGAGGCGGACGGCCTGCATCCGTTCCCAGTTCCCCGCGACGCCGATAACACCTGCTGGCAGTAGTCGCCCACCACTGTCTGCGCGCGTGATCGCGCGGTAGGCACCTTCGTCCATAATCAGACTGCCCGAGGGGTGCATAGCGTGCAGAATCGACCATTTGCGAGAAGGCAAAGGGTTGGAATGCGGTAGGAAAAGCGTGTGAGGCGGTGATGAGAGAGGAGGAATTCCGATTTGGGAGGCGTCTTCAGACAGAGAGGAAACCGATGATGTGAGGGCATCGGGTGTTACATTACCAGGCGTCGATGTCCCTGACGCGTCGCCGGCTGTTACGAGTGGTGACGGATGTTCGACTATTGCTGTTGATGCTGCATGTGAGTTTGCCGAGCCTCCTTTCGGAGGCATCGCGGGTATTCCTGCGTCTATGATCTTGACGATGTTGCTTGGTGTCATGCCGTTCAGAATGACAGTTGCGACACCAGCCGCTGTTGCTAGCTCAGCAGCGATGAGTTTTGTCTGCATCCCACCCGTTCCAAAATTACTTCCCATGCTAGCAACGTGCACTGCCTTCCTCGCGCTGCTGACAGTGCTCACGACACCCAAGCGTCGCGCATTTGGATCGGACCGCGGGTTGGCAGTGTACAGTCCATCGACATCAGTGCAGAGAAAGAGGTAGTGGGCATCGACCAATGCGGCCGTGATTGCGGACAAGGTGTCGTTGTCACCGAACCGTAATTCGGAGACAGAGACCGTGTCATTCTCATTGACGATCGGTATGATGTCCATGTTTAGAAGAGTAAGGAGTGTTGTACGGGCGTTACGGTAGCGTGCTCTCTGTAAAAAAAATGTATTCAAGAGCCTGTCAGCGGTGCGGCACGTGAACTGCGAGCTTGACACAATTGTGCATACGCACATCAGCAATGTCATACTTTGTGAGAAGCACCTGTGCTACGCTAAGTCCGAGCTGACTGAATAATGAGTCCCAAAGCGCCATCAGTCTGCATTGACCGATAGCTGCAAGCGCCTGCCGTTCACCAACGCTCTTGGGCGGTCCAGTCTTGCCCATGTCCATTTTGACCCTTCCCATTCCGATTGCGCCGGAGCAAACGAACAGGACCTTGTGTCCTGCTTGCCGTAAAGCATGGCAAGTCTCCACCAGCGACGACAGGATGGACAGACGCGGGGTGAAGGTCGATTCGGAGAGAATGGAGGACGTGCCGAGCTTGATCACTACGGTCTTCGAAGCCGTGGATGCGGCTGGGTGTGCGTTGCCTGGGCGTGACGATGGCCCGGCATGATTGATGGGAGACGCTTGCTGAACCACCATGGAGTCTTATTTTTCGGCGCTGACGATGCAGGCACAGGCTTCTTGATACAGCCTTGCTCTGTAGTGAGTGCACGGAGATGGCTAAGTAGTTGCATCGAGATACAAGGAATATGGATGTTAGCATGTGCTTCTCACAACTGAGGGTGAATGCGAACCAGTCAGGAGCGGTCAAGTCACGGTAGGGTTGGGTTGCACCGATCCGGCTCAACCATTCTTCTACACGAATCCTATTTACAAACTCGCATATACGCGCAATATGTCAAAGCAGTCTAGTCTTGAAGCACTGACAGTCAGTAAGACAGTGCGAACCCCAGCAGCGCAATCGCCTTTGCCGCTGAGGCCTGAGAGAAATTTATAGGAAGCAGCGCCAAATGAAACGCAGTCAGATGTGATTTGAGGCTGGCGGGAGTCGTTTATTTATTCTTAAATGATGTGCGTGACCTACTCTTTATGGTCTTCCCGTCAAACGCCGCAGGTCGTCAAATCTGGTCACATGCTCAAGCAAAGCTCGCTAGCCTCGAAGCATTGTTCGCTGCAGAAGACTCTCATCATGCCACGAGGTCACATCTCAAGCTGCTCCGTCCCTTGTGAATCAGCTACCGGAAACATGTATCCAAAGGGGTTTGGATCACCACCATGCGCATCGTAAAGCTTCAATCGGAAAAAGTGGTCGCACAGCCCCAAGGACGCCCTGATGTGGCCATGAGCATTTCGCTGACAAGGGTAAACAGGTGAGGGCAAGGTTTTCAATCACTAGTCTGCACTTTCTGCATGATTACCATGATCATTCGGACGCTCGAGAGGAGGGCAAGGATAAAGGAAGGGTAAATGGGGAATCGTAATGTAAATGGATTGCCTGTCTATGCAAATTCTTCCCGGCAAAACTTCCCGGGGCCGTACGGCTGGCATATGGCCGAAAGAGAAAAAGGCATATTAGCAGTCCAATCGGAAGTCTACACACTCCCCTGGCTTCCAATGGACTCACTTCGCTGGTCAGCGCTGTCCGTCCCTCCTTTGGCTCGCTCGAGTGCCGCCCACTCTGTGGGCCAGGCTTGGCCTTCTTGCCTTCCTTGAGCGAATCCAGGATCTTAACCATCGACTCGGGCGTGAGATCCTCATAGAAATCATCGTTGATCTGCACCATTGGCGCATTGGCGCAGGCACCCAAGCACTCCACTTCGACCAGGGTGAACATATTGTCTGGCGTCGTTTGGCCCGGCTGAATCTTGAGATGATTAGTGATGGCCTCAAGGATGGCAGCGGATCCAACGCCGCCTAGCATGCATGGCGTCGTGGTGCACAGCTGCAAGAAGTACTTGCCGACAGGCTCTCTATGAATGGGGAAAAGAGGAGCACGTGGACGTGGACGATGAGATAGACTCTTCCGCCATCCACCTTCGCAGCAAACCAGCCTCACCTGTTGAACATCGTGTAAAAGGTAGCAACTTCGTATACCCTCATTGGCGGCATCTCAAGCAGCTTGGCAACGTAGTTCATGCAAGAAATCGAGACCCATCCCGAGTTCTGCCTTTGAGCAAGGTCCAACAGCGGGATGACCGCCGCCTTCTTGTACTGAGGCGGGTAGTGGCTGATGATCTCCTTCGCGAAATTCATGTTCTGCTCATCGAACTTGAAGGGCAGGTCTGGGTTGTTATAGTCCGTGTCGCGGTGCACGAAGAGGGCATCCGATAGCCGGCTTGCGGACGAGCTGAGGCCGCGAGCAGAGCCGGTTAGCAGAGCTGGCCGCGCTGCTGCAACGCCAGCGCCTCCGCGAACCGAGGCGCTGCGGAGAGCGTTGCGTGCCATGGAGGCATAGTAGGTGCGGAGTGCAGCCATCTTGATGAGGTGATCTGGCAGCGCGAGGTGCGACAAGACGTTGCATGAGGGAAGATGAGGTAAAGAAGGGAGGTTCTTGTCAAGCGCCAGCTGCTTGCCAGAACTCCCTGCCGTCCCAGGCCGTTTCCTGGAGTTGACGAGATAGTGTCACGTGACTGTACTCGTGCCCAATCAGAAGCCTCGCATCATTCAAGACAATGAGTCTTCGCTAAGCGGCAAGGTAACTATCTTCTTCAAGGCTTATGACAAGCATAGAAGGCCCTCAGAATATCACGATGGCCTTGACATTGAAACATATATATGGAGCATGTGGACGAGCTGCTGCACTCAAGACTCGCATGAGTTCGAATTTATCGGACCCTGATGCGGCTTTGAAAGACTGGAACGAACGGGCAAATGACGAGACGATCCTGCGAAATACGATCCATTCCTGCCACATTATATACCCCGAGCACCCAACCTTCGTGTCTTTGGGCTACACAGCCACCGAAGGGATCCTCCGACTTGCTAGTATCGGCAAGGGAAACTTTCTAAGAGGGGAACATGAGCAGTCGAATGACCGTCGAACAGCTCCGGGGTGCGCTTAATAAACTTGGTTTCTCAACCAAAGGCCACAGGGAGGACCTTCGCAAACGTCTAAAACGGGCTCAAAAGGATATTGCCATCTTGGAGCAGAACTTTGGCAAGGAATCTGTGGAACAGACTAGCTTTGAGCCACAGGTTGTGGGCACAGACGACGGTGACGGTGGGCAGACCGGTGGTGGACCAACGTCTCAGTCAACCGCTGCGAACAATACGCAAGTCCAACAGGAGCAGCAGCCTTTCACGCCCAAGATCACTACTTTCCTCGTTTGTGACATCGAGGCTACATGCGAGATCACTCCTTGGCTAGAGCTGGCACCAGGTGCAGCCGGTGAGAGAGGAGAGACTATCGAGCTTAAACAGCCCAGCAGTCGAAGCCAAGCAAAGAAGGTCAACCGCGACTACCCGAACGAAAGTAAGCGAAAGCAGAGTCGCACACCCGTAGTATTAGGTATGGTGTCTGATATTGCTACTTTGGCTTTGCTAGTCATCGAATTTCCTGTTGTCGTATTGAGATGGGATGCCGACGCGCAGGAATACAAGCAGGGCGATGTCTTTCACTCTTATGTCAAGCCTATTTGGCGGCCCCGTCTCAGCAAGTTCTGCCGCGATTTGACTGGTATCACGCAAGTGAGGAGTCCTTCATGAAACGGCTAAGCATAGCACATCGTGTGATGACACTGTTATGATTCACTCCTGCAGCAACAAATCGATATATCACCAACATGGCCGATTGTGGAAGGGAAACTCTATCGTTTCCTGCGCGCACAAGGCGTCCTCGAGAATCCCTGGTCATGGTACGACTTTGAAGACGGATCTGAGGACGAACGGACTTGCAGCGACACCGACATTGAATCTTGGGACCGCTCTCGCTTCCGTTTGCGTGCAGGAGCAGCGTGGGTGACACACGGGCTAGCGGACCTGCACAATTTCGCTGCGAAGCAGTCCTGGATCTCGGGCGCACATCCATCTGCCATGTTCGCCGCGCGAGACCCTCGGTCGAAAGATGCCAAGGGGGCTTGTAGGCCGCCCATGTGGCTTCGCGGGCCGCTCTTAGAAATCCGAAAGTCTATTGCGTTGCTCGAATGTCTCGGCTTAAATTCGAACCAAAGCACATCGAACCGAGATCTGACGATCGATGGTTTGCTCAATCAATTGGGACTCGGAACTTTTGAGGGTAGGCATCATTCAGGCATTGATGATGCGAAAAATATTGCAAGGCTTGTCATCGAGGTCGGCAAGCGGGTCAGAGACTGCAAAGTCGGCGTAGAGAAGGCCACCAATGACGTTGAAGGCAAAGTACGGCCGAATAGACGTGGCAAATCGGCGACCATAGGAAGCGAGGCCGCCGACGCGACAATTCCAGTGGATGGCTTGCTAAAGGCAAACGATGGCACTCATTCGTCACCATCGCAAGGCGCAGCGGCAGGACTGCGAGCAGCATCAGCGAAGGTCAAAGGCGTTCCGCACAAACGTCGCAATGTGGGTCGAAATGAAGTGGAGTACAATTGTTTGCTCCCGAACACAGACTACAGCGCAGTGGGCGACCAAAAATGGCACTGGATGGGACGCAAAAAAGGCCAGATCATCTGGAAGCATCCGATGGACCCGACAATGTTTGTACATTAGTCATGCTGCTCGCACACGAAGTTCCAGAGCGTGTTCAGAAGCTTTTCTCGTCCTATCGACAGTATATATTTCTTCGAAGGGCAAGGGCTCCACAACTCAATGCGCCTGAGCCGACTCTTCAAACGTCAGGAGATTGGTACCGGTGAAGAAGCCGTTGAAGTCGAGCCTGAGCGACAATTGCGTTAGATGTTGACGAGCAGCAAGACCCATCTGCAGTCGGGCTTCCTGCGCTGCATTTCGACTCAAGTCTGCTTTGGGCATCTCGTGTCCGATCGCAGGCAACTGTGCACCCAGCATCGACATCGATGCAAGGGATTGGTTCGCTTGCGAAATGTTGCCTGCTGCCACCCCCAGATCTCCCTCAGAGATGTACTCGAAAAAGTCGCGCAGCTGCTCCCGAAGTTGCTGCAATGTGAAGTTCTTAGCGAACGAAGATAAGACATCAAACCTTGCCACCGAGCTGACTCACAACAACAATGGCAGACACAGCCTGATCCCGCTCCTTGAACATGGCACTCTCTCGCGTCTTGGAGGCATCCTCTGAGCTGCCTTCACTCAGCAGATCAGGAAGCACATCTCCACCCCATCGTTCTAGGTGGCCAACAAAACGCACGCAGGTCTCCAAGATGGCGCGAATCAGGCTTGTCACTCGCGGGGCATTCAGGAGCAACCCCTCCTGGAGGAACAAGAGGAATGCGACGTGCGTCGCCCGCAGGTCGGCAAAGTCGAGCCGCTTATCTGCGGTGAGAGGCATCTTTGCGCCTGTTGTGTTGCCTGTCGTTGTGAGGAAGCTACGACTGGAGGGCATGATTGTGCTTTGAGGGGGGAAACCCGATGGAGTGTAGTTGGGTGCTTTCCTGGTGCTGCCTCCGAGCTCTGAGGACTCGTCCGCCGGAGAAGAACTGCGTCTCACTGTGGTTTCCATAGGGCTCGATATGCCCCTGGCATTCGGAATGGTAGGATTGCTGCGGCGGGTCTGTCGGCGCTCAGAGTGCTGCTCATGAACATCATGCAGTTGACTAAGCAATCGAATAAACTGCACCTCAATAATGTCGGTCTGAGAAAGCAAGCATCCAGCACATTAGAAGCGCCCTAGTCAATGCAGCCACGAAACATTTCTCACCTGAAAATGACCCATTAGGGTGTCCAGAAACCAGAGCATGTCCTTTGCGAGACTCCAAGTCAGTCGGAGCAGTGTCATGCGCTGGCTTGCCTCCTCTTTGCTCGAACCTCCTTCACTGGTGCCTGTGAATCTGCGCCTGAGTCGTTGGTTGTTCGACAACGAAGTCCAGCAGGACAAAACCCGATTATGCGTCCTGCGAATCGCTACCAGGTATGAGAAGATGCGAGTATAGACTTCGAGCTCCGCACTAGATAGGAAGAGGTCAAGTGGGAAGTCTGCAGCGTAGCACAGCCGAGCATTGATGCCGACAAGGTCGTCGTCGAAAACCACGGCTGAAGAGGCCGCCTCCGGCGTCGAGGAGTTGGGGTCTGTAATGTGGTGATGCCGCAGGCGGGTAAGGTGGGCGGAATGTTTTTGCCAATGCAGTAATTCCAAGCTGGGGTGGTCTTCGAGTTCGGTGCCGATGCTCGCTCGTTGGAGTGCGAGGTCGAGGTCTGATTCCAACAGTTGGCCTGACGCCACAGTTCGAGCAGATATTGACTTTTGTCGCTGAACATCATCAATTTCTTCGATGAGAGAAAGCGCAAAGTTCCCCGATCGCAGCAAGAAGTAGTTGCCGCTGTAAAAGGGGGCAATTCAGTCCACTGTGTGCATGAGATGGCCCAAAGCTGCACTCACAGATCTTGTAAGGCGGAAATGACAGCTTGATCTGTCAGAACGTTCCTCCACAACCATTCCCCTACATCTTGCTTGATCTCAAGCACGACCTTTGCGAATGCATGTGGCGTGCTTGGACGGATCTCTGGACACTGAAGCATTTCTACGTGCGCAGCCATGAGAGCTGCAGGTACATGACCGATTTCAGTATGGGTTTTAACCCGCCAGATAGCACGTCCACCGTATAGAATCGCGTCGGAAGTGACGGATGATATCGAGGATGGAAGGGAATGTGGACGGAGGTGCCAGGTTCCATCTTCGTCCTGCTCTACAAGTGCATCAGGGCCTTGTGAGATCATATTAGATCCGAGAGAGACGGGGCTGCCATTTGCCGTGCCATGGCAAATCCAGTCGCACAGCAGAATTTTCCAGCTATCTTCAACTGCATCCCGCAGCTCAGCCATGAGGTTGGCGACGCGCGAAACGCCAGTGTCCGCCATGTGTGTGAGCATGTCAATCAAGAGACCTCCTGTCCAACCGGAGAGACCTCCTGCGATGCGTGGTAGTTCCAAGGGGTCGGCGCCTGGCTGCTGAATGCTAAGCGCGACTGAATGCTCGGGCCCTTTCAAGAGCATCCCCACCAAACGGCCCAGCGCGTTTAGTCGCGATTCCCACACCTGCACCTCCACCCGAATTGTTGCAAGTGATACATAGGATCGTGCCGCAACGAGCGAGGTATCTCGCTGAAGGATACGATCCTCGAGATCGACAATAAGGTCATCCCAGCCCTCGAGGTGGCGGAGAATTCGAGCGCAAAGAGGTGCCAAGTGTGCGCTTCTCTCTTCCTGTCCACTTGCGTCAAGCAAAACACCATCTTTAGACAGCACTTTCCTCGGACGGGTTCCAGGACGCAGCGAAGCCTGTTTGAGAGCGCACCTTCGCGCATGTTCAATGTGCGATGTTGCGAAAAGCTTGATGGCCGAGCATTTATGGGCTAGTGTCGCAAGGTATTCGAGTTGCGCGCGTTCGCCCGGATGTAAGGGGAGGTGTTCTTTGGCCTGTACTGACGCAGAAAGTGAAGACAAGAGCGACGATGGTAACGTTGATGAGCCTTCTGCGACTTGCTCGAAGAAGGACGATGGGTGCCCGGCCAGAATCAAGATAATCTCTGAGAGCATCTTCCCCCCCACCTGTTTGCACGCGTTGACGCGCCGAGCTCTTTGCAGGAGATGGCTGAACTGAGTAAAGCCGAATTGTCAGAGTGCGAGATAAGCTCTTCGCATGCTCTTTTCGCGAGAAGCACGGAGAGGGGTAGGAGCTCCAGGTAGCTATTATACAGCAACACTCTACATCCAAGTTTGGAGCGCAGTCAGAACAACAGAAGTAACACGCGACGCGCCTAAATTGAATGTGAGAGAGACAGAGAGGGAGTCCCTGCAGCCGGTACTGCCCATATGCGTGCAACATCAACAGGTGCGAAAAGTAACGCACGCAGTTCACAACATCCTCGATTAGAACAAGGATGGTGGTTGCGCTCGCTCGCTGAGCGCAGATTTCGGTGGCAGAATGTGGACCTGTGGTGAAATCGCGAAACTACAAAAGGCACGAGCAATCTAATTGAATCCGCAACCTCCGGTTGCAAGGATGGGAAAGAATCGCAAAATCTGCCGGTGTCGCGTTGGCCAGATGCTGGAGCGACATCGGTATGATCTTTCAGGCGTAGCCCTCTTTGCCGCCTTCGTATTTGCCGCCTTCGTACTCGCTCTTGCCTTTGTAGTCATTTCCATGATCTTCTCTGTAGCCTTTCCTATACTCCTTTTCGTCATTGTTGCCGTTCTCCCTCCCGTCCTTGTTTCCGTACTCCTTCCCATCCTTGTTGCCGTACTCCCTCCTGTACTTTTTCCCGTCCTTATTTCCGCCCTTGTTGCTGTACTCCCTCCAGTTCTTGTTTCCGTCCTCCCTCCCGTTCTTGTTGCCGTCCTCCCTCCCGTTCTTGTTGCCGTCCTCC